CATTCCTCTTCCTCTTTCATAGATTTACAGCCCACAGTCCCTTTCTTGGTTTGTGTTTTGGTCTCCAATTTGGGGACCTTGAGGACTATTGAGAGATTGTGAGAACAATGCCCAGCTTCACAGCCCAAGGCCTTGATCAAGATAAGAGTTAAACATTTCCTTCCTTGAGGGACTGTCCTGAGGTTTCTCCCTGTTCTTCCATTTGGTGTTATTTTCTTGTAGATGGCTAAGGTTTCAGTATGAAAGCTGACAAGAGTTCGAGGAAAATACAAGAACATGGTATTGCAATAATGGAAAAACTGGGTTAGTACCCACCAGTTGCCCCAGCTGGAACTTAGCCCTTCCTTTTCCTTGCCATCTGTACCAGCATGGTATAGTGATTGAGTACAGACTGCTGGGCTCAAAGCCCTATAGTATACCATTTTTTAAAAAAGATTTTATTTGTTTATTTGACAGAGAGAGAGAGAGCGCGCGTGTGCGCCCAAGCAGGGGGAGCGGCAGGCAGAGGGAAAGGGAGAAGCAGGCTCCCCGTAGAGCAGGGAGCCCAATGTGGAGCTCGATCCCAGGACCCTGGGATCATGACCTGAGCTGAAGGCAGACACTTAACCGACTGAGCCGCCCAGGTGCCCCTGTGGTATACATTTTAGTACCTGTGAGATCCTGGGATTACATAACCTTTCCATGCCTCGGTTTTCTCATCTGTAAAGTGGCAGAAATAATAATAATGTACTTCATAAGAATAATTTAGTGGTAGAATTAGAAAAGCCAATAATTCTAATGAAGCATTAATAATTCTAATGAAGCACTTGGCATTGTCCCTGGCCACAGTAAGTATTCCATAAGCATTAGCTGTCATTCATCCTTGTTTCTTACACACCGTCCCATCCGCACCCCCCCGGCTCATCCCAGGCTCTCGCAATAGAAACTCCAGAGTTAGCTGTCACTGCATTTCTTTAGATACGAGCCCAGTGTTCAAGTGAACATAGGAGTCTTTTATTTGGGTATCACAAAAAGGAAGTTCAGCAACCTTAGGTGTGTGTGGACATTTGGGGGCCAGTGCTCTTATTGGGACCTGTGACTCAGTAGCTTTTCTCTTAATATCTCTATACATCAGTTTCCAAAGGTGTAAAATGGGCACAACAATCATTGGAACTCAAGGAGTTGTTTGGGATTAAATGAGATGATACACATAAAGTTCTTAACATGCATGAAGTCATCCTATTAGTTCTTTCCATTTTAAATGTGAAACTGGAAAACAGAAGGTAAATACAGTTCATTTCAGCTGTCTTTGTGAATTTCCTTTCCTTCTATCCCTCTCTAATTGGCTGCCCCCTCGCGTGGTCTCACTGGGCACCTCCATTTTTTTTTTAAAGATTTATTTATTTGAGAGACAGAGCACAAGTGGGGGAGGGGTAGAAGGAGAGACTCTCAAGCAAACTCCCTGCTGAGCTTGGAGACCCACATGGGGCTCAATCCCGTGACCCTAAGATCATGACCAGAGCTGAAATCAAGACTCAGATGCATAACCGACTGAGCCACCCAGGCACCCCTGGGCACCTTCATTTTTTAGAGTCAAGTTTAACATCTTCCATCAATGATGAATGATCAAGGTTCCATGATCATGGAGTTCTACTCTATGATGAAAATATTTGTAAAGCATTTGGATGAGCAATGAGTAAAGATGAGATGTTCTCTCTTCGCTGTGAAAACCAGTGGAAAACTATGAAGGAGGGAGTCTGTCAGCTTGCTTCAGGACAGCACAAGATCTTTGTGAAGGTGGAAGTGTCACACCAAGCTGTATAACAAACTCTGGATATACTTTGGGACTGGTTCTAGAGGAGACAGTAAGATTAATTGCCAAGTACTTCTCAGAAGTGTTCATTACCTCAGTAACATCAAAATTTAGTAAATCAGGGAAACATATAAATTATGAAATATATGAATTATAAAATTGGGGGACAAGGCTCTTTAAAATAAACACTCAAAAATAAAACTCATGTAATTGTGTTCATGGGAGAATTTTCTGGAGATGTTTATGCCAGGACAAAATAGTCTTTTCATTATTTTGGTTTTTTTTAAAGATTTTATTTATTTATCTAACAGAGAACCAGCACAAGCAGGGGGAGCGGCAGGCAGAGGGAGAAGCAGGCTCCCCGCTGAGCAAGGAGCCTGATGTGGGGGACTCAGACTTGATCCCAGGACCCCGGGATCATGACCTGAGCCAAAGGCAGACACTTACCCAGCTGAGCCACCCAGGCACCCTACATTATTTTAATTTTTAAAGATGGTCTTAATTGATAAAAATGGTTCTAGATTTTTAAACATGTCCCCGTTCAGTTCTACTTTAGCAGATATGCAGTTGCTTGTTTTCCTCATTATTGAAACCTGAGAACATTGTTTTACTTCTAATGTGCTTTAGAAACAGTGGTTGCATTTTAAAGGAAAATAGCACATGAATGTGGGTCGTCAAAATATCAGACACACTTCTATCGCTTGCAGACTAAGTTTGGTTGGAGGCTGTTTCTTGTAGGTGAATAGAGTTACAATAATGAAAGATAATTGTCTCCCCCAGAGAACGATTCAGTAGGTGAATATAAAATTCTTTGGCTTATGGTGGGTTAACATTAAGGTACTCTTGTGTTCCTGGAATTGGAGAGGACTAAGATGGAAGAAGCTAACAACAAAGACTACAAAAACAAAAAACCCAGAAGCAATAAGACTCAGAATAAGTGAATAATAACTTCCATCCCAACATATACACATATATATGTATACAGACACACACATACATACACTAAACACATGTGTATGTACCCACTTATATACATATACTACATATGTATTTTAAAAATAAAAAAAATATTTGACTTTGGTTTAAAAGAATCACTTCTATTAATTTGGGTTATGGGAAATCTGGAGTAAATAGCAGTTCACATGGAAAAAGACATTTTTTTGTATTATTGTTGCTTGCAACACTAACCCTAATCTAGGTTTACTAACAGAAAAGTGAATGCTTGCTAATGCTGAATTACTGAAACAGAGGACATAATATTTTTAGTATGTTTTTCCCAATTCAGAAAAACATTTGGAGTTTTATATTCAGCTCATTTTAAAGTTAGGTTGTGTCCAGAGCATCATGACAAGGCAATGAGGTCTCTCTCTCTCTCTCTCTTTTTTTAAGATTTTATTTACTTAGTTGAGAGAGAGAGGCCAAGAGGAGGTAGGGTCAGAGGGAGAAGCAGACTCCTTGCTGAGCAGGGAGCCTGATGTGGGACTCAATCCCAGGACTCCAGGATCATGACCTGAGCCGAAGGCCGTTGCTTAACCAACTGAGCCACCCAAGCACCCAAGGCAATGAGGTCTTGTGAAATGATAAATATTTTCAGGTAAACAGAAAGTTGAAGCTGAGAACTTTGGGTTCTGGAGATGATATATGATTGTTGTATTTAAATGTTTGCAGGAGAGTTAAATGAAATGGAATCAGCATCTTTTCTGCAGCTCCAGAGAATGAAATTTATGAGGCACCTTGAGAATCAATTCAGGGAAAGATCCCCTAACAGAGGAAATTTCCATAAAACAAAAGAACTATCTTAGGAGCAAACGAATTTCCTGTCACTGGAGTGTTCCAAGAGGGGCTGGTTGGTGGACAGATGATTCCTTCTTAGTGCTGAATTTGGGGCTGCATAGCGACAAGAGTCCCTTCCAAATCCAAGATTTACCTGGCTGGTCTCCTCATACCGTTAGTGGTCATCTACATCCCATTTTCCCCTATATGCCAGCTCTACACTTTCTTTTTATTTCTTTCTAAATCAATAGTTTTTAATCTTTCAGAACAGTTTTTAATGCTTACAGAAAAACGAGTGTAAAATACAGAGTCCCATATCCCCCTTGCTCTTCTGCATCCATTCCCCTTCTTACTCACAACTTGCATTAGTGTAAAACATTTGTTTCAACGGATGAGCTGATGTGGATATATTGTTACTAATTAAGTCATTTACATTGTTTCACTCTTTGTGTTGCACATTCTATGGGTTTTAACAAATGTATAATGACAGGTGTCTGCAATTACATATCCTACAGAATAGCTTCACTGCCCTAAGAATCCTCTGTGGTCCCTTAGTCCACTCTCCTTCCCCCCACATTTGGCAACTACTGATCTTTTTACTGTCTCTATATTTTTACCTTATCCAGAATGCCATATTTGTGAAATTATATAGTATGTAGCCTTTTCAGATTGGCTTTCACTTAGCAACATGCATCTAAGATTCCTCTGTATCTTTTTGTAGTGTGAGAGCTTATTTCTTTTTATCACTGAATAATATTTTAGTGTACAGATGTATCCCACTTTGTTCATCCATTTGCCTTTGGACATTTTCCATTCATTTAGGTAAAGACCAAGGAGTGCAGCTGCTGGGTTGTATGGTAAGAATAGGCTTGGCTTTTAAAGAAACTGACAAACTGTATTCTAAAGTGGCTTTACCATTTTGCCTTCCTATCAGCAATTCACTGGAGTTCCTGTTTTTCCACATCCTTGTCAGCTTTCCGTATTGTTCATGCTTTGGATTTACATCATTCAAACAGGCACACACGAAGTGGAATGACTTTTTTCCCTCATATTCAGATGCGTTATTTCCAAATTATTATAAGAAATACACTTAAGCTACCACTGGTGTAATGTAATATCACTATGATCATTCAGGATCCAGATGGAAAGACACTGGAAATAAGAGAACAAGCACTTATGTTAATATCCAAATTATTAATGATGATTGTAATAATACACATTTATTTGTGAGTACTTATTTGAGTTTATTTTGAAAAGCAATGCCACCAGGAGAACATTCACAAGACCTATTTCTGATCAACACTTATATGGAATTACACTCAAAAGCATGAGGAGGCATTGGTGGTCATCAGACAATCCTTCTCTCAAGAGGCACTTTATTTTTGAGCAGTGGCTACTGCTTCTTGATTGAGATTTCTCAGTGTCTTTGTTTCAGGTCTTTCAAGTTGCCTACATCATCATCAAAGCTGCTAACGCCCCTCGACCTGGAAACTGGATTTTGGAGCGTTCTCTGGACGGCACCACGTTCAGCCCCTGGCAGTATTATGCAGTTAGTGACACAGAGTGTTTGACGCGTTACAATATCACTCCAAGACGGGGACCTCCCACCTACAGGGCGGATGACGAAGTGATCTGCACCTCCTACTATTCTAGACTGGTGCCGCTTGAGCATGGAGAGGTACTGTGCCCACCGCCATGATGTCTGTTTTTTCTCCAGATGTAAAGATAGCCATTGTAAGAGCCAACATTGAACACTCCAAGTCAATCTTAGTACAGATTACAGAGATCTTTAATCTAACTATCTGGCTGTATTCAAGATATTGACGGGAGTCTCCTGATGATTGATGTCATAACCCATACATTTCACCTTACTGATTTCTTCCTTTCAAGAAGAGCCTTCAGTCTTCTGTCTCCCGTGACTCAGTAACTCTGTCAGATCCTCTTAAAGCATTCTTTCCCATGACACCAGGGCAAGAACATTTGTTGAAATATTAGAGGGAGCGCTAAAATGCCTCTAAAAGAAGTAGTTTCTAGTTTTCTCTGTGAAGTTCTCCTCTTTGGAGATGTGGAGGATTGGAGATAGCTTGTGAAGTATTCCAGCTCAGTGCTCACCATGCCCAGAGGGGCATACACACTTCATTAAAGTCAGAGTATGATCAAAAACAAGCCATTCTTTTTTTTCTTTCTTTCTTTTTCATTTTCTTCTTCTTCTTCTTTTCTTTATAGAGGAAGCAGCGTAGGGGGGTGCGGGGAAGGGCAGAGGGAGAGAGAGAATCTTAAGTAGGCTCCACACCAGTGCAGAGCCCGGTGAGGGGCTCGATCTCACAATCCTGAGATCATGATTTGAGCCAAAATCAAGAGTCAAACACTTAACTAACTGAGCCACCCAGGCGCCGCCAAGAACAAGCCATTCTTTAGTAGCGCCTGGCTTGATGAGATAAAACCGCAAAACCTCTCTTGATGACTCTTCACAGCAGGAATTCTGCAGCAAGCCTGCATTGTTTCAAGAGCAGAGACTAAGAGAGTGGGCGTACAAAACTTTCTGTATACCCTGTTCTCTCACTCTCCCCTGTCCTGGACATTAAGAATTTGTTTCAGCAGAGTCATAGCCTAATGATGCATGTTAAAATACCCTTAACACTGGGAGAAGTGGTCCCATTAAGTTTTCCAGCAATCTCTGAGATGCCAGAATGCATAACTTTAAATTCATTGAAGATACTTTGGGATCATGGTGTTCACAAGTAGTAATTAACAAATGTTGGGTTTCTACAAGAATCTAGTTGTTTGGTTTGATTTTAGATAGTATCAGTAAAAGATTATGTCCTGAAGTTAAACAATCAGGGCTATATTTTTGCATGCTTAAAAATGACATTTGTTCGTTTTGATGTCTTTAACTTTAGATTCATACATCACTGATCAATGGCAGACCAAGCGCTGACGATCTTTCACCCAAGTTGTTGGAGTTTACTTCCGCACGATACATTCGCCTTCGCTTACAGCGCATTAGAACCCTCAACGCCGATCTCATGACCCTCAGCCACCGTGACCCTAAAGACCTTGATCCTATTGTTACAAGACGAGTAAGTCTATGGCAGAGCTCCCCCATTGTGAAAAGTTTATTTTGTTTAAGGAAAATAGACTTTTCTTTTTGATTGGCTTTGTCCTGCCAGGTTGGCCTTTTTTTTCTTATTTCATTGAAGATCATTACATATGCTTTGTTTAACGTGCCACCTTTCTAAACTAGGGGATGGTTCTGACATCATGTCCTTGGGCCCTCTCCCCCCATCCCATAATGTCATTCTGTAGTGAATGTTGTGGTACTGCTCTTCACACTCTGGTCTGACTCCACATCTGATCTTCAGCAAGTAAGCTGTTGTTTTTTCACTTAAAAGGAAATTTTAAAGTTTGAGTTGTAATTTATAGTCAAGAAGATGTACAGATTTTAAGTGTATAGTAAATGTACAAGGCTTGTGTGGACAAATATTTTCAAATCCCTTGGATAAACTAGGAGTGGAATTACTGAGTTATGGGGTAACTGTGTGTTTAATATTTAAGAATTTGTGAAGCCTTATGGAAAGTTGTACCATTTTGCAGACCAGCAACATGTGAGAGTGCTATTGTATGACACACCGTCACAGATTTGTGTTGTCAACCCATTTTCACATCAGCCATTCTGATGTGCATATGGTGACAGCTCCTTATGATGTTAATTTGCATTTCCCTGATGACACATGTGAGCAGGTGCTTATTGGTATCTGATCGAATATTTTTGTCCATTTTTCATTTGGGTCATTTTGTCTCCTTATTACAGAGCTATAAAAGACTTACATATTTTGTGTACAAGTCCTTTGTCAGATATCCACACTGCAAATATCTTCTCTGTCTGGAGCTTGCTTATTCACTTTCCCATGACATTTGAGAGGTTTTAATTTTAATGAAGTCCAATGTATTATTTTTTCTTTAATACTTAAAGCTTTCTGTGCCTTTCTGAAAACTACTTTTTAAATTCCAGGTTTGCAAAGATGTTATCCTATGCTTCTGTCTTGTAGCTTTATAGTTTTAGCTTTTACATCTATTGTCTTTCAAATTAATTTTTGTGTTTGGTGTGAAGTAGAGGTCAAGGCTCTTTGTTTCCCTGTATATGCATGCAACTGTTCTGGCACCATTTGTCTTTATGCCAATAACAAACTTTCCCAATTGCTGTGGTTTTTTAGACTTAAGTCTTGAAGTCAGGTACTAAAATAGTCCAAATGAGTTCTTCTTCAATATCTCTGGCTATTCTAGATTCATTTTGTCTCCTTATAAATTTTAGAATGGGTTTGTTACTTTCTGCACCCCCCCCGCCCCCCGCCAAATCCTGCTAAGATTTTCATTGGGATTCCACTGGATTGATAGATCAGTTTGGGAAGGATTTTGGAAGACTCTTTGATAATATTGGATCATCTAATCCATGAACATGCTGTATCTCTCCACCTGTCTGGGTCCTCTGTAGTTTCTCTTGGCAATGTTTCATTATTTATTAGTACATCTATTATTCAGTTTATTCTTAATATACATTTTTGCCTGTTAGCCTTAATAGATTGCTTTCTAAATTTTATTTTCCATTTCTTCATTGCTAGTGTATAGAAATACAGTCCATTTTTAATTTATTTTACATACTAAAACATTGCTAAAGTCACAGATTATTTCTAGTGGGTTTTGTTTTTTGGTTTTTTTTTTTTAGGTTTTCCCAAATACACAATAATATCATCTACAAATAATGAGAGTTTGGCCTTACTGTGCACTTTTTGTGTCTTTGATTTCTTTTTCCTTGCATTATTGAGCTGGCTGGCACCTCCCCATAGATGTGGCATGGAAATGGTGAGAACAGATTTATTATAAGAGGAAAACACTTAATCTTTCACTGCTAGCTCTCAGGTTTTCATGGATTCCCTTTGTTATGCCTGAGCAGATTCTCTTCTACTGGCTTGCCAAGTTTTTTTAATGAATGGTGGTAAATTCTGTAACATGTTTTTTGTGACTCTACTGAAATGATCAAATGATATTTTTCTCCTTTATTCTGTTAATGTGGTGATTTACATTTACTAATTTTTGTGTGTTTAACTTTACATTTTGGGGGAAAATTCTACTTGGCCATGAGTTATTATCCTTTGTATAAAGTACTATATTCAATTCTATAGTGCTGTATTCAGTGTTTTTTAGGGTTATCAGTTACGGGTTTTGAATATGACTGCCTGGTATAAGGTTCAGCCAAGTTAAGAATTTCTTTTAGACTCATTTGTTTTCTGTTGATGAGTTCATTTGGGCATTATTTGTTTTAAATCAACACAAGGATTTTTGTGCATGAAATATAATTTAAAATGTGTCTCTAATTATTTTTTAGGTTACCAATAACTGCTGAGCTATATGTTGGAGAGCCCAGCATTTTCTTTGAACTGAAATAGAAGAGGCCTTAATTTTTATTTGTCACTTTCTTTTTCCTTAGTATTATTATTCAGTCAAAGACATTTCTATTGGAGGAATGTGTATTTGTTATGGCCATGCTAGTAGCTGTCCATGGGATGAAACTACAAAGGTAAGTTCTAGTATTTTACAGTTTATTAAAACTTTAAAATAGGAGTTATAGCTCTAGTGTTTGCCTTACTGTTTTTTTACTCAAGTCAGATGTTGAAAGGTATAAAATCATGCTGTAAAAAATATTTTTCAGATAATTTAACTGGTTTCATTTTTTTGAACAATTTTATTCCACTTTCTTTGGAGGATATATTTCTTTTTTTGTTTTGTTTTGTTTTGTTTTCCTAGTATGTCCAGCACAAAGAAGATTTTTTTCATCATGATAAGCATACTCTTTAATCTCTATCACCTATTTCCTATTTCACCCATTACTTCACACCCCTCCCCTCTGATAACCATTGGTTTGTTATCTATAATTAAGAGTCTGTTTCTTGGTTTGCCTCTGTCTCTCTTTTTTTACCTTTGCTCATTTGCTTTTTTTCTTAAATTCTACATGAGCATATGGTATTTGTTCTTCTCTGGCTGACTTATTTCACTTGGCATTATACTCCCTAGCTCTATCCACGTTGCAAATGGCAAGACTTCATTCTTTTTTTATGGCTGAATAATATTCCATTGTAGAGATACATACTGCTTCTTCTTTATTCATTCATCTATGGACACTTGAGCTGCTTCCATAGTTCGGCTATTGTAATTGTAAATTATTGTATTGTAAATAATGCTGCAGTAAACATAAGGTGCAAGTCTCCCTTTGAATTAACATTTTTGTATTTATTAGGTAAATACCCAGTAGTGCAATTACTGGATCATAGGGTAGTTCTATTTTTAATTTTTCAAGGAACCTCCATACTGTTTTCCAGAGTGGCTGCACCAGTTTGCATTCCTACCAAGAGTGGATGAGGGTTCCCCTTTCTCTGTATCCTTGCCAACACTTGTTGTTTCTTGTGTTGTTGATTTTTGCCATTCTGACCGGTGTGAGGTGGTATCTCATTGTAGCTTTGATTTGCATTTCCCTGATGATGAGTAATGTTGAGCATCTTTTCATGTGTCTATTAGTCATCTGGATGTCTTCTTTGGAAAAATATCTGTTCATATCTTCTGCCCATTTTTTAATTGGATTATTTGTTTTTTGGGTGTTGAATTGTATCGGTTCTTTATATATTTTGGATACTAATTCTTTATTGGATATGTCATTGCAAATGTCTTCTCCCATTCAGTAGGTTGCCTTTTAGTTTTATTAATTATTTGATTTGCTGTGCAGAAACTTTTTATTTTGATGTAGTCCCAATAGTTTATTTTTGCTTTTATTTCCCTTGCCTCAGGAGACATATCTAGGAAATTGTTACTATGGTCTATGTCAGAGAAATTACTGCCTGTGCTCTCTTCAAGGATTTTTATGGTTTCAGGTCTCACATTTAGGTCGTTAATCCATTTTGACTTTATTTTTGTGTATGGTAAAAGGAAGTGGTCCAGTTTCATTCTTTTGCATGTAGCTGACCAATTTTCCCAACACCCATTTGTTGAAGATACTGTCTTTTTCCCATTGTATATTCCTTCCTCCTTTGTCAAAGATTAATTGACCATATAATTGTGGGTTTTATTTCTTGGTTTTCTATTCGAGTCCATTGATCTATATGTCTGTTTTTTATGCCAGTACCATACTATTTTAATTACTACCACTTGGTCATATAACTTGAAATCTGGAATTGTGATACCTCCTGTTTTATTTTTAATTTTCAAGATTGCTTTGGCTGTTTGAGATCTTTTATGGTTCCATACAAATTGCAGAATTGTTCTAATTCTGTGAAAAATGCTGTTGGTATCTTGATAGGGGTTGCATTAAATCTGTAGATTTCTTTGGGTAGTATAGACATTGTAACAACATTCGTTCTTCCAATCCATGAGTGTGGAATTTCATTCCATTTTTTGTGTTGTCTTGAATTTCTTTCATCGGTGTTTTATTGTTTTCAGAGTACAGATCTTTCACCTTTTTGGTTAAATTTACTCCTAGATGTTTTATTGTTTTTGGTGTAATTGTAAATGGGATTGCTTTTTTAATTTCCTTTTCTTTGGCTTCATTATTAGTGTATAGCAATGCAACAGATTTGTGTACATTAATTTTGTATCCTGCAACTTTGCTGAATTCATTTATTAGTTCTAGTGGTTTTTTGGTGGAGTCTTTGGGGTTTTCCATATATACTAACATGCCATCTGCAAATAGTGAGAGCTTTACTTCTTCCTTACCAATTTGGATGCCTTTTATTTCTTTTATTTATTTTTTGTTTGGAAGATGTATTTCTGATTAAGTATTTACTATGAAATTTTTGTGATAAAATACACATAACATAAAATTTACCATTTTAACCATTTTCAAGTATACAATTCAGTGGCCTAATGATCTTTGAAGATCTTTTCTCTATAAGACTGTCAAGCTAAAACCAAACACAGTTATAAATGATGCTTATATTTTTTAAAAGAATGGTTCCCCTCCTCCCATTTTCTCCCTCTTCCATGTTTGTGGTACTAAATCAAGAGAAAAACAAGTTTACCCATTTTAACATAATACTAAGTGAATAATATGAGGCCCTGTCTCCTCTTAAACAATTTATATGAAGCAACTTGTTATTTTTTCCCCCAGTCTTTGAAATTCTCTGACTCTTGAATAGGATTATCCTCTTTTGAGGCTGAAACCTAGGAAGATCAAGAAAGTTATTAATAAGAGCTTATAAACCCTGAATATCAGTGCATCTTATTTGGAAAACTTTTTGTCCATGAACCCATTTTATTTTTAGTTTTGTTTTATTCCTCCTCATTTCTGTTTGTAACCAGGTCATGTGTATATATTTTTCTCTAAAAATGAATGTCTCTATGCTTTGATGGAGCCATATGTCCTCAGGTATACTGTCATGCAGGATATGTGACCATGATCAGTTCCTTTAAAAATAAAGTTATGCGGGGCGCCTGGGGGCTCAACTGGTTAAGCGTCTGCCTTCGGCTCAGGTCATGATCCCAGGGTCCTGGGATCCAGCCCCGCATCCCGCTCCGCATCCGGCTCCCTGCTCAGTGGGGAGTCTGTTTCTTCCTCCCCTTCTGCCCTCTGCCTACTTGTGCACGCGCTCGCTCGCATGCGCTCTCTCTCTTTTTCTCTCTCTCTCAAATAAAATTAAAAAAAAAAAGTTACGAAAAATATACAGGTTAATTTCCAGATGTCATTTTGTATTCTCCATTTCTAGAAACTACAGTGTCAGTGTGAGCATAACACCTGCGGAGAGGGCTGCAGTAGGTGTTGTCCGGGCTACCACCAGCAGCCCTGGCGGCCCGGCACCATTTCTGCTGGGAACACATGTGAAAGTAGGTCTACTGAGAATGGAAGGATGTAGTGTTTTTCCTTCTTAACATGCTTACTTTGATGATGACTTAACATTGGGACTAGGACGTAACTTGTTTTCTTAAATATTCAAATAGTTCCCAAAGTTGCGTATTACCTGAATACGAGTTAAAGTACTGAGACCTACCTGTATCTTTAGGGATTTGCTATTTTATCTCGGGTTCCTCTTCCCATATATGGATGTATTCTTTACCTAATTTGGATTTAATTTTTAAGTAGGCAATACATTCACACGATTCCAACATCCACCAATATATACAAAATACGTAGTGAAAAGTATTCCTTCCACTCTGTCTCCATCCTATGTTCTTCCTGAAATTTTTATGCAAATAAAACATACATCAACATATCCCTACCCCCAACGTAGTTCATCCATGGGGCCTGACATGCTTGCATGTCATCCTACACATGGCTTTTATGTTTAACAGTGTGTCTTGAAAATTTTCTGTGTTAGCAATATGAAATGCTGTTCTTTTTTATTTTATTTATTTTTTTATTTGAATTCCAGTATAATTAACACACAATGTTATGTTAGTTTCAGGTGTACAGTAGAGTGATTCAACAGTTCTGTACATTCATTACTCAGCACTCATCATGACGAGTGCGTCTTCATCCCCTTCACCTACTTCACCCATCCCCCGACCCAACTCCCTTCTGGTAACCATTAGTTTGTTCTCTATTGGAGTGCTGTTTTTAAAAACATTACCACTGAATCCCATTAAATGGATGCAATATAATTAAAATAGCTACCTATCCGTGGATAGTTCATGTGTTCCCAGTCTTTTTTTAACACAAACAGTGATGTGGGGAGTAAGCCTGTACATATCACTCATAAGTGCAGGTACTTCTGCGGGATTGTGATCCCAGAAGATAGGTTGAGGGGTCAAATGGGTGTGCATGTGTATAATTTTGATGACTACTCCCAATCGTCCTCAATAAGATTGCCCATATCCTATTAAATTTACTTATTCTGGAATTTTAATTTATTTTACGGTCATAGAAACTTAGAGAAGGAAGGGTTTTCTTTATATAGGACATAATAAATATATTAATTGAGATGTTAAAATTCCTCCAGAATGTAATTGTCACAATAAAACTCAAGACTGTTACTTTGATGAAAGTGTTGCAAATCAGAGGAGAAGTTTGAATACTGCTGGACAGTTCCGAGGAGGAGGGGTTTGCATCAGTTGCGGGCAGAACACCATGGGTATCAATTGCGAAACCTGTATTGATGGATATTATAGACCATACAAGGTGAGAGTGTTTCTTCACCATAGCTGAATTTCATTGCCTTTTCAAGGAGGAAGAGAGATTTCGCCAACGGTCAACTTCAATATTGGAAACTCATTCCCTTCTATAATATTTCCTTTATATTCTTATTCTGCTAGTAGCATTTTTCAGATATCGGTTTCCTGCTCTGTCTGTCCTGTGTTCTTGCTCAGAGTAGGATGTTCACTTGTTATTTAACTTGGATTTGGGGCCCTACTGGCTGTGTAATCTTGGTTTTGTAATACTAACTGTGAATGGGAAGAGTCAGCCAAAAACTATTGCAGCTGTATCTTGCCTGTAGGAAGTGCTCAGTCCATCCTCAGCTGACCTAATATGTAGTTACCACCTGGCTCCCTGTGGAGGTCTGGGCTAGGTGATGCTTATACATGGCTGTGAGAGATAGCGGAGGGGAGCCCCATGACAGTGGTCATGAGAAAGGATGGCACTCTGCTAATGATACTTGCCACTGTCCCATCAAAAAATGTTTGGGGCTTTCTGGCTTGAGCTCACATTATTTTCCTGAGACCTACATTCCCTGGGGATACAAAATCATTACAATAGTCACATCTTGAGTGAAAAGCCAGTACCTTGTCATTGGTATTGTTGTTGATGTTATTGCTAATATTGCTGATAATTCTAGTAAGGTAATCCAGGACAAATGCTGCCTTTCAGGTGTCTCCTTATGAGGACAACCCTTGTCATCCCTGTGACTGTGACCCTTTCGGGTCCCTCAGTTCTGTCTGTATTAAAGATGAGCTCCAATCTGGCTTACACATAGGTAAGTCCTTGACTGGTTTTTGTGCTTGAATTGATTTTTTTTTTTTTTTGGTGGAAGATTTGTACCTGGTAGAACTATCATAATTGGATAGAAATTGAGTGATATGATTCTCTATTGATTCTTTTGTTTACAAAATACTTATCACGCAGTTACTGTGTGTCAGGCAATTCTTTAGGGCCCAGGAATATGTACTTGAACAAGATGATCAAAATTCCTGCTCACAGACAGACACTCAACAAACAAGTACACGCATAATATCAGTCTGGGTAGGGAGGAGTCCTGTGGGCATGAAGCAAAATTGGGAGTCGTGGTTGGAGGGAGATGGGGTGTAAAGAGGGCAATGTTGGGGTGATGAAATGACATTTGAGCAGATAATTGAGCATTTGATGAGAGAAGAAATAAGGCTCAGGTTAAGGCCATGTGGGGAACACAGTAAATAACAATCCCTCTATTTAGCTCTTAGAAGACACTCACAAGGCTTTTGCATACAACATCTCGCAAAGCAAACAAATTCTCCTGCTAACTTTGTAAATGTCAGTGTTCTTTCTGTTACAAAAACTGGCAAAGGGCTTGCAAATAACCAGAATCTTCTGAAAAGGTTGCATCTGTTCAAAGACTTCTGTGACCTCATCAAATTCTCAGTCACTAGCAGTTAAAATGATATTGATCAGCCGGGAAGGATGTGCCAACCAGGGGGCCCACCCACAATGCAGAGGGTAATTTACGTAATTGAATTAATCCTTACACTGGACTGGTAATGGGATGCTAATGATAATGAGGATGATGTTGATTGTAGTCACAATTACCCTTGACTGGGTTCATTTTAGGAAATACATCATTTAAACATTCAGCCATAGCAGATATAAATTCTTTAATGCATTTTATAGGCAAGGAAGCTGTAGCTCAGAGCAGTTAAGAAACTTGGCTGACATTACACAACTGAAAGTTTCAGAGCTGCCATTAAAATCAGAGATAGTGCTCATTGCCCTTTACCATTTCCCTTGTGCTTTCAGAAACAACAACAACAACAACAAACCAACAACAGCTTTATTTTGTGATACAGTTCACTACCATAAAATTCACCCCTTTAAAGTGTATGATTCAGTGTTTTTTTGGTATATTTGTGGGTGCAACCGTCAACACAGCCCACTATAGACCATTTTCATCACCCCATAAAGAAACCCCTTCCCTGTTGGTAATCACTCCCCACTTCCCCACTTCCCTCCATGCCCTCCGCCCCAGCCCTAGGCAACCACTGATCTTTCTCTCCACAGATTTGCTTATTCTGGACATTTCATATAAACAGAACCGTACAATGTATGGTTTTTCGAGACTGGCTTCTTTTACTTAGCATCATGTTTTCAAGGTTTATCCATGCTGTAGCCTCCATTAGTACTTTGGTCCTTTTTTTTTTTTTTTCTTTTTCTTTTCTGAATACTACTCTATCGTATGTATGTACCACATTTTATATAGCCATCCATCAGTTCATGAGTATTTCATTTGTTTCCACTTTTTGGTTATTATGAATAATGCTGCTATAAACATTCATGTCTAACTTTTTTGTGGATGTATGTTTTCATTGTTCTTAGGTAAATGGTTAGGAGTGGAATTGCTGGGTCATAGAGTAACTCTGTGTTTCATATTTTGAAAAAGTGCCAAACTGTTTTCCAAAGTCACGGTACAATTTGACATTCCCACCAGACTCTGTTTTTCATCTCTGTTTTCTTTTTCTAAACTAAGGGTTGACAAACTGTGGTCCATGGGCCATATCTGGCAAACCACCAGTTTTTGTAAGTAAAGTTGTATTGGAACAGAGCTATGCCCATCTGTTGACTGCTCCCAAGCACTTAGGGCAAAGTTGAGTAATTGCAACAGAGATTCTTTGGCCAAAAAGCTTGAAATATTTCGTTTCTGGCCCTTTGTAGAAATAGTTTGCCAATCCCTGCTTTAACCTTTTTACCCTCCTGTTGGGCCATTGCCATCCTTTTCTTCCCAGGGAAGCGGCCCGGTCAATGTCCATGCAAGGAAGGCTATGCAGGAGAAAAATGTGATCGCTGCCAATTTGGTTACAAGGCTTACCCAGCCTGCGTCCGCTGTGAGTGCAGTCGGGCTGGGAGTGTGAACGAGGACCCATGCTCAGAGCCTTGTCTCTGTAAGGTATGCGTGGGGGTTAAAGTTGACCCTGAGTTTCTTTTGAGGTGTCCTAAGAAAGCAACACATTCCATAGGCTCAGGAGATCAGTTCTTGAGCAAAGCAGCAAGGTTTAAATAGAATTCTGCTTACCCACACCTTCCTGAGAAGCATGACATTCTGTCACAGTCTATGTCCTTGGCCTTAGATGGGCACCCAGTTTGCTTTTTTGGTGCCTTCTGGGCAATGGCCATCTCTTCTGGAGGTATTTCTGTGACTTCCAAGATGAAACCAAATATTGCATTTCTTAGGCCTGGGCCATGATCTCTTCTGACATTCTGTTCCAGCCTAATGTTTAGAGGAGAACCAGGTAAATACTAAATTTGTAAAAATGTCAAATAAGGCAGATATGTTATTTTGGATTTCTCTTAAAAAAATTGGACAATGATAAAAAACACAGTCATTGGGTACCACGGAGGTGGGGGTTTTTTGCAATTTGATATTAATATCCATTTTCCCATGATAACTATAATTTGTGGGACTTCCCATTATATCTTCTGTGCTTCTTCCCATGTAAGCAGAGTCTTAAGCACATTTTATAAGTGACTGAAAATAATCTTGAGTATTTGTTAATAAGACAAACAATTATATAGCCCTCCTCAGGTTTTAAAATTCTTGAAAGATCCGCAAAAATGGAAGGTTTCAAACAAAACAATATGAAAAATGTTATTTCAATATAAATGACCGAGCTCTAGGATCCTGACCCTCATTCTCGCCTACAAAATTAAGTGGTCATAATTTCAAAATATCTGTTCTGGAAATAATGACTTCATGAGGCTTTACGTCTCCTCAGAGTATCTATTTATTTACCTGTTTTTCTGGATCACCAAACATCTTTCTTGTTAATGTCACTTTATTCTATCTACCTAGACACACTGGTTTCAAATCTTTTCTCTACTCCGTGCAGGAAAATGTTGAGGGAGACAATTGTGACCTCTGCAAGCCAGGATTCTATAACTTGAAGGAGAGAAACCCCGAGGGCTGCTCAGAGTGCTTCTGCTTTGGCGTTTCTGACGTCTGCGACAGCCTTTCTTGGTCCATCAGTCAGGTGCGGGTTCCTTCCCCGAGCCCGAATATAAGACATGTGCCACCTCAAAGGAGCTCTCTGGGAGCTGTGTTCTAAAGCAAGGGGGCTGCCTTTCCCTGTACCACCACTCCCGGCCGTTTGGAATGATATTGGCATGGATCAAGGGCAGCCGGCTACTAAAGTGTTACAGAAGTTTCTTTCTTGGTCACGTGTTTGTTCCTACATATATTTCCCTATCCAAACAATAGGATGTTATGGTATTGTAGAATGTATCATGTTTCAATTTCTTCTATGGGAAAATGCATCTGGTTGTGGGGTCAGAGGTGAGTTCTGGGACCCACTGCTCCACACTGGTCTCAGGCCAGGAAGCACATCAGGACATGGATTCATGCAGAATTTTCTAGCTCAGAGAACCTGGTGAGGGTAGGAATAACAACAGGTGACATAGGGATTATGAGGGCAGGCAACTGATTCCTCAGTTGTTCTGGGAATGGGGAGTCCTAGGGGGATGTCAAATGGTGCCTGGGAGGACAGTGTGATGGCTTGAGGTTAGGGAGGACCACAGGGCACAGGGCTCATCTGTGGTAACCACCTGGCCTCCCCATGGCCATCTTGGGAAAGCTGTATTCAGCGTAGGGGGGTTGCTAGTCCCTGACTCTCCTTTCCCTCCCTCCCTCCCTCCCTCCATCCCTGGCAGGTTGGTGAGGAGTGGGAGCAACATGGGGGAGGGAGTGGGGATCCCAATCAGTATCTAAGAATGAAGGTGAATCCCTGTGGCTACCATGCTGGGGTGATGGTGTTTATCATCTCTTTGTAGATGATAAATCAGAAGAATAGGATCTGGAGGTTATTTTTATACATTTTTCAGCTTTTTGGTAAAGCTGTTCTATTAAGGTCCTTGCTATTTTTTTTTTTTAATCTAAAATATATATCCATGTCTGCCATAGTTTTGCTCGCCAACTTGCTTATAATTGATCTGGGGATCTGGAGAGTGTTTGACTCATTCTCAGATTTTCTTGATCCTTTGACAAGTAGAAGGGTCATGAGTCATGTGGTTCTGTGGCCACAGTGTGTTAACTCTGTCCTTAGCTAAGCTCTCTGAGTCTGTTTCTTCATTGTAGGGATATTAGTACTGGCCTGGGTGAAATCTCAGGGGACTTCAATTTCATATTCTGAAATTCTGAATCTTTTTTTTAAGGTGAAAGATATGTCTGGGTGGCTGGTCACCGACCTGATCAGTCCAAGCAAGATCCTGTCTCAGCAAGATGCGCTGGGTGGGCGTCATCGGATTAGCATCAACAACACGGTGGTCCTGCAGAGGCTGACTTCCAAGTATTACTGGTTGGCCCCAGAGGCCTACCTTGGAAATAAGGTAGGGCCATCGCCAGAAGTGACATCTCGGGCAAAGATCTCAGAGCACATTAGGAAAGAACTTCTTGTTGGCAATTTAAGTCGTCTCAGGCTCACTAGAGGGTTTGACAGATAATTATACAGCATTTACTTACACCTGACTCACATGGTCTTGCTTAGCCTTGGGTGACTTTATTACATCATTAGACTATGAACTTTGTTCTTGGCCACGTCAGTCATAGGCAGGCTGTTGTAGGAAGCCTTGTCCCCTCCTCCCATGACAGGCTCTCCACTTTCCTCTGCGTTCCTGTATCACCTGGGCCTCTGTGAAGTGTTGGGCAAATTCCTGCTTTGTTTAGTTAGCCCTGTACTTTCTTTAGGCCCAGGGCTCAGTAGAGAGCCTGGCACAGAAGGCACTTGGGCGGGACAGGCTGGGCATTGGGGCTGGTGTCCTGCCAGTTTCATTATCAAGACAGACTCTTTCTCACCTAACATTCACATTTAGCAAAGATAGAATACTTCCCATTTTAAGAAAATGCAAAGTGGTGATTCTACCAAGTAGAAATTTGGTTAATATGATTTAACCTGCCGTTGTTCCCTTCCTCCTTACCAATCATGTCACTTCTTCTTTTTTTTTTTTTTTTTTATTTGAGACAGAGAGGGAGGGAGTGAGAGAGAGCACAAGCAGGGGCGAGGGGCAGACAGAGAGAGAAGCAGACTCTCCGCTGAGCAGGGAACCCCATACGGGGCTCCATTGCAGGACTCCAGAATCATGACCTGAACCAAAGGCAGTTTGGTTCAAAGGTTAGTTTACCTGAATGAGCCACCCAGACGCCCCCAATATTGCCACTTCTCTCCAGATTCTGATGATCCAAAAATACACCCTGTGGAATCTATCTCAGTGGCTCGAGTTCCGTGCTTACCTTCCCTGTGCATTTGGTTTGTTTTGAAGTAATAGTATATGTTTCATCGTAGTGCAGGTCTTATAGCCTGGGAAGTTTCTATTTCATTTACTGGCTATATTTTAATTCTATAACTTATTTTATTTAGACTTAGGTTTAAGTAGTGTTTATTTTGAAAATGATTCTTCTTTCCCTTCAAATTATAATCCTAGAAGATGTGCTCTCTTTATAATGTGGTCTTATCACCAAAGGTCAATGATCTTTTTTTTTTTCTGTTAAGATCACTTTTCTAATTTTATGGTGCAAAGACTGGATTCTGAACCTGATATTGGGTCACACACCTGTCACAAAGAAAATCTCCATTTTGTATTAAAGGCTATGACCAGGAGGAAAAACCTTTAGTCCTTCTTTTAGCTGATGAGTCCTGTACCTTATTGTTCTTCTACGAGCAGTGCAAGGAGATCAGAATGTTGGGATTATCATCATGGATCTGACTCCTAAATCCTAAAAAATTTAAGTGAAATACACGTCTCCTATGTGACTCACAGAAGTTGGTGCTCGTTCACCTTGGGCTTTCTCTAAGAAGGAGCACATCTTTCTTCTGTACATTTAAATCACATCCTGCATTTTGGTAATATTGGTTAAACAGCATATTCGTATAATATGCTTTCTTTTCACTGCCTTACTGTGGACTCCCTTACGTACCGTAGCCACTCGGCTACCTTGCAGCCGGGTTGTCTCCCGACGGATCCTGGCCACCACTTCCTCTTACAGAGGGGCTGTGGTCATGTGCCCTCCGTGTTCACTCTCGCTTACCTCTTTCAGCTGACTGCGTTTGGTGGCTTCCTCAAGTACACGGTGTCTTATGATGTTCCCGTGGAGATGGTGGATGGGGACCTCATGTCTCACGCTGATGTCATCATTAAGGTAGTTGCTTTCACATTGCTTTGCCGTAGAGTGGAAGGGCTTAGCTGGGGGACAGTTTATGACTCTGAGTGGCTAAGAGAGACCATAGTTGCAGGGAGCACAGGGCCAGGTGGCCGTTCAGCAAGGCTTTGCCTCATCCAGACACCACCAAGACTGAGTGTGACAGTTCTCTTTGGGCCCATTCCTGGAATTGCCTCAAGACAGCACATGGGGCTCTTCCCTCAATCCCCGAAGCTGACCCATCTTTTCACATTGAGAAGGGAGACAGGGGTTTGCTCTGACGTTGGAAGTACCCTGTCAGCCCTTTGAGTCCCTCTGTCTCCTCCTGCCACGTTGCCTCCCACATGAAGGCTTAGGCAGCAGTGCTTGGCGGTGTGGGGACAGAAGATGGGTTGCCATTTTTGTCCTCAGCCACTGTACCCTCACTCCCCCTCCACCCCCATCACTCAAAGACCCAGCTCAGCCTCACTGGAAATTTTCCCAAAGGTAAGAAACCACCTCGGGTTCTAGTCTGCAGTGTCTGCCCCCTCTCCTGGTACCTTTATTTTTTATTTTTCTTTAAAGATTTTACTTATTTATTTGAGAGAGAGAGAGAACAAGTGGGGGTGGGGGGAGGGCAGAAGGAGAGGGAGAAGCAGGCTCCCTGCTGAGCAGGGAACCCAGCGTGGGATTGGATCCCAGGACCCTGGGATCATGACCTGAGCCGAAGGCAGACATTTAACTGACTGAGCCACCCAGACGTCCCTTTCTCCCAGCACCTTTAATGATGTGCACCGCCCCCATCCAGCCTGCGATGAGTGGGATCGGGATGACATAAAGCATTTTTGGGAATGGCAGTTTTGTGGAAAGCTAGAGGTATCTTTATATACTTTTCTACTTTTGCTCTTCAGTTAAAGATGACGGGTGTCAGATTCATTGCTTTGAGGAAAGTTATGTGCACATACATGCTGTTTCTCTTCTGAGATCCCAGCGCAGGACTCAGCCTATAGATTTATTCTCTGAATCCCTCTGAGGGGGATACAAGGAAACAGCTCTCCTCCTATCGTTCCGAACCAAGAGTTGTGGACACGATCACATGTTTGCCCTGAGAACCTAAGCACAAATGAAAAGCCACACTGCTGAATAGAAATTTGCTTTTATTTTTTGATCATGAAGTTGAATTACAAAGGTATTTCCTCTTGGTTTAAATATTAGGGAAATGGACTCACTTTAAGCACCCAGGCTGAGGGCCTGGCATTACAACCATATGAAGAGTACTTGAACGTGGTCAGACTTGTGCCGGAGAACTTTCGAGATTTTAATAACAAAAGGGAGATAGATCGCGACCAGCTGATGACTGTCCTTGCCAACGTGACACATCTCTTGATCAGAGCCAACTACAATTCTGCAAAAATGGCTCTTTACAGGTGTGTATTGAAAGAGAGGGAAAGCTCATGGGGAGGGTCCTCAATCTCGTCTTCATCTATTAATAATGATGTATTTTCAGTGTAATATATTTTCCTTGATTATTTTAAGGGTACAACTAATGGAACTGGCTGCCTTCAAAATACTTTTATTACTATAATATTAGTGACGATGTAAGGACAGTGGTCCATGATAAGTGTGTCTCAGTAGGAGATCATTTTGACATCAGGATCAGAAACTTTCAGGGTGGTTTTCTGAGAAATGCCTGACAAATTCACAAGTGTCTGGACCACCTTGTATCTTGTTTTTACCCTCCTGATGTTAACGGTCTTAAATTTTACTGTCTATTTAAGCTAATGTTCCCATCCTCGGTAATGTTATTCCTTCCAGGAGGTCAATTTCTGGCAATGCCAGGCTATGGCTACGCATGCACGTTGGACACAGCTAAAGCAAACACAGAATTATACATTTAAGAACAATCTCTGTATTTGAGATAGGATGATTGAATGGGTTAGTTTTTCGGAAGTGTTTCAACTCAGACTGGGCAACGTCAGACCCTTCCCACAGCTGTCTGGGCAACTACTCTTCTTTGCACCAAATGTTGCAAAGGCCTTCCAGAGAATACTGACAGCTTTCAGAAATCATATTGGTGGGAAAATCTGTAGTTACTTACAAAAGTCACATCACCTTTTTGTTTGAACAAAACTTTAAGAATCCACCTTCATCAAGATGTTAGCTGTCATTTGCAGGTAGGCGTCTGAGTCACGGGATGACTTCTGTCTATTGGTAGGTTGGATTCTGTCTCTTTGGATACAGCCAGCCCTAATGTTATAGACCTGGCGCTGGCCACTGAGGTGGAACACTGCGAATGTCCCCAAGGCTACGCAGGGATCTCCTGTGAGGTAAGGCTCCTCTTCGGTTCCTATCTCCTTTTGTTCTTTCCTAAGGAGAAAAAAAGCACATTAAAGGTGATACAATAACCCGCACTTGAATTTTAATTTTAGAAACCTAACATTTGGCTCAGACTTTGGGCGGCTTTAGGAATACTGGAAGTCACAATGTTTAAGGCAGTCTGGTGCCCCTTCCAGGGGGGTCCTGGGACACGTGGAAATGGCCCGATTTCAGTCTACCCTCTTGCCTTAGTCAACCAGAAAGTTGCACTGCCCATGCCGTAGTTGGCATTTCTAAGGAGAATTGAACTTGATTGCGTCTGGACATTTACAAATCACCAGCGTGCCACCTAGAAAGCCAGGCCCGTTTTGAGACTTTTTATGGCCCCCAGCTAGGTTAACTTGGGTGAGCTCTACTTCACAATGAAGTGTGTGAGAATGCACTTGCGATCACCAGTAAAAGTAATCTGTCACTAAAAAAATTTTCTGAAATATATTTTGAAATTATTTGGACATGAATATTGATAATAACTCTCTCCTGCTGAGGACTTTCTATGTATTTGGCACGATCCTAACCTCTTTCTGTAGGAAAGAGCTAGGAAGTAGTTATATCAGGTTCCAAGTGTCATGTGCACCATTAACCGCCACACGGTCCTGCCTCTCCCGTGTTTAAGACTGACTTGTCATTGGCTGTGAGTTCTGGGCCATTAACTTACAATTTGTTTTACAAATCTTTATCAGTTATACACTTTGCAGTTAATAAAGTTGGCCTGTGCTTCATGATATAGATTTTTAATTAAATATTTCTATTTCTATTTTAAATATTTTACAGGGTTTTTTCTTTTATGACCCCATGAACTTTTTTTTTTAGATCTAAAGACATGTATTTTTAGGCCAAGGAAGTATCTGTAGGACCTAAGTCCTGTGAGCTTACCAGAGAAATGACCTTGAGCCTACCTCATAGTATGTGGGATGTGAGAGTGGGTGGGCTGGTAGATAAAGTAGGAGCCCAGGCCAGCTAGACCAGGAGGGGGCAGCAGTGAGCAGGTGCTGCAGGGGAACTCCAGGTCCCCTGGGTTCAGAGGAAAATGTGCTGATATACAGGGGATGATCGCTCAAGGAAGCACATGAAGCTTAACATAAGTGTTTTTATCAGCCAGAAGAACTCATTCTTTCATTAGGAGCTGACATAAGGAATCAGGCAGCTATAGGTGGGGACTGGTATTCTTGAGATCCCTGTGGCCACCACACAGACCCCCAGGCAGCTCCCCCTCAGTGCCCATCTGTAGACTAGTCCATTGTCCTTGACGGGAACGTGGTGCATGGAGGTGTTAAGGGGACTTTCACAAGGTCAGTGTGAATGAATGCATATATATATTACTCATATAATGAAAATGCAATTTTAATATTTTTTACAAGAGTAAAAACCAGATCCACACCCCTCCTCCCATGACCCCATGGGAGCATGCTGGCCTCCCAAAAAATCACTCCCCCGTCTGCACTTGAAACACGTTTTATGTCTGGTGCAGCCCCAAGCAGCCCTGTAGCCACAGGTCTGGGAGGTGTGTCTCTCCGACTTTGAATCTTTCCATTGGCACAGTGGGCACGGGGTCTAACTGTTCCATGTTCCAGATTCCATGTCTATAAAATAGAATGGTTCTCAGGGTCATCTTGAGAATGACATGAATGACTGTCTGGGATGGCCCTCTGCTCCTCCCAGGCAGGGGACAGCATCCATGAATACCATGAAAGCACGCCTGTGATGTTTGCTCAATTCACCTGATGCAGTTTGACACAGACCTACCCTTGAACACTTTGATGGTAGTATTTAGTGACTCTTACCCAAAAGAAAACAAAATCAGGTTGAGAGAAAAATGTCCACTTGATTGAACACTGGTGAAGTGGCTGAGTGTTACATGATTTCTCAGTAATATCGTGGCAGGTACCTCGAAGGTGGATGCTGACCCATTGTATCGCCACTAGGTTTTGGTGTGCGTGTTTCTACCTATAAAAAGAAAGGAGGGTGGCGCCTGGGTGGCTCAGTTGGTTAAGCGACTGCCTTCGGCTCAGGTCGTGATCCTGGAGTCCCGGGATCGAATCCCACATCGGGCTCCTTGCTCAGCGGGGAGTCTGCTTCTCCCTCTGACCCTCTTCCCTCTCATGCTCTCTCTGTCCCTCATTCTCTCTCTCTCAAATAAATAAATAAAATCTTTAAAAAAAAAAAAAAGAAAGAAAGGAGGAAGGGGGCCTGGGTGGCTCAGTCAGTTGGGTATCTGACTTTTGATTTCAGCTCAGGTCATGAGATCGAGCCCCATGTAGGTCTCCAAGCTCAGCAGGGAGTCTGCTTAGGATTCTTTCCCTCTGCCTCGGCCCCTCCCCCTGCTCGTGCATGCTTTCTCCCTCAAGTAAATCTTTAAAAAAAAATGAACTGGATTGTGGCAATGTTGCACAATTCAGTAAGTTTACTAAAAAATCAGTGAACTGTATCCTTAAAATGGGTGCGTTTTATGACATATAAATGATACCTCAATAAAGAAGTTGCGGGGGGGAAGGAAGTATGTTTCTCTACTTACGGAAATTGGAGCAGTTGATGTTCCTAACCTATTGACGAGAAGATGATTTGCATGATGTACAAGGTTGCCTTCCCCTGCGTGTGTCACCTGTTCCTCTCTTGCAGTCCTGCCTCCCTGGCTATTACCGCGTGGATGGAATACTCTTTGGAGGAATTTGTCAACCCTGTGAATGCCACGGCCATGCAGCTGAATGTGATATTCATGGCGTTTGCTTTGTGAGTCTTTTGCCAAAACCTCGAGTGCCCCCCCCCCCCGACCCATCCCAAAGCAATCTGCTGTGCAGAGTGGTTAAAAAAAAGTGCTTCCTCCATAGGAGATTATCCCGGGCTTTGTAGACCCCAAAGGAAATTCGCAGACTTAAGTTCATGTCATAATATGTTTCCTGCTTTTTCCTCTGCTCTTTTTTGAAAAAAAGTTACTTTGGTGAAAATGGAAGAGGGATATATAATGTCATTGCAGGTTTTTTATTAGAACAACGAATTCACTCCATAAGATTAGAAAGCCATATAAAGGTAGAAAATATTGCCCACTGATTAAAAAGGATAAGGGCTTTTAAAGGAAAGTGCTAGAATTCCTTTAACATATTACACAGTATGTCCTAAAAGGAATAATAAAACTTCTAATAATTACACTCGTTTGTGCAACATATAATGCTTTATAGTTGTTAGCTCGGGTAAACTCTTCAAACAAGTACTTCTTTCATGCAACAGGAGTTGAAACATGGCTTGACAAATATGCAGTTAATCTTGAGAATGAACTTTGGGGCAGATACAGGGCAAGACTTGTTTTTTAACTTCAATCAGGAATTCTTTTAGGCTCTTTTTGCCTGGAAGCCAGGCCATACTCCTGGGTTCTAATGGATTTACTGCACAGAGATGGAGTGAATGCCTATATTAATCAGCCGAGTTCTAGTCACCATACAGGGGAATGTTCATGCTGTTTCCAAAAGAGATTGATTGAGTCCCAAGGCTAGGGAAAATTAATTATCAGAGCCATGGAGAAGATCTCCTCATGATGCCATGGATTGCTTAATCTTTCTAGAGCCTAGTTTTTCTTGATTCTGTAAGTAAAGCTTTCATTTTGTTCTTTGTTCATTTCATCGTTCTGGAAAGCAAGTGTCTATAGGAATTACATGAAGTGATGTTTTACACACACACTCAATCCTTCAGGATCAGTTTCCCAGAGCTTGGTGAGGTTGTTGCTTTTTTTAAACGCCTCTGCCCTTCCACTTGGGTTTGTAAGGCCAGCCTTCCGGGGCATCTGCCAACAGTTGGGGGTGTCAGCAGGTTGTGATTTCAGCACCCATGGCTTTAGGTACAGGTAAGCCAAAAGGGTATTTGCACGTGCTTCTATTACTATATCTTTACAAAAATATATGCTCACACTAAAGTGAAAATGCTAAGTAGCGACTGGCCTTTAAGTTCTAATTATAATAAGTGATAGTAATTTTTATAATTGAAAAATTGGGGGAAATAATGTCAGATTTACAGTAAGCCTACAAAAATAGCACGGCGAGATCCTGTTCAGCCTTCACCCTGCTTCCCCTGGTGCTCACATCTTGCCTTACCAGAGTACAGTGATCAAAATTAAGAAATTCACGTGGGCACAATCTCATCAACGGAACTGTGGACTTCACTCAGATTTCATCAGATTTCCCACTCATGTCCCCTTTCCAGCCTCAAATCCAGAACCACTTTGCACGTGCTGCCTTCATTCTGTGACAGTGCCTCAGTTTTCCCTTGTCTTTCATGACTGTGGCACTTTTGAGGAGCCCTGGACATTCTCTGGAATGTCCTCTGCTAGAGCGTGTCTGTTTTCTTGTGATTAGCTTGAGGTTTTGCATTTTAGGCAGGAAGACGTGAAGGTGATGTGCCCCCTCGGCGCACACTGTTAGCCTGGAACACTCGGATGAGGTGCTGTCTGCCAGCCTTTTGCACTGTCAAGTTATTATTTTTACCTTTTTAAGTCATTCATGTTTGAAGGGGCAAAAATAATAAAAATTTAGATTGGACTTTAAAGAAACATAAAAACTTGGTAGCATCATTTATCTGTTTCATCTAACTTTGCTTTTTTTTTTTTTTCTATTCTATTTTACAAAGAAACCTTTGAATTCTCCCCTTTGGATAGCCATTTCTAGCCCTGGGCCTTGCATGTAGCCATCCAGCTTCCAGGAGTCAACTCCTGATATACAGGTTATCAGAGAGAAGGTTCCAATTGTTCTTATTGCCCTATCTTTTTTTTTTCTTTTTTTAAAGTGTGGTTTTAGGTTTATAGCAAAACTGAGAGGAAGGTGTAGGAATTTCTCATATACCTCCTGCCCCCACGCACACACAGCCTCCCACATTATCAACAGCCCCCTCCCCCCGCCAGAGGGACACACTGGTGCGGTTGATGAACCCACACTGACACATCATAACCGCCCCCACCGCAAAGTCCACGATTTACATTAGCTCCTGTTCTCTGAGCTCTTTCTGCTGTTCTCCCAAGGAGAAACCAGTTTGCTTTCTTCTGGAAGAGAAGAGCCTAAAAGGCAGTTGTGTAGCTTGGACCCTCATGTTTTTTTCTTTTCCATTCAAGAGAAGATGTTTTTCCTTCCTGAGGAGATGAGCATTCTCCTCCCTCACATTCCAGCTCCAAAACAGGGCTGGTCCCTTAAAGGGATGGTGACCTGAGAAAGTGTCAAAACAGATTTGGTAGGCTTTTTTTTTTTAGCAGAACTACGTAATGGCTTTCCCAAAGAGAAAGAAAACCCTGTCTGGCCCTTTGAGCAAAGAAATCCTATCATAGATATTTTGCAAGTGGACATAATTAAATGTATTTTAATGAAACTAGTTATTTTGCATAATACTTTTAGCTCAACCATGTAGCCATTTATCAAAGCCAGCTGCATTTTGAATTAATTTGGGTTAATTATCAAAATCAAGGTCACATAGGGGATGGGGAGGGAAAAAAGAGTCTAAGACATTCCTACCAAAATGTCACCCGAGGACCAGCAGTCTGTGTGTTACCCTAGAGTTTTTTAGAAATGCAGAACTCAGGCCCTGTGTCAGACCTCCTGAATCAGAATTGACGTTGAACCCAGGTGATTTGTAAACAATTCAAGTTTAGAAGCCCTGGTCTAGGATAACTCTACATAAAACTGGTGAAAGCCTGGGGTGCCTGGGTGGTGCCATCGGTTAAGCCTCTGACTCTCGGTTTCAGCTCAGGTGGTGATCTCAGGGTCCTGGGATCAAGCCTCACATGGTCAGACTCTGCACTCAGCATGGAGTCTGCTTGTGATTCTCTCTCCCTCTCCCTCTGCCCCTCCCACTCGTGCTCGCACTCTCTCTCTCTCCCTAAAATAAATCAGTAAATCTTAAAAAAAAAAAAAAAATGGTGAAAACCTATTTAAAAGGATGTAATACAAATATTTATAGTCCCAAATTAAATTTAACCTATGGGAATACTTTTATCAACCTCAGGAATGGTAGAAAAGTATGCAAGTTTAGAAACTAGACACATTATTTAAACTGTTGAATGAAAAACGGCCTACAAGGTCTATAAAATGAGTGGCTCTCAGAAAAGGGGGTAAAAGGAAGTGGGTGGCAAGGTGAACCCACAGGTGGGAGCCGTGGCAAGTGAGTACAGGCTGGGGTGGGTAGAGATCACAGGAGAAAACTCTGGGTGACATCAGCATGGGGGTGGGGGTTATGGGAGGACCTGGGGAGACCGAGTCACTGGCAGAGCAGAACTTGGGAAAGAATGTGGAGAACAGGCTCAGCTTTCCCTTGAGCTCTGCCGCTGCCCTCGTGCTCAGCGTCGCTTCCTACGGGGGCCAGCTCTGCCCATCCTGTTTCTCCTGCTTACCTCCTATACGCCTGATGTGGCGTCATTCTGCTTTCTTAAAGACATGTTTTCAAGAAGGAAATAAGTCTTTCATATTTTCCCTGTATTTATCGTTTCTAATACTCTTCAATCCTTGGTATAAATCCAAGATTTCATCTGGTTCCATGTTCCTACCTCCTGAAGAACTGTTTTTAGCATTTGTTTGGTGCAGGTCTGACGGCCGACAAATTCTCTCACCTTTTCTTGACCTGAAAAAGGCTTTCTTTCGTCTTTGAGTTGGAAATAGATTTTTGCAGATTTTTTTTTTTTCAGGACTTGAAAATTGTTGTTTGCGTATGGCCTGCATTGTTTCAAATGAAAAGTCATCAGTCATTCTTATCCATGTAATTCTCTGGGTTGTCTTTTTTTTTTCTCTGCCTACTTTTTAGATTTTTCTCCTTATGAATCACATTTGCTTTTTGTTTGTTTGCTTCTCCTCAGATCTAGTAGTTGTTATCCTGCGTTTAAGAAAAAAAAGAACAAAACCCTTATTTGGAAATCATTTTAAATGTATGCAAAAGTTGTAGGAAGAAAAATAGTACTTAGGGCACCTACCTTTTACCCGGATTCACCTTGTTGTTAACATTTTCCCCATGTGCTGTATTTTTTTTCTAAACCACTTGAGAATAAGCTGCATACACTATGCTCATTTGTCCCTAAATACTTCGGTGTGTATGTCCTGAGAGTAAGGACTTCCTCTTATATAACCACAGTACATTATCAACCTCAATCAATACAACTGTGGTACCCTACTTTTTCTAATCTACCGTCCATTTTTCCATTTGGCCAGTTGACTCTCTTATGTCCTTTATAGCATTTTTCCCACCGTGACAGGCCCCACCTAGTTTAGGTATTGCATTTTATTGTCATGTCCCTCTAGTCTTCTTTAATCTGAAGTACAGCATTTGACAGCATTTCTTTGTCTTTATAATAAGGGCACCTTGAAGAACACGATCATCTTTCAAAAAATAAAATGCCCCTTATTTGGGGTCCTTCTCTTGTTTTTTCATGAATTGATTCAGGTTATACCTTTCAGGCCAGAACACTTCATTAGTGATGCTGTGGCCTTCTCAGAGAACCACATGTGGAAGCCCACAGCGTCCACTACCCCTCGCTGGTGAATTCTGATTACACATGCCAGCTCTTGGTCAATTACTGTATATTTACCATTCTTTTCTTTTGCAATTAATAAGCAGTGTGACGGAGACACTTTAAGACCATGCAAGTATTATATTCATCATCAAAATTCCCCCTTAGATTTAGCAGTCTCTGATGATTCTTGCCCCACCAACACTTATATGGTGTTCTCCATGCTTCTCGATTGGTACACAGCATTCTACTGTAAGCAGGAACCCTCCTTTCTTATGTTTATTTATTTACCTACTTGTTATCTGCCTGGACTCATGGATTCCAAATTCTCCCAGATGTGACTAGAGGAAGCATACTCAGTGGTTTCCGATTGCCTGATGAATATTGTTCATTGTTAAGTCTCTGGATTTTGTTACTTTCCTTGAAAGAACATCAGAGTTTGTTTTGGCAGGTAGTTAAATTATCATAGGTCAGCTGGATTGTTTCAAGGTTTGTTTTTAAGTTTTGTTAGGGTGGGTCTAGTATAACCTCTACTCTAGGGCAGGTGTAGCCCTACTGCAGAAGAGTTTTTCTTCTGGGGTCTCTACTGGGTGCTCTGGGCATTTAACAGAGACTCCCCACACTGGCTGGCTACAATTCTAGTGTCCCTGGCCTCTGCGTGAGTTCTTAATTTTTCAGCTGGCTGCATGGAAATGCACTCTATACATGAGAAGCTTGTATTCAGTAGCTATTTGAAGGGGTCTCCTGTGCAGATTTCTGGCGTTCTTATTCTGTGAAGCTCCGATTCTCTGCCCAAATTCCTGCAGTTCCGGTCTCCCCAAACTCAGACCTCTGTCTCCTCAACTCAACAAGACCCCCCACATTCTGCTTGGGTCTCCTCCCTCCCCCACCCGCTTAGCAAGGACCTGTGATCCCAGGGTTTCATCCTGTCACCTCCCTTCTCTCACCTTTGTTGTCTAGAGTCTGAAGGATGTTGTTCAATTTTGTTCCAGTTTCCTAGTTCTTTCCTACAGAAGGGCAAGTCTGGTAGTAGCTACTCTGACGTGGGCAGAAGTGAAAGCTTCCCATGTATACAGATGATACAAATTAAAATTTTGTATTAATCTGGAAATAGGCAACCCCTCCTCATGTAACAGAGTTTGGTGACTTGTTTGAGCATTTTTTTTTTCCACCCTGACTTCAAGTTATTTTTCGATGATTCAGAGAATCATTTAAGGAAACCTGAACTGAGTCTCATCCATGCGTGTGTTCTAGGCTTGCGAGCATAACACCATCGGGGACCACTGTGAGCAGTGTGCACCCGGCTTCTATGGGCTGCCTTCCCGAGGGACCCTGGAGGACTGCCAGCGGTGTGCCTGCCCCCTCTCCACAGCCTCCAACAAGTAAGCGTGGCACCCCCACCCGTGGAGCCAGCCTAGTGTGGCCAGACTTTGTGTGTGAAGAGAGTGTGCTTACCCAGTGGTAATTAGGATTAAAGATGGAGGGGTGAATTCTCTCTTTTTAAAAAGAACAAGTTGGGTGTATTAAATTATATAAGAAAGGTTATGTGATGGCAAGAAAATGTGCGTGCTTTGGTTCCTCATGGTCTAATGTTGCTCATTAGTTCTTTCAATGTATATCTGGTGTGCCTACCAGTAGGCTAGGAGGTATAGGGTACACAGAAATGAACAAAACTTTGTTCCTGGCCTTAAGGTGTTTTTAATATAATGACCAAAATATGTAAATATGAGGCTCATTGAAAATGGGCTGAATTCATTTCATGATTCAACCAGTATTTATTGAGTGCCTACTATACACGGAGTATCATGGCAGGTGCTTGAGTATCAGAGTGTTCATCCATGGCTGCTGGTCCCATGGGACCCACCATGTGGTCATGACTGTAGTGGAGGTATGTCCACTGTCAGGAGAGTAGGAATCTGCCTGGAGCGACTCTGAGGAAGCCCCTGATCTGAGGCGTGAAGGATGAAGGCCACGGAGATGGGCGTTTTGGGCAGAAGGAACTGAGTGTGCCAACACCCTTCTCTGTGGCCTTCATCCTTCAAGGATGAAGTTTGTGAAATCGCAGATGGTCCTTGAGCACAAGGCAGGAGTGGGTGGGAGGAACCAGTGATGCACAAGGCCTCATTTGCCGTGCTGGGGCCTGTGCGTCCCACAGGCCCGGATTTGAAAACCTATTTCTCTCTCACTGGCCTACACTTTAGGACTCTTCCTCCCTGCAGCCCAGAGAACTCCCCCATGGGGATTTTCATTTGAAACTCCACTGTGTAAAACAGACAACCAGGGCTACTCTGATGTAATCATAGAGGCCCCCCACCGTTGCCCGCATACCTCCCTTCACAGCCCCCCTAGACCCAGGAATAGAGGTGAGGGGACCTCATTGAGCAGTGGGGATCCTTTGGGGAATGTTGATGGGCTGTCACATGTAAGCTAGAGCTCACTCTTGGCCACTGTGGTTGGGGCTCTGAGGCAGCGCCAGGGAACCCATAGACGGGAGCTCGGCTTGGCCAGGAAGAGTGTCGGAGAAGGCCTCCTGGAGGAGATGGTGGCTGAGTTGGGCACAGGGGACAAGGTGAACCCAGGCAGAGAGGAGACAAAGTGGCTTCTGGGCTGAGGGACAAGCAGGAGCAGGGAGCGTCCAGTGCCCAGGAGAGAGGCTCATGAAGTGGGCTGCATGGTCGGGGGCCGGGCTTCTGAAGTGAAGAACGATTGAAAGTTTGTAAGGAGTGGTAAAAGACAAGGATTTTAAATGTTTAGAAATGCTGCGCCACGCATTGGAAAATTGTGTTCATTTGTAATGTTTTGACAGTTTCAGCCCCACGTGCCACCTAGAGGGTAGGGAGGAAGTGGTCTGCGACCGGTGCGCCCCAGGATACTCAGGAGCTTGGTGTGAGAGGTACTCTGTCTGCATCACTCAACTGATTTCCAAAAGTTGCATCAAACTTTTTTTTTTAATTAAATATCAATGATATGTGTTTCTTTTTAAATGTATAGGTAAGTATGATTTTAGAGTTTTGGTGTGTAATTATGATTTCCCATAATTATAGAGAAAAAATCAGTATGCCGATTAAAAAGCTAGTGTGAAAACTCCCCGGGGAATTTTTCAAGAACAGTATTTGGGCTCCTCGAGCTCATGTGAGTTCTCATCGATGACAATAGAAAACAACAAGGAGCCAGCGTGAACTGTTCCCACACTGAAATATCCCACTATCTGGATAGTTCCATAGTAGAGATGGTTTGATTTAATCGCTGTCTTCTGGCACCTGAAAGCCAACACTGTCTTTTCCCAGGTGTTAAGTCTCAGGTGCCCAGCTCTGGCCTAAGTCCCTGAGGGAGCCAGTCACACCCGTGGCATGCGGGTCCATTTGGCCGGAGCTGAGGGCACATCCGCTGGGATTTATGGCTCATTTAGGATACATTCTCTGTCTTCACAATGAGTGAAGGAAATCTGAATGTCTGAACTTGGTGTTGCATTGCTTCCCAATAAATCTTATGGAAAAAGAGTCCGTCTGATTTATTAACCATTCAGAGAATCCCTGGATGGTGGGGGTAGTGTCTAGAGGAAGTGCATTCATTTGGGTCCCTCTTTCAATCTTTTGTGCAGATGCGCAGACGGTTACTACGGAAACCCAACAGTGCCCGGGGAATCCTGTGTTCCGTGCAACTGCAATGGCAACGTGGACCCCTCTGAGGAGGGTCACTGTGACTCCGTCACCGGAGAGTGCCTGAAATGCATTGGGAACACAGATGGCGCCCACTGCGAGAGGTGTGCTGATGGCTTCTACGGGGACGCCGTGACTGCCAAAAATTGCCGCGGTGAGTGTGGGGGCTGTGAAGTCAGAGCCCTTACTGATGGCCACGTAAAGTCTCCATCTACTTACATGTGTCAGAAAGGGCTCAGCCTATGGGGTAACTTTATCTTGGTTGGCGCTTGTGTTAATACCAGTGTAGACCCAAGACCTCACTCTTCCTGGTGTGCCCTGCCTTAGCTTGATCCACTACCTACAGAGCAGGTCAGGTGGCCTGGAAAATTTAGGTGCCCTTCCACTGGTGCAGGAAGTGGTGCTTGATGGGACCGGGTGAAGGCAGTCGGGTCAGAGCCTGCAGTGTTAATGAGGGACGGGTTCAGGGGTCTCATGAGTCAGATGGGATTTCAAGATATGGGGTGGGAAATGGGAAGGCTCTATCCCTGGAGTCTCACAGATCTGTTCCTGAGCTACTGACTCTCACGTTGCTCCAGAGCTCTGCTTCCTTCCTTCCTGACATTATGGATCACTTAGAACCACTCGCTCAAGAAAGCAGGCTTTCCTATGCCTGAGATGACAGACTTGTAGCCTCAGGGCTGATACAGCCCTCAGATTTTTATGCACAGCTCTTGAAGGTGTGAAAGAGTAAAAATGGCAATTTTACATTATTTTTTTAAAGATTTTATTTATTTATTCATGAGAGACAGAGAGAGAGAGAGAGAGAGAGAGAGAGGCAGAAGGAGAAGCAGGCTCCCAAGGAGCAGGGAGCCCGATGCGGGACTCGATCCCAGGATCCTGGGATCATGACCCGAGCCAAAGGCAGACACCCAACCATCTGAGCCACCCAGACGCCCAATTTTACATTATTTTAATAATTTCCTATAAATGCGAAGCCCTGCTATGCTATTACAACATGGCGACACAAGAGGGTGCTAGCGATACAGGAAAGTTATTTTCCCAGGCACACCTCCAGAGAGGGAAAAGGCTTTGTAGCCTTGGGCCAGTCAACTTGATCTTGGCAGCACAGCCACCTTGATTGGTTATCATAGGAGGATAATTATGATAACTGGTATTTGTGTAAAGCTTCAAAGTCTACAGAATGCTTTCACTATATTCATGTCATTCCTTTTCATCTTTCCTGCAACCTTGATGATTCATCACTTCGTTCATTGGTCGTCTATTAACCATTTGTTACTTCCCAAGCACTGTCCTAAGTATCATCAGAGGAGTTGGAAAAATTTTGGCCCAGGTCTACTGGGGAGCTACATGTGATGGTGTGGAGGCAAAGCACACATGTGGATCTCAGGCTTTGGAGTCTGACTAATGTGGGTTAGAGCTGAGGGTTGGTCACAACCAACTGTGTGACATTAGGCAAATTTATTAACCTCTCTGAGCCACTATTTCCTCATACATAAAATGGACATAGTTTTATATATACATATATATATTATGTATACACACACATTTACATATATATTAAGGCCTTTGTGAGAAGTAATTGGGATAAAACTTAAAGTTCTGGAAATGAAATAAATGATAGCTATTTTAAATGCTAATAATAAAAAAGTGCTTTTTATTATTTTTCTATATTAATGCTGTCCAGTAGAAATGTAAACGACACATGTAATTTTAAATTTTCTAGTCACCACATAAATAAAATGATAGAGATGAAAGGTATTGCAGTAATACATCTTATTTTACCCACTTATAAAAGCAATATCATTTTGTCACATAATCAAATTTTTCAAGTATTAATGAGATATTTGCTTTCCTTGTTAAGGTTGAGTCTTCAAAATTCAGTGCATGCTGATATGAGGAATTTGAGAAACAAGAGAGATGATCATAGGGGAAAGGAGGGAAAAATGAAACAAGACAAAACCGGAGAGGGGGACAAACCATTAGAGACTCTTAATCTCAGGAAACAAACTGAGGGTTGTTGGAGTGGAAGGGGGGGGGGGGGGGGGGGGGGGTGGCTGGGTGTGGCACTGGGGAGGGTATGTGCTATGGTGAGCGCTGTGTAAGGCTGATGAACCCCAGACCGGTACCCCCGAGACAAATAATATATTATATGTTAATAAAAAAAATCAGTGCATGTTTTATAGCCTATTTCAATTAGGATGCTAAATTTTCATAAGAAACACTTGATCTGTATTTAGATTTCATAAAATTCATAGTTGCAAAAGGAAATTTACATATCCAAGTTGTTCAAATGTGTTTAAGTTTTTCATCATGACCAAAAAAATCATTTTCCTTTACATTTGCATCTACATTGACAAAACTGCTTCAGTATTTTGTGTGGAAAGTAGATCTTGGTGATGAACAGAGGTGGGGAGGAGGGTCAGAAGAGACAGGATTTGGGTCTGGGTCCGAGTTGTTGTCTGAGGACTTAGTTTAAGTGATATTAGAGCTCGTGTTCGTCTGTTGCATCAGCCACATCTGCAGGGGTCCGGAGACCCATGCGCACAGTGTCGATCTGATAGGACAGGCAGCTCTGCAGGGTGACGAGTGACCATCCCTGGGGTTTGCACAAAGCTCCATAAAGGCCCGGGATGGTGTGGGGCTGCCTCTGGAGGAAATGGCACTTGATGTGAGTCTTGAAGGATGGGTAGGAGATGCCCGGTGGGCTGACAAGTGGTGGGAAAGTGTCGTCCAGGCCTGAGGTGCAGAGTCTAGAAAGAGGGTGCTGGACAGTGAAAGGCAGGGTCAGGCCAGGGCAGGAGCCATGGCTGATGGGTGTGGACAGCGCTGGCCTGTGGAGGTTGTGCCGTCTGTCCCCGACCCCCGGTCACTTGAACAGGGACGGGGTCTGACCAGATCTCTGTTGAACAGTCAGTCTGGAACCGCTGCGGTGGACAGAGTGAACATGAGAGAAAAGGCCAGAAAAGAAACTTGCTGGGAAAGTTAATGAGGGCTTCCAGTAGAGCCTTTGTCATGGGGGTAAAGGTGAAGATAGAAACTAGAAACTGTCGGGACCCCTGGGTGGCTCAGTCCGTTGAGCATCCAGCTCTTGACTTCAGCTCAGGTCACGATCTCAGGGTTATGAGATCTAGCCCCACATTGAGCCCCGAGTTGAGCCCGGTATCGAGCCCCGTGCTGGGCTCTGTACTCAGTAGGAACCTGCTTGAGATTCTCTCTCTCCCTCTCCCTCTGCTCCTCCCCACCTTTCTCTCTCTCTAATAAATAAATCTTAAGAAAAAAAGAAAAAGAAAAACTAGAAAATCTCTGTGTTGACTGGAGGGTGGGAGGGGGTGAGGTCAGCACAGGCAGGATGGGGTCTGGGTCCAGGTTGGTGGCCCAGGCAGCTGGACTGGTTATAGACTGACACTGTCCGGGCTCTTTCTAGTCTCCAAACATTTACACGTTTTATTCTTTTCTCATTTCCTCTTTCCTGTCCCCCAGCTTTGATGAGTTGAATTCTTGTCATTTCCGGATATTTCACTAGAAATCCTCCCAGGCCTATAATAGGATCCCTCTAATGGACTTCCCAGAGGCCCCACGTGCAAATATACTGTTATATTTTACTAGGTTAACCCCGGTGGAAGCGTCAGTATTCAGTATTGCTGACATGGGAATTCCTAGGGGTTGGTTGGGGAGGCATTTGGATGTTCAGGTGTGCAGGAATCAGGGAAGAAATGGGGTCTGGAGAATCGTCAGCATTGATGTGCTAGTGGGTTTGGTGCATGTGGAATGGGTTGTCCAGGGCAGCAAGGGAGCAGCCAGGGAGGGAGAGGCTGTAGGAACCCCACCAAGCTCTACTGTTAAAGGAACCTTATATGAAATGTTAAGTGCTTATAATTTTTATATTGTGGGGTTCACCTGAAAACTAAAATATATGTAAATCACCTAGTAGTTACTGGAAGCTATTTTAAATTAATATTATTTACAGCAAGCAATTTTTTTAAAGATTTTACTTATTTGGGAGAGAGAGAGAGAGAGCATGAGCTGGGGGGGAGGGGCAGAGGCAGAGGGAGAAGCAGGCTTCCCGCTGAGCAGGGAGCCCGACATGGGGCTCAGTCCTAGGACCCCGGGGTCATGACCTGAGCCGAAGGCAGATGCCTAACTGACTGAGCCACCTGGGCACCCCTACAGCAAACAATTTTTTAGTAATAATTACTATTAGAATTGTTACCATGGAAAGACGACTACAGATAGCTGTGTGGCCTATGGCAAACGATATAATCTCTCTAAATTTTAGGTTTCACAGTGGAAAAGAGAGAAAGTTATAGTGCTTCCCTTGTCAGTTTTAATGAAGCTTCAATGAAATATACTGGAATGTGACCCAGGCACAAACGGACTGTACAATAAATGCAGTTTACTATCATCTATATTTTGTGGTGATCAATGGTGAACGTTGACTTTTCCCCGGAGGCAGGGGAAGCTTTGAATGAGACATGGGGTTGGGGTGGGTAGGGGGACACCGGAGGGGGAGACACAAGAAGGGAGGAAACCAGAGGTTGTCCCTTACCTCAGTGAGAGCGAAGTTTAAAAGGGAGGGAGTGGCCATGGGGCCCATCTCACAGGAGGACACAGCGAGATGAAGACCCAGAATGTGCTCTTTGAATTTGCTCCTGGGAAGTCCTGGGAGACTTTTCAGGAGGAGCGGGTTCAGCAGCCAAAAGGCAGGAGGGGCAAGTTGAATGGGAAGGGACAGCGACAGGGAGATGGGACCTCAGATAGACAGTTAAGTTGTGTGTGTGTGTGTGTGTGTGTGCGCGCGCGCACGTGAGTAAACGTGTGTGCGCGCATGTGAGTAAACGTGTGTGTGTGTGCGCACGTGAGTAAACGTGTGTGTGCGCACGTGAGTAAACGTGTGTGTGTGTGTGTGTGACGTTTTCTACAGGAGACAACTGAGAATAGTTGGATGCTGAGGAGTGTTTGAAAATACAGGTTTCATTATTTAGGTATGGCAAGGCCAGCAGTGACCAGGAGGAGGGGACACACCAAGGCATAGGAGGGGGTATTCGGGAAGCACCCAGGTTGGTCAGGAGGGGAAATGTGGGCTAGAGCCTTTGTTGTGGTTTCCTCAGGAAGGAAAGGGCAAGGCAGGGTAAGCAGGTTTAGGATTGGCTATTTTGAATAACTTCAGCAGGCCCTGGGGCAGGGCAGCTGTCCCTAATGGTCTGATGCATGGCCCTGGGGTGAGAGGTCAGAGGGATAGTGGAAGTGAAGCCCAAATGAAGGAGAGGGCCCTGTAAGGAGGCCTTTGTGGGTGTGTGCTCTGGATGGGGTTGTTTGCGTATGAAAGGCGTTCCGGCAGGCCAGCTCTTCACTTGCTCTAGGAACTGACTGGCCTTGGGAAGGGCAGTCTGTCGAGGGTCAGCAAGGCCCCCCCAGGAGGCGTGTTTAATACAAAAGTGAGTTGAGTGTTCAAAAGTAAGTCACAGGAACCGGCAGCGGTGCGTGGGGCCCCTAGCACTTCCCCAGCCTCCCACGGGGGGATTCCTAGATGGTCCACTTACACCGGGGAACACCTCCACAGGTGTCTTGGCCACAGTCCATTATGGAGGCAGAATTCTACTGCCTTTCCTCTGATCCTCAGCCTTCCAGCATCTACCACGGCTCTGGCCTCCCCTGCCGATCACTGCCACACAAAGTGTGCTTGGCTTGAGAGAATTTGTGGAGTTTTCCTTTTCTTACATCATTATCACGTATGACAGAGAGTGCACATTTCCTGAGTCCAAACATTCAAAGATAGTGCACATTTCTGGGGTATTTGGCCAAGAGCTGATTAGATATTTTCAATGAAGTGCATATTGACAGCTGTGCTATAAGTATCAATTAAACATTTCAGGAGCCATTAAATTGTATCACTTCGCAAAGGTGGGGGGCTTTGTAGTTTTGAACATCAGTCTTATGACTGTAGATAAAACTGAAATGTTTGACCTGAAGGTAAGTATATTGGAACTACAGGTGACTCGCGAGTTAGAACAGGGAAATGTTTTACATTAAACTATGAAATGTAATATTACCTATTTAGATTGTTATAACTGAGCTTTAAAATATTAAATACATATAAGATCAGAATAAGAACAGATGGCTAAATTGATTTTTAAATCTCCATTGCATGTTATTTATGAAGATTCGTTGATAAACATTGGTGGCTCATTTTTATGATTTCAAGGAATTCATGCAATTGGTTAAGATCGTTTGCTAATTGTTATCTTAACAGCTTCAGTGGTTTTTCTGTGTGTTGGCTCCTTCCAACAACCCTGTAAAAGTTATTGCAAAGTAATTTTTTCTTTTAGTTTTATGATTTGAAACATGAATGTTTAAAATTTTTCCTTTGGGGATTAAGGGATCTTACTACAACCATACCCAGAAATGGGCACAAATATGTCTCTTGTGTGTGTGTTAGCCTGTGAGTGCCATGGAAAAGGCTCCCTCTCTGATGTCTGCCATCTTGAGACCGGACTCTGTGACTGCAGACCCCATGTGACTGGACAGCAGTGTGACCAGTGCTTGGTAAGACGCCTGTGGCCGTTGCAGACATGAAAGTGTTTCGGTGATATCTATAATTGATACCTTGACCTCGGCCCGAATGAAATGCACTTCATGACTGCCAGAAAGAGCTACTGCCCCAAACACGGCTGGTGAATGCTGGGTGTCCTGACCTACAGAGTCTGTATTCGGTTTACAAAGAACTGGAGTGATGTCATGACCACTTTATGATTCTATGAAACATCCGATGTTTGATTTGGGAAACATGCTTGTAAGTATTAGTGGCTAACTAAAATGTACTTTGGCTTCCATGCTCCGGGTCCTCCTCTGCAACAGCCTGGCTATTACGGGCTGGATGCGGGGCCTGGGTGCCTGCCCTGTAACTGCAGCACGTCAGGCTCCTTGTCAAATGACTGCACCGAGGAAGGCCGGTGTCACTGCGTCCCGGGCGTAGCTGGGGAGAAGTGCGACAGGTGTGCACGTGGCTTCCACGCCTACCAGGATGGTGGCTGTACACGTAAGCTCCAGAACTCAGTATTTGAGGCTTTTTAGTAATTCCCAGACTTTTCTTTGCACTCTCCTTTGACTTCTAATTCTGTTACGTTCCTTCACTTGTTCTCTTTTTAACATGTAGGATTTCATACCTTTTGTTCTGTTTCCTGATCCCTATGCCTAATGCGTCTGTCATCTCTGCTAATTGTGGGGACTTAATCACTTCACTTAGCTCTAGTTTCCTCATCTGTAAAATAGAGAAGCTAATTATAGTTTCCATCCAGAAGTTACTTTTCATGTTGGACGTAGAGTCCTTAACATGGCATTTGGCACACAATAAATGTTCCAGAAATACTAGCTGCATCTGTTCTTCCCACCTATTTCTATTTCTCTGTCCTGATTACCCCTTTTCTAACAACATCTCTCAACAAGGAGGAACCTGTCCTGAGAGACATGGACAGGTCTTGGGAATCACGAGGTCTCTGTTAGGAACTAGAACAGTTTAGATAATTAATCAAAGGGAGAGAACCTTAGATAATTAATCAAAGGGAGAGAACCCATGGCATCAGCTGCGACCCCTTCGATTGCACGGGGGTCCTGAGGCGTAACAACACCGTGTGTCTCTGTTGCAGCCTGTGACTGCGCTCACACACAGCACACTTGTCACCCGGAATCGGGGGAGTGTATCTGCCCTCCTCATACTCGGGGCGCCACCTGTGACGAATGTGAGGCCGGATACTGGGGCCACGACCTAGAGCTTGGATGCCAGGTACGCACCGCCATCTGCATCTTCTTAACTGGGAAGCACTTTGTTGGAGCAAGTTTCACTCCTTCTCTTTCATCCATGCACTTGACCTTGACCTGCTGAATGGCTCCATGGTTTATATTTAAAACTCAGTACGGGTTTAGGCATCCAGGTGGAAGAAGCAGCTGCCTTAAAGCACATTATTCTAAGTTTTTTTTTAAGAACCCAGCCGTGAAATGGATGGTTTGGAAACTTTAGTGCTCTTTAAACCTACGCTGCCGTGTACTTGATCTTCCAGGAGGAGGGCAGAAGTCACTTTATTGGGGGGTTACAGCCCAGCTTCAACGGTTCTATTTTCAATGTAGCTTTCCTCAGTTGAACTTGGATATGGTTTGCGTTTTAAAACCAGACTTGCCTTTGATGTGTAAGATGCTGCTGCTGGGTTGGCGTCAGGTCACAGGGTCAGCCCAGTGCGCATGGGCCCCAGCGAGGCACAGCTGTCTAGCCTGGCAGCCGCTGCCTCCTGATTGACAAAGTGAATCCTTGCAGCCATAGTGAAGGAGACTCACGTATTTGTATGATGTCCCCACGGTTAGTGTTTTCTCCTGTAATCCCAACACGTGTGCATTATGCGAATGTATAAGCCACCATTTTATTTGTGAGTTTATTTTCCCAGGCCTGCAACTGCAGTGGTGCTGGGTCTACCGGTCATGGATGCGATGTGCTCACTGGCCACTGCCGATGCAAGCCTGCCTTCGGTGGCCCAGGCTGTCATCAGTGCTCCCTGGGGTACAGACACTTTCCAGACTGTGTGGCCTGTGACTGTGACCCGCGAGGGACATTGGCAGACACCTGTGATGAGGAACAGGGTCTGTGCAGCTGTGCAGAGGAAACCGGCAGCTGCTCTTGCAAGGTAACGGCATTCCGCTCTCTCCCCCTCACTCATCACTATGACTTTGGGGCTTTTAACTATTTAAATCAGGGGTGCCGGTTGAACGTCTCCCTTTGGCTCGGGTCATGATCCCGGGGTCCTGAGATCGAGTCCCGCGTCGGGCTCCCTGCTCAGCGGGGAGTCTGCTTCTCCCTCTCCCTGTCTAATAAATAAATGAAATCTTTAACCATTTAGATCAGCAGCTAGGTTTTAGACACTTTTCATAGTGAGTCCGCACTCCCTTCTAGGTTTAAATTCCATGTAGGCTCTTCGAGAACAATGGATGATTCTTTAAATGGAATTTTTACTGGTTATTATGAGTGTCAGATGATAGAACTGAATCGAAACACACTCTGAGTTTTCTGTCAGGTGTTCCAGTGGGCTGAGCAGCCGGTCTGTCCTGAGTAAACAGCTGAAACAGGTAACACAGGGCTTCAAGAAGATGTGTGATTCGGGGTGCCTGGGTTAAGTGTCCGACTCTTGATTTCAGCTCAGGTCATGATCTCAGGTCAGCGTGGAGCCTGCTTGGGATTCTCTCTCTCCCTCTGCCCCCCTTAAAAGAATTTTTAAAATATAAATAAATAGAAGATTTGTGATTTTCTAACTGGTAAGTAATTATTCTTTTGTATGTGCTGGCCAGAATGAAGGAAATTTGTGTGTGTTATTTTCCTGACAGGTAAGATGTCAACATCATGTTTAATTCCATGTGTTTCCACTGATTTCCCCATTGTGCTTTGTTATTAGGAGGTAATTGGCTACCTCCTCTGGTGCTTTTCCAGGTGCTGGTGATACAGAAGAGAGAGAAAGTAGTGGGCTGATCAGTGACTAGGGATGAGGAAGGGAAAGCTCATCAGATACTATGGCCTGGGAGTAATGGAAACATCAGTGAATGTATTTTTGGCTTACCCCATTGGCAATAGCAGCTTTCATTATAGACGGTCAGAACAGGAGGGGCCTGCCTTAGTGATCACCTGGTCCGTGGCCCGCCACCTGGCCAGTCATCAGAGTCACCTGGGGCCTCAGGGAGGTGTCTCAGGGAGGTTCACTCCAGGAGAGGCTCATCAGGGAATCTATATTCCCAAAGCTTCTGAGATGATTCTGCTGATCATCCGCATCTGGGAATCACTGGCAGTGCCTGAGAGGGTGGATGTTCCTTGAGGTTAGGGAGCTTGCCTAGTGAAACAGCTGCTTTGGGGATGTTTGTGGGTCCCAAATTATTTTTGTGTTTTATTTCATTTCTGCTCAGAGACCTCATGTCTCTCTCTCTCTCTCTCTCTCTCTCTCTCTCTATTTTTCCAGGTAAAAATAAACGAGTCTTGCTTTCTCTCCTTTAGGAAAATGTGTTCGGTCTTCATTGCAGCGAATGTCGAGCTGGTACCTATGCCCTCCGTGCGGATGACCCTCTGGGATGTAGCCCCTGCTTCTGCTTTGGGCTGTCACAAGTCTGCTCAGAGCTGGAGGGTTATGTGAGGACGCCGGTAAGTTACACATGCGGGAAAACGTGCTCATGTGCTGTTTTAAAACCCTGCCTCCCTCCCTACCCCCCCATGGAAGTTGGGTGACTATAGGGGAGATAGTCAAGAACTTACTTTAAATTTTGCTCTTATGGGCATCAGAAATTCCAGGAAGCTAATCTGGGTTCATTATGAATCCGAGCTCTGTGTCTGCCATCCGAGGAAATAAATGAAGCTGGAACTAAAGTGCTCAGGGTTGCTTCTGAGCTAATCTATCAAAAGCTTTCATTGCAGATAAAACTGCAACACACAACAGCTTCCTTCCTATGACTGAATCCTGCCCCAATAGAGCAATAGTTTGGCCCTAAATGCAATAGTGTAAAACACACGCAGTTTTCCTATTAACCCAGATGTTGGAGTTTGAAGGAAATGTCTCTGTTACTCCTGTTTTAATACTGAAGCTGTCTGGTCTGTAAAACAGCAGTAGAAGCTGACGAATCGAAGGTGAGGAGTGAATTTGTGCTCTCAGGTTTTCCTCCCCTTCCATGACCAGGTAACGCTGGGCTCAGGGCAGCCCCTCCTGCGTGTGGTTTCTCAGAGCAACCTCCAGGGTACGGCTGAGGGGGTGTATTACCAGGCCCCTGACATCCTCCTGGACGCTGTGACCGTCAGGCAACATGTCCACGCAGAGCCGTTTTACTGGCGGCTGCCAGAGCAGTTCCAGGGAGACCAGGTGAGGCCCCCCACCTGGCCTAGAGCCAGTCCACATTTCCCGGAGGAGACAGGTGTCACTTGAAATCATGATGGACTGTTAGCTGACCCTTAACCGAGGTGCTTATCCCCTCTGGGTGGAGATGGAGAAGTTTAACACTTATAAAAATACCCCCAGATGTATATGGCTCTCAAGTAATTTTCATGCGAAAGTCTTTTAGGGGCACCTGGCTAGCTTAGTCAAAAGAGCATGCGACTCCGGATCTTGGGGTCGTGAGTTAGAGCCCTGCATTGTGTGTAGAGATTACTTAAAAATAAAATCTTAAAGTCTTTTAAAAATCATGTTATTTTCCTCCTTCCTCAAGCAGTCCTTCAATAAACACTTTTCATTTTTATTAACATAAGCTCAGGTGCTGTGGTTCTTCTCAACAGATCGATACTCATTTAGGGGGAAAGTAATACCCTACTATAACAGGGTATTTAGGACATCACTTGCATTTTTGTTTAAATAAACATTGGAATCTTTGTGTGAAATCACCCAGATCTTTAAATTTGCCAATATGTATCCAGTGTTCCCATAGTTCTAGGTCCTTTTTAATTCAAAGGAGCCTGAAAATAATCAGGGCAATTACCACACTGATTTGTTACCTTTACTTCCTTTGGTGCCAAGGAGAGGAAGCTGAGGGAGGTGACGTCTGTGGCCTTGATGGGGGTGGGGGCTTCACGGGTGTATGCTCCTCCCCAGACTCATTGAGTTGTACACCTTAAATATGTACAGCTTTTTATATGCCAGACATGCCTCAATAAAAGTTTTTTTAAAACATCACTTAAAAAGCTATGGCTTGAGTTAACTTAATAATCCCTAATTAGAATTAAAAAGAGACAAATTCGGGGCACCTGGGTGGCTCAGTTGTTACACGTCTGCCTTCGGCTCAGGTCATGATCCAGGGTCCTGGGATCGAGCCCCGCATCGGGCTCCCTGCTCCATGGGAAGCCTGCTTCTCCCTCTCCCACTCCTCCTGCTTGTGTTCTGTCTCTCGCTGTGTCTCTCTGTCTCTCAAATAAATAAAATCTTTAAAACAAAAACAAAAACAAAACAAATTCCAGGGTGCCTGGGTGGTTCCGTTGGTTAAGCAACTGCCTTCAGCTCAGGTCATGATCCTGGAGTCCCAGGATCGAGTCCGGCATCAGGCTCCTAGCTCAGCAGGGAGTCTGCTTCTCCCTCTGACCTCTCCCCTTTCATGTTCTCTCTCTCTCTCTCTCTCTCTAATAAAATCTTCTCTTTTTTTAAAGACAAATTCCAGACAATGGATTCCACCCTTGTGATGTATTTTTAAGACCCAGGATTTCTTGCAAATGGCAGCAGGCTTGTAATGAAATAGTTTTAAGCCAGGGCTATGTCAGAGAAGTAAATCATTTATGATCCCCTAGCTCCTGGCCTACGGTGGCAGTCTGAAATACAGCGTGGCCTTCTATTCTTCCGACGGCATCGGCACCTTCAACCTTGAGCCCCAAGTGTTCATCAAAGGGGGCCGGACCAGAAAGCAGGTCATTTATGTGGACATGCCCTCCCCAGAGAACGGAGTACGACAAGAGCAGGAAGTGGGAATGAAAGAGGTGACGATGTCCTCCTTTCCTACGCGCCCCTTAACGGTGTGGAGTTAGCTCTGGATGCAGTGGAATCCCAAAGCTGCTAATAGAGTGAGCTAGAAGACCTGGGAGTCAGAATTCCAGTGGGCTTAGCAAGATTTGTAAAAACAATTCAAATTCCATATGTTCAAGAACCGTACACTAGGCTTATGTTACCTTGGTTCGAATTGCATCCTAAATCCTTTATGTGTGAAATCGTGGTGCACACGTTTCCATCTGTGTGGATGTAATGGTGCAAAGTCGACTTGCTGGGCTCTGCGGACGGTCGGCCGCCCGGCGGGCAGTGCACAGGTGACACATGTCTGCTGCTCCATGCAGGGGGCACCGCGGCTGCTGCCCCAGGAGCTGACAGAGCGGGCTCCCTTCCGGAGACATTTATAAGAGAATTACTAAGTTCATAAGCCTCTGAGGATTTGTAATCAGAATGTAATTGAGGGTGTTTCTCATCCACAGACTTTTTGGAAGTATTTTAACTCCGTTTCTGAAAAACCTGTCACACGCTCCGATTTTATGTCTGTTCTTAGCAACATTGAGTACATCCTCATCAAAGCATCTTATGGTCAAGGATTACAGCAAAGCAGGTACTCGGAACCTTCTAGAATGAAAAAAACTTTTTCTATTTGAAATCAAACTGAAGAGATTTGATTCACCCTTATTACTTCGTATCTTTATTAGTGTGTGTATATGTGTGTATTTGTGTTCCTCACCAAAACTTTATTAAATATTATATATTTATTAAATATGAAATATGTGGAAAATGACCTAGATTATCCACCCCCCAATTAATGTGGATATAAAATATAAGTACATAATGGTGATAGCTTAGATGAGGTTAAAATATAAATGAAACAAAACAAAAAAAGTTCTATTTTCTGCCCTTAAATTTCAATGACATTTCATTTCTTTGTCATGACACATCAAGAATGCTGTCAGTTGCTCATTTAGTACTTATCCCATAAATGGAAGCAACTGGGTTATGGCCAAACTAGTGCTGCAGGAGTTGTTACTTTGTGTAATATTATTTTTAAGTTCTAACATGTTGGCAGGGGCCCGTCACTGTGTAATGACAGGACTAATGTGCTCTTACACATTCCCTTTATAATCGGGTTGGAGCTACTCCCAAACTTGCAGGAAAGCTCTGGCTTAATATATGTGCCAATTCATTATATAATGTGCTAGATTTCTAGAAAGTGTCTTTCTCAGTATTAATGTTCCCTCTCACACTTCTTAACGGTTTCACAGAATCTCAAATATTTCAATGGAGGTTGGCAGGAAGTCTGGAGAATTGCACCCAGGACAGGAGGTGGCATCCCTCCTAGAGAAGTGTCTCTGTCCTCCTGGCACAGCTGGATTCTCATGTCAGGTAGGCAGACTATGGTTAAAATCCACTACCTGTAATGATGTACTACATGTTGGCTAATTGAATTTATTTTTTTTAAATTTTTTTTAAAGATTTTATTTATTCATTTGACAGAGAGACAGCGAGAGAGGGAACACAAGCAGGGGGAGTGGGAGAGGGAGAAGCAGGCTTCCCGCAGAGCAAGGAGCTCGATGTGGGGCTCAATCCCAAGACCCTGGGATCATGACCTGAGCCAAAGGCGGATGCTTAAGGACTGAGCCACCCCGGCACCCCAAGGCTAATTCAATTTAAGTAAAAAAGAAAAAGAGGGCGCCTGGGTGGCTCAGTTGGTTAAGCGACTGCATTCGGCTCAGGTCATGATCCTGGAGGCCCAGGATCGAGTCCCACATCGGGCTCCCTGCTCAGCAGGGAGTCTGCTTCTCCCTCTGACCCTCTTCCCTCTCGTGCTCTCTCTCTCTCATTCCCTCTCTTTCAAATAAATAAATAAAATCTTTAAAAAATAAATTAATAAAATCAGTCCATTTAAAAAAAAAAGAAAAAGAAAAGAAAAAAAATAAAATCCATTACCTGGTTCTGAGCTGAAATAGGCTTGTTACAGCAACTCCTAAGTGATGATCAGAATTTGTATGAATTATATAAGTTTTCTCTTTGAAAAAACTTAATTATGGTTAAATACTGCATAAACATAAACTTTACTGTCCTAACCACTTTTAAGTGTATCGTTCAGTAGTGCTAACTGATTCACACTGTTGTACAACCAATCTCCGGGATTCTTCATCTTGCAAAACTAAAACTCTGTACCCATTAAACACTAACTCCCCGGTCTCCTTCCCCATAGCCCCTGATAATCACCATTCTACTTTCTGTCTTAGTGAATTCAACTACTCTAGGACCTTCATTTAAGTGGAATCATGTAGTATTTCTCATTTATGACTAGCCTAATGCTGTCAAGGTTCATCCATGTTGTAGCATGTATCAGAATTTGCTTCCTAAGGCTGAATAATCCAATTGTATGTATATATCGCATTTTTTTTTTGTTAATGCATCCGTCAATGGACACTTGGGTTAACCTTTTGCCTGTCATGAATAATGCTGCCAAGAATATGGCTATACAGTATCTCTCCAAGACCTTGATTTCAGTTCTTTGGGGTTTATGCTCAAAAGAATTGCTAGGTCATGTGGTAATTCTGTTTTTAACTTTTTGAGTAGCTGCCATACTGCTTCCCAAAGCACGGTCCCATTTTATATTCCTACTGGCAATGCACAAGTGTTCCATTTTTTTTCTATATCCTTGACAACTCTGATTATTTTCTGTTTTTGGTAGTAGTTATCTTGGTGTGAGGTGGTATCTCATTGTAGTCTTGATTTGCAGTTCCCTAATGCTTGATGTTGAGCATCTTTTCAGGTGCTTATCAGCCAATTGTATCTTCTTTGGAGAAATGTTTATTCAAGTTGCAACACTGTGATTTATAAGAAGAAATAGCTATTTGGTCTTCATCCCCCATTTCCTAGCACAGAGTTCTTAAATGCTTAGAATTTCCTAAGAGATGAGATCTATAAAAATGTCTTTTGTTATATTCATGAGGTAACTTTTGAAAAGCTCCTAGATCATCTAAGGATGGAGGCTGGTCACCAAAAGAACCAACCATGTGTTTGGAGAACTTTTAGTCCTATCCCCAGACCTCAGGGGAGAGGAAAGGGGCTGGTGCTTGAATCAGTTGCCAGGAGCCAATGATCGCCTCACTCATACCCATGTAAGGAAGAGTCCATAAAAGCCAAAAGGATAGAGTTCAGAGAGCTTCCTGGTTGGTGAGCACGTGTATTGCCTAGAGAGGGCCTGGAAGCCCCAAGGCCCCTTCTCCGCACCTTGCCCTGTGCCTCTCTTCCATCTGGTTATTCCTGAGTTACATCCTTTCATAATAAACCAGTGACCTTGTAACTAGAATGGTTCTCTGAGTTCTGAGCTCCACTCTAGCAAATTAATCAAACCCAAGGAGGGGGTCGTTTTAACCTCCAATCTGCAGCCTGTTGTCAGAAGCACAGGTGACAACCTGGACTTGTGACTGGCATCTGTAGTTGGGGGGCAGGGCCGATCTTCTAGAACTGAGCCCTTAACCAGTGAGATTGGATGCTATCTCCAGGTAGGTAGTGTCAGAATTAAATTGTGGGACACCCAGCTGGTGTCCAAACATTGCTTGGTGTGGGGAAGAAACACCCGCACAACAGAACTGGTCACAGAATATATTGATCATACCTGGTGATCAGAAGTAGAATTGGTGTCAGAATCGTTACAAGTCCTCTGTCCATTGTTTTAATCATGTTTGTTCATTTCCTTTTGCATGCGCTCAGGACTGTGCACCTGGTTATCGCAGGGGGAAGCTCCTGCAAGGCGCGAGCCGAGGACGCCGTCCTCTGCTTGCCCCTTGTGTGCCCTGCAATTGCAACAACCACAGTGATGTCTGTGACCCTGAAACTGGGAAGTGTCTGGTAGGTTTGTTTGTGTGGGTTCTCAGAGGAGGCACTGAGCCTTTGAATTTCTGCTCCAGAGTCCTATCAAGTTCATGGTTTAGAGAGAGCCTAAATTTAACTGTAACATACATGTAAATTTCCTTCAGAAAGGCTCAGAAGTCAGACATTGTTAGTGCAAAATCTTTTATAAGTCTTAGTTTCATGAATTTGTTTGTGGGCATCAGTTTGGGAGTTAGTTAAGTGTACTTGCAGTATTGGTGGTTGTAGTCAAACTAGATGAGACCTCTGTGTCATAGAATTGGGAGGGCCACCTGGGGGTCTTAAAATATGTTAATGCCCATGTTGCAAATTTGTTTCTCTCCTTGCATTTTTTTGAAAAAATACTTTCTTGATGTCTTAGTATGCTTGTGCTTCTCAGTCACCTCTCCCTTGTTAAAAAAACAAAATTCAAAATTTGAGGATATAACTGGCTTTATTGAGTGATTCATGAATTAGGCAGCATCCCACCTATCAAGGTAGAGGGGAGCTCTGAGGAGTTGTACAAAACAAAAACTTTTTTTAGGGAGGAGGGTGGGGCAAGGAAGTTATCAGCAAAAAGAAAGGATTGTTCCAGACAAAGTCACTTTCCCTTAGATGGGAGGGCAGGGGTCTTATTAGGTGGATGACTTCATCTTCCTTTCTGGAGATGAAGGGCCCACGTGACAGGTTACCTCAGTGATGCCGATCAGAAAATTCCTGACTGGGCTACACAGGTTGTGTTCTTTCTTGGGGTGGTTGAAACTGTAGTTAGGCTCTGTATTAGCCCCAGTTTGGTGTCTTGGCCTAAGTGATGCCATGTTGGGCCTGTGGTTTTCTTTTTAACACCCTAGACCAAGATTGGTCTCAGAAACGTAAGGAGAACTCTGATCACTGCAAAGAAATGGCCCAGATGGAAGTCTTGTGGCCTTGTGGCCTTGACCAAAGACAAACTCTTGTTAAGTGGAATCACGTAGTATTTCTCATTTATGACTAGCCTAATGCTGTCAAGGTTCATCCATGTTGTAGCATGTATCAGAATTTGCTTCCTTAAGGCTGAATAATCCAATTGTATGATTATGTAATCTGACAAGGCCTTACTGATAACCTAGAATAATCTGATATTCTTTCCCTACTCTGGAAATTTTTTTTTATAATAACTCTTGTAGAAACATTGGTTACTTGTATAAATTGCGCCAAGACCACCTCACCTCAGGTAAAATAACTCAATGAAGGGAAATGAGCTGCTCGCCAAGAAAGACCAAGAAAGACCCACCTGAAGCCTTAGAGCTCCTGGATGTGGCCTAGTCACAAGGAATGGGTTGAAGGAATTAGGCAGGCTCCCAGCTGGACTGCAGCCCCTCTAGATCTGTCTTCTTCTATTTGGATGCATTTTTTATCTGTGGAATCGAAAGGTCATTTCCATCGGGGACACTGCTGAACTATGGCAGTGCACAGGTGAATTTGGAAACTGAAGTACAGCATGATTATCCTCCATTAAAAAGATACGTGTTAACCTTTGCTGACTCCATTATATACGTGGAATTAAAGGATCATTCCCCAGGTAAAACGGCCTTACTGAAGATGCAGATAGCTACAACACTATTAAAAAAAAAAAAAAGTATTCACTTTAATCAGCTCATGCTCCAGGCAAAAAGTCCTAATAGAGAAAATGAGAAAATCTCATTTAAGGATTTAAGGAGAATTGATTTCAGGCAACTTAAATCGAGATGCAATTAGCTGGGAAGGTCCCTTGGCGAGTCCTGGGGACAGAGGTCTCATGGACACTTAAAGAAGTTGATCAGTTCTTTCACACTGCATCCTTCCTTGGTGCACTGTTTTAACAAGATTAAGTACTCCTAGGACATTAAATTACTCCCCTGCCTTCCCTGGCCGGAATCCACCAGAACGAAGTCTAAGATCAGCAGCTGACCTGTCGATTCGTAACCAAGAAAGAACACAGCCTACGTATCCCAGTCCAGGAAAGACTGTCCCAGGCAAGAAGTCTCCCTAGCATCAACAGAGAGCTCTGGGACAGCTCCCTGCTCTGGGAGGAGAGGCTGGCCAGATGTTACCTGGAACCCATAAGAGCTCTCAGCTGGATCTGTTCATTTTTACAGTACACAACAATGGATACACCTGCTGCAAAGCGGCTTAAGTCTGAACTACAGCATTCAAGCCAGGCAGTTATTTAATGAATGTTTACACACCTCCAGCCATGGGAAGCTCACTCCCACAGCAGCTCAGCTCATCTTGGGGCAGCCCTGATCATTCCTGGAATTGGTGCACTTGAATCTTTGGAGCCACTAGGACAAACCACTAGGTCAAGTTTGTGCATGAAAAATGGCAGTATCTCATCTAGTAACCCGTGAAACGGGTTAGATTCCTCTTTCGCATATCCATGGGCCCTGAATCTGTAGCCCTCCTGGTCAGATAGCCCCAGTTTATATACCTGGTGGTTCTGTGGAATGGTTGAGTCCATGCACCATCCTGTGGTTAAAGTATCCTGCCCAGAGCCCAGCGCCTTTACCCTAGGTGTGGAAGGAGCATCTCTCTCTGATGCTAGGCATGCCGTGAATGCAGCCCACGGGTTTTGCCAGCCTGGCCGCTGCTGCCTCTGCTGAGCTGACTAGACATGAAGATGCTTACATACTTTCCACACGTTTAGCACCGAGTCCTTGCGCTTTGAACTTGGGACCTTATCTTTTCTCTCCAGTCTTCGTCTGGTGAGGTCTCCTTGTGGTTTAGTGCCAGCAGTGTACTTCCATTTGACAAAATCCCTTAAGCACTGCCTATGGATTATTACATAGGTGGGCATCAAGACCATTTTGGATCTGATTTTGTCATTCAGTATATAGGGCATTCCCCCCCGCCCCGACCTCATGTCACTGAGACTTGGTATTATCGTAAAAATGATCGGTCAGAAGTGTGACCTGGAAAGGAGGTGGGGGGTGACTCAGCACCACCAAGACAGCCTGGGAGTTCCTATCCCTGGGGACCCTGTCCCAGGAGATACCACTTAATGGTTTTACAGTTGAACAACTGACAAGCCTTTTCTGTGCACTTCCCACAGCAAGGAACTCCTCCTACAGGGTGGTTGACATTAACGGGTTCTCATAGCCCTGCCATTCTCGGGCAGCTTGTCTTCAGTTCTCTGGAATCGTGAGAACCAGCAAGTCCACAATCCGTTGTGTATTTGGGGAGTTTTTGATGCTGGAGTTGGTGTTAGCAATCACAGCCAGGAAAATCTCAATCCTCGCTCATCTAATATTTATTCTTCATCAGATTTATATTGTATCATTAAAACAAGTATTTAACACATTCTTTTTAAGAGCGATTTTGCAAATTGTACTTCTAAAGAGATAGCACTTTTAGGGACCACATGGATCCTAATAAAATCTACTTCCATCAGGTGAGATAGGAATATAATTTTAAAACAGAAAATACTGGAATATTTTTTAATCAAAAGGAACTTGAAAATAGTGTTTGAAACATATAAAAGCGGGTGCCTGGGTGGCTCAGATGGTTAAGCATCTGCCTTCGGCTCAGGTCATGATCCCAGGGTCCTGGGATCGAGTCCTGCATCAGGCTCCCTGCTCGGCGGGGAGCCTGCTTCTCCCTCTGCCTCTCTCTCTCTCTCTGTCTCTCATGAATAAATAAATAAAATCTTAAAAAAAAAAACGTATAAAAGGGTGTCTTTCTATAGCCTCTCTCGCTGCCAGGGATAGAGTCTGCTTCAGTTTGCCAGTGTTACCCGTCTTTCTGTCCCTCCATCCGGCACAGAATCCAGTGCCCAGGGACTGAATGGACAGTGATCCAACTGGGCCAAAGCACATTTCACCTTGGAAATAGATGTCAACAAAAACTTGCTCTTTTAGCTTCAAAAACTTTTTTAATGGCAGGATGGGAGGTCCTGTCATGGAAACGATGACATCAAATGTAACTAGAAATGATTTGGTTATTGCAAGAATCTATTGGTGGTGCTATAACACCTGGCATTTTCTTCCCTGTTTCCTAAATCATCATATCTGTTCGCTTCTTTCAGTACCCCACATGTGATCAATGAGCCCCAACCATGTGCAAAACCAATGTGCTTCAAATCAAATGTATTTTAAATCCCTCTTTTAAGGAACTGAAAGTTGACTGCTTTTAGGAGCCCTATGTGTGTGTGTGTGTGTGTGTGTGTGTATAAAATATGTATTTTAGCCCTGTGTATATTTTCCATAAGAAAAATGTATTAATAATTTATAGGCTGTATTATAATGAATGAAGGTCAGAGTTGGCAGTGTTTACAGGATTTAACAAAGATGAAGAAAAAAAATGTTCTCCCTTCTCTATTAAAAAAAAAAAAAAAAAGTACTACCTGACATTAACAGTGGCTTGCTTGAGTATTAGCAGGTAAAGATGATTTCTAACCATTTCCCATTCTTCTCTCCTCTTGAAACCCGGGGCTCCAGAACTGTAGGCACAGCACCGCCGGGGACCACTGCAATGTGTGTGCCCCTGGCTACTACGGGAAGGTGACTGGCTCCACCGGGGACTGCTCTCCATGTGCCTGTCCCCGCAGCGGCCCCGCCAGGTGAGCCTGTGCAGGTGTGCCTGCTCGGCCGTGCCAACGAAGCTGGGCTGCTTCCTTCTCGGCCTGTTTTAACTAATCTCCATGTGTTGAGAAAGGCCAAGTTTAAGAGAAAGTGTTCATTATCCCAGTATTTGAAGAGAATCTTTTCAAAAGCAAAGTCTCTGTGTTGGTATTGGGGTGTTCAAATGGAACCAAGTCGAGAAAGGACATTCAGGTTTTGTTTCTCAGAGAATAATTTTAACCTCCAACCTCTGTATCCAGCATACCTAAAGACGGATTGTTATTGAGTTTATGAACAATGATACAAAGAATTCAGTTCCTGTTTAATGTAAGAGAGTGGGTTAGAATTTGTATAGACCAATGACTGATGAAGTGCAGAAATGCTCCATACTGATGACATCAGGGCCAGGCTCTGCCTTGAACTTGTGATGCTCAGATAGAATTATCTCAACACAAAAAAGAAGCAGAGATTTTATGTGGAAATTGGAATATCTGTGAGTCCTCTTTGGTTTAAATGAACTTGTAATTCATAAATAACGTTTCATTATCGCCGAGACGGTTTGACAAGGCATTGAACATGTACAGATAAAATACCAACTTTTGGTATACTAAAATGAAGTTTTCTTTGTAAACATTTGCTTGAATCTTCTTTTATTGTCTCCAAGTAAGTGATGCTTGATGGTGAGTGCTAAATGAGAGGCACTGTTAACTTCCTTCTAAACTATCAAGCCTCCTAAAATTTATAGTCACTACTATTTAACTTTTTGTGTTAAATATGTATTATAAATTTTGACTCATCAATTCCATTCCTGTCATCTAAGTTATAGAAATATTTGCATTTGTGTGTAAAGATGGATATATTTTGGTATTGCTTATTCTCACCAGCAATTGCGAGGGAAACCGAAATACCTATATACAGGGAATTGGTTGATATATATCGTGGTGCACACCTACAGTGAAAGACTGTACAAACACTGAGACAGTAAGGTATATCTGTATGTGCAGAATTGGAGAAAATATGCTATTTGGGTGAAAATTCTTATTTCCACGTGTATCCATATCCATAGTTCCATGGCTATATGAGCCCAGAGAAATGTTTGAAAGGATATTCCACCTCCTACTTCACACATTTGTGTACTGTTTGAATATTTTACTTCAATCAAAAAGTTCTAACCAACCCCAGAGTGCACACTAATAAATTTTATACGTTAGGAAGCGACTGTGAGGGTCAGAAACCTCTATGTGAGCTCTGCATCTGAGAGACCATAGCAGACGTGCTTTACTTTCTACATATCTCGTGCTTCCACTAAGCCTGCCTCTTTATTTTTTAAAGAGGAAAAAAAAAGTCCACCGAAGTGGGGCTGATAGAGAACCCTGTCGTTCTGAAAACTCAGCACAGGTCAAAACACGAGGCAACCCCCGCGGTTTTTCTCAGCAGCTTGCAGGTACCCATCTGAGCCTCTAGATGGCGCAAGGCTCCTTGATAATTTTAGAATGCGGAGGGAGAGGTTGTGGAGAGGAAGGAGACAAAAGCTGAATCCCTGAGGGAGGGGATCTGAGAGGATTATTACATTTTGAGTGGCTCTGTCATTTTGCTTCTAATGGCGTATCACATGGCTCCTCCATCTCATGAGCCAGGTGATAATGCCCTGCAGTCACAGAGCAAGACCCTTTCCACCTGGAAAGCTTGCTTGTTTGGTGACTAATTCGTTGTCAGGTGTGGGATGGTACTGATTCGTGGCAATGTGTCATTCTTCCCCTCCGCGCGCACACGGTTGTCACTGGACGGGTGTGCAGTGAGTATCTTTTGGATATGAGAGATGCACGTGCTTGTGTTGATCACGTGTTTGTTTTCCTTCTTTTTGCCCCTACTAGATTTTCAGCCCTGAAAATGTCTGGTGTAATCCCTTCACTTTCAGAGCAGTATCGTGTATCCTAAGAGTAATGAATAAGTCGCATAAGGAAGGTTTGACGTTGTAGATCTGATAATTCAAAACACGATTCTTTTCCTTCTAGTTTTAGCCCCACTTGCGTCCTGGAAGGCCATGCCGATTTCCGCTGTGACGCCTGCGTTCTGGGCTACGAAGGACAGTACTGCGAAAGGTACGCTAGGGGGCGCCCCGCGGAAGTCGCTAGGCAAGTCGGCCCCGTTCCGACGGACAGGACATATTTACTGATGTGATTTGGGAGACGTTATTAGTTTGGATGTACGTGACTGATATGGGATCTTATTACTCTTCGGAGCCAGTATCTACATAAAATGTAGAATGAGGTCAGTGGGCCCGTGTTCCTTGTATTTCATTTGGCAGAAAGGGTCGCTGTCCTTGGCGGGGAGCTGGTGTATCTGTTGGCTGGTGTTGATACTACTGTGCACACCTGTGCATCTTCCTTTCTGTAGGTGCTCCTCAGGCTATCACGGGAACCCTCGAGCGCCGGGTGGCACTTGCCAGAGGTGTGACTGCAGCCCGCGTGGCTCTGTGCACGGGGACTGTGACCGCAGGTCTGGTCAGTGCATCTGCAGGCCGGGTGCCACGGGGCTCCGATGCGAGGAATGCGAACCGAGGCACATTCTGCTGGAAGGCGATTGTGTTTGTGGGTATTCTCCTCTCAATGTTTAAAGAGCTTTCTCTCTCTCCATTGTGTTCCTGCTATGGCACCAGCAGGATTAGGTAGATGTGTCTGCGAACTCTCTGAGGAAAGGACAGACCAGGCTCTGAAAGGAAATGCATTTGGAATTCATTGCCGTTGGTCCCAAAGATCCAGAGCGAATGCACTGTGAAGGTCGGAGCGGTAGAAGAAAACATGCACCAGGCCTGGGATCTGCGCTGGGCATCAGTTGTTTCTTTCTGTGGGACCCTGGGGAAGTCACTGATCTGATTTGAGGCTCATTGGCATCGTCTGAGAATAGGTTCAGTACTTGCTGCTTACCTCCCGGCACACAGGTGGTGAGGGAATGAGACTGGATGTGGTTTGTGCAAGCCTTGTCCTGTACTCTGCTCGTGGATGTTATTCTTGCAAAATGGCTTGTGCAAATCCAAGCAAAAATGTGCACACCACCTTGCATTGACTTCAGCTTGCTTTTTCTTCTAGCTTGTGATGATGAGTGTGTAGGCGTGCTGCTGAATGGCTTAGGGGATGTTGGTGACACCATCCTTTCTGTGAACCTCTCCGGTGTTATCCCTATTCCGTATGGAATTTTGTCAACCCTGGAAAATACAACGAAATCTCTCCGGGTAGGTACTGGGAATACAGAGATTGGTAGAAACCTGTGTCCCCTAGTAAGAGAGTTGGTGAGGACAGTGTTCTGTCCTTCTGTCTGTGCTCTCACCAGTGTGGGAGCCTCATTCCTGGCGTCTAGGCTTCTCGGCAGTGTGACCGGGGACTGCACCAACCCCATGCTAACCTATTCTCCTATGGGACCACTCTAATTGTTGAAGCGTTGTTCCATAGATTTCTCCATATCAATTTCTCCCCAACCGCCCTTCTGCCTTTTGGGATAAGACAGAGTACACTCACTCCTCTGTGGATATATGAAAGCAGCTGTCTTAATACAAATACAGGAGAAGAAAAAAAAAACATGGATGGTATCTTCTTTAATGCTGGAATATGCTGAAGATCAATTGTTTTCTGTAAATGTATTATTCTTAACTGGATTTGTAAGCCACAAAATTTCTCTTCCCTAGAAGTCTATCTAAAAATCTCTGGGGGTTAAATCACAGTTTTATGTTTAGTCAAACAGGATCTGGGTCCAAAAAAAGGGGTGGGAAGTTAAGAAATTGGCTTAGAAGACAGCATTCTACTGTAAGCATTTTTACTTCTAATTGGAAAAAAAATGAGATTCTTAATTTTGCTTAAAACTTTGCATGAGAATTTGAGATAATCGATTCACTGTGTCATGTAGTAATAAAAAGATAGTCATTCCTGAATGCCTTTTTTTTTTTTTCCCCGATAAAAGCTTTTCTTAGACTTACATTTCCTTAGTCGTGTGTGTGAATCTGGCTGCTCCAGCCATCCGTTCCTGTCTATAGTGGTCTTTTCTCTATAGACATAATGGCCATAGAGTAAGGTTAGGGAACTCTAAGAGATGTTTTTCATATTATTTTTCCTCAAATGGAAGAAAATGTTTTTGAAAGACAAAAAAATTCTCAAAAAAAGTTTAATTTCCACTCACTATAGACACAATCAATCAATACTATTTTGTCAGTATGGACCCTAGCAATATAACTATATTTTAAATTTATCCAGTAAGATAAATACTTGATTTAAATTTTAACTGTTTTTGAATGACTTGCTCTTATTTAAACCACTTTGTCAATTTTTTAAAAGATTTATTTATTTGAGGAAGAGAGAGAGAAAGAGCCAGGGGAGAGGCAGAGGGAGACGGAGAGAGAGAGAGAGAGAGAATCCTAAGCGGGCTCCACACCCAGCATGGAGCCCAATGTGGGGCTCAATCTCACGACCCCGAGATGATGACCTGAGCCAAAATCAAGAGTCAGACACCCAACCGACTGAGCTACCCAGGCGCCCCGACTTTGTCCATTTTTTAAGCAACTTTTTTTGTTTATGTAAAGTATGCAGGTGAACTCTTAAACTTCGTGGGCAACTTACTTAACTCCCCTGACCCTTCACGATAGTACAGCCCCTTCCCACGCTTGTTATAAGGCTTAAATAAAATCATACAAGTAACAAAATTAGAGGAGTGTTAGCATAAATTAAGCACTGAATTGTTAGGAATCATAAAGACTTTATATAATACTTTTGTATTTCAGCATTTTTAAGATGTTAGCAATTATAGTGAAAACTTATGTGACTCTGATACTGAAATTAAATCAGACTTACCCCAGAACTGTGACAATATTTGATTCTGCATAACACACCAGACTTGGAGTTCATATCTATATAGGAAATGTAATGCAAAAAATGGCAGTACAGAGACATGTTACTATAATCAACACTTAAGTAAATGTGATTCATTTTATTTCTTAATGCAATTTCAAGGGAAGAAGAATTTCTTTCTGTGAACAACAACAAAAGTGATTTAGTCAAGAGCCAGCAAATTTATTCTGAAGCACTGTAATTTGTTTACTTTGTTCTTTTTAGGAAGCTTTATTAAAAGAAAATCCACAGAAGGAACTGGCAAAAGATCAGCTTGAAGGTGTTGCAGAACAAACAGACAATCTGCTAGGGGAGGTAAATTCTTCACATAGAGGGCCCGCTTCCCACCCAGCCCTTGAAAGCAATTGCATTGGGGCGGTCTGGAAGGTTCTATTAAATCAGGGCAGCCTCTTCCTCCCAGGAGCTGTGCTCCAAGTACTTTGTCATCAAATTGGTTTTAACCCTGCCAGTTTCTGTGCTTTAATGGAAAGGGACTCCTGACTTAATTTCTGCCGTCACCTCTGCCGAGGGAAGAATTGGCAGTCTCTGAGCCATCAGCCTCTCATTTCCTCCTGTGAACCGAGGGGCGAGCGGGTGTGTGGTCTCTGAGCAACACTCAGGCCCTAGGCCGCGTGCTGCTGATTTGTGCAGTTTGAATGTCAAGTGAACCTGTTTGGATGTCAGCAGAGAATTATTTATCCTGTTCAGCCCAGGCCAGATGAATGGTTTTTAGCCACCCAAAAAAGAATCTCCTCATTCGCAGATGGTGAGGGAGGCCTATTGTCAAATTTATAATTTTCACTTTTGAATTTCATGTGTGTGTGTTTGCACACCCACACCTATGTGTGTGTATATAGATATGCATATGATAGTATATGTATATTCATATATATGTATCTAGTCTTTGTCTCTCAATACACACACACACACACACACACACACACACTCATGCACCCTAAAGTATTAGGTTGGCTCCTCTTAATTTAGAATTAAGGATGATTTGGGAAGAGTTGAAGGGTTTAAATGTGGCTTTAAAGTACCTCAGTGAGAGAACATTTGGTAGGAAATGATAAGCTGATTAAAATAATTCTCTCTATCCATTAAAGAAGATTCTCTTTGGATTTTGACTAGAAAACACTTTTAGAACCAGACTAGTTACTTTATGCTCCCGAAAATTACAAACAACCTTTCCTTTTACAAATTATAACATTCCTAATGAAAATAACAGCAGAGGACAGCTAAGTCTCTACCCTTGGGCTGCTGGCCTTACACAATTCATGGCATGTTAGCCTCATAAAGCCTCAGGAGGGTTGACATTACTCCATGTTATCAATGAGGCTTGGGCGCTGCTGGGTCTCCAGCCTGGCTGAATCAGGCCCAGTTTGCCTGACTCTGTGTTCTTTTTTTAAGATTTTATTTATTTATTTGACAGAGAGAGATAGCAGGAGCAGGAACACAAGCAGGGGGAGTGGGAGAGGGAAAAACAGGCTTCCTGCTGAGCAGGGAGCCCGATGCAGGGCTCGATTCCAGGACCCGGGATCACGACCTGAGCCGAAGGCAGGCGCTTAATGACTGAGCCACCCAGGTGCCCCCTGACTCTGTGTTCTTAACTCCTCAACTGAATTCTCATGGTCAATACAAATTAGCAAGATTGTATTGCCATATTCTGTCTCCTTGGGTCCTAAGATGAATATAAGGTCTTCACAATGGACATTGTGTGAGTTTGTGGTTTGATAGCCAATTAGGCTCTTTAAAAAAATATACCATCTTTTCTCACATAGAGTGAGTACTAAATTATTTCATTAGCCTCTTAGTTTCCACCCTGAAATATTCACCTTGGCTTACATGAGGCAGTGTACAGCTTTACTCCAGACTCTGGGACATATTTTGTTGCTTAAAAGAGACTGGAACACCAAAGCTCGCATATTAGTCCAAGTCAAACTAACTTGGGACCTTTATTTTCTGTCAGCTCACCAGAGTGTTAACGAGTAGCCAAAATGTAACCAGGGCGACTGAAAGAATCCTCAACAAGAGTCAAGACCTCATGACATTTACTGAGAGGCTGCAGATAAATATTCAAGGTAGTGTGCTCAGTGTCTGGTTTGGGGTCAGTGTCTAGCTTGTGCTTATTTGGTAGGAAATGCTCCATTCACTATATTAAACATATGAATAGATGTGTGTGACTTGCATGCACTAGGCTTCCCAGAGCCAAAGGCCTGGAATATTCCACAGTTGGGGATCCTGAACTGTCTGGATCATAGTCTTTCACTGAGAGTTTTGCCTTTAAAAAAAAAAAAAGGATGCTTTCTTTTTTATTTTCTTTCTAATGCCTTATATTTAGTTCCTAAGGATCAAGTAGACATGGTGCCTCCCCATCTGTTATGAATTTGTCAAATTAACACTTATTAAGTGGAGTACAGGGTGCTGGATGGTGAGCCAAACTCCCACAACAGACCACAAGAGAAAATGAAATCAGAAGTTTATTACAGGTCCGGGAGCAAGTACCCGCCATGTCTTGAGGGGCCATACAGGAGAGGTCAAGGCAGGGGGCAGGCAATGAAAGAGAGATAGGACCTGGGCACATGCCTTTAGCAAGGTTCTTTGGTGGAGTCTTTTGGGGTCCCAGGCTAAGTCTAGGTTGGTCAGTCAAACATAAACAGGGGATTGGGTAAGCCCCACAGAGGTCTTACTGAAGAGGCCAATAAGTAGAAGGCCCTGGGGGGCAGGGGAGGCTGTTGGTCACAAGTGCCATTGGGGAGGTCATAACAAGAACTGACGTTTGCTCGTGACCCTGCCGGGGCTGTCTAGGGCACAGGCTTGCATGAGGGACTACTGTGTGTTTAAGGTCATGGCAGGCTGCTTGGCCAAACAAATGGATGCCAAGGCAGTGACACCATGGAGTGTAGCTGAGCTAAACTCTCAACACCCACCCCTTTGCCCAGAATAGATGCTGACAGGATTTGGGGCTTCAGTGTGGTCCCAACGGATACCCACAATATTAGAGTACTGTGATGTCTCACCTGATCTGGCTGTTAGAGTGCCATTTTCAGTTTTCTGGCTACCAGAAACATATCCTTGCTTTTCTTATTGGATTAGTTTAAGGATATAAAAGGTACAAAATCCAATACAAATCAGACTTTATAGTGGCAGAGGTAAGGAAATTATTAGAACAAATAATGTGTTTATTAAAAAGAGTGGTATTGAGTATTGGTGGTTCATTCATGCGGTAAATATTTAGCAAGTGCTTCTATGTGCAGATGTTTGTGCCAGGTGCAGGAGATGCTGAGGTAAACGTGGCAACCCCAGCCCTTATGAGTTTACGGACACTGGGGCAGACCAACATTAAATCTACCAGTAACCTCAAGTCCATGAGTATTTTGGTAAGGGACGACCAGAGCACATTGGGATATATGGGCTGGCCTGGCCTGAGGTTCAACCCAATTTGGGTGAATGAAGCCGGCCTCAGTGAAGGAGTTTCTAAGTTTTTTCATTTTAGTGCTGTCCACTTTTGAGAGACCTGTTAAATGATTGATGACTTGTCTCCATAGAAATTATTGAAAAAGCAGCAACTCTAAATCAGACCTTGGATGAAGACTTCCAGCTACCCAGTTCTACTCTTCAGAATGTGCAAAAGAATATTACATCTTTGCTGGAAATCATACAGAAAAGACATTTCATGCAGTTGCACCAAAATGCTATACTAGAACTCAAGTAAGTTTCTAAATACCATTCATGACACAATCAATTAGAGGTAGGAGCTTGAATGCTGAGGGGAGGGAGAAGTGTGCAAGGAGGGGAAGGAAAGAACACTCTCATGGGGGGGCCGAATGTCATAAAGAGAGGGGCACAGTTGTCAAAGGAATGAAACAATGGGCGCCAGCCACTCTCAACAGAGAAAAGTATAGTCAGTGCCAATATCTCTCTTTGTGCCATAGGCTTGGTTTTTCCCCGTGACTCCGGAACAATATTTCCACCTAGCACAAACAAAAGAACCTCACAGTACTATATTTATTGAAGATCAAGTATAATGCCATAAATTCTCATGGAAGAAAATACAGTTTAGTGGCTATTCCCTGGGTTGTAAACTCCAAGACAGATGGACATTATGCCGAAATGATTTAGCTCAGTTTTTCAAACTCTCGTGGAAAAACCACCATGTGGAGTGACAGATCAGAGAATTGTGAGACATGCTCACGAGGAGCTTGTATTTCCTTTCAGGCTTTTTTTCTTAGTATTTTCACAGTTATTACTTGATGTAATGTAGCACAAGCTGTCTTTCTTCTGGGTTCTGATAAATATCTTCAGTAGGGTTTAAACAGTTACACAATATGCCATCATAGCGCCATTCCCTGAAGTATGATATTTAACCTATATTAATATATTTTGCTATTTTAAATAATGTGATGGACATCTTAGACAAAAATATTCTCCTCTATTTTACACTATCATCTTATTAGGGTAGATAATAAGTGAAATCATGGAATTTGCATTTTGAAGACTATTGACTTGTGTTTGCAAATTATTTTCTAAAGATTTAAAACAATTCCATTACACTTCCACCGGCAACACACTGCAAAGTTGAGCTTACGTCTTTCTTCATCATTGAATATGATTTCTGACACTGTGTTGATTTGTTACGTGAAAAACAAGTGTCAGATGGCATTTGGAGAGAGAACTAGTAAAATAGTCACTAGAACATTGGTGAGGGCCCAGAACTAATAATAAATGCCCCAAGGGGAAATGAGAGGAGGGCAAGGTCCCAGGAAATGAGGAAGAAGGCTGCCATCTTGGAGCACTTGCTCTGGGCTGGGGAGGGCGCAGGGTTCACTACTCTCATCTTGTCACATAATCTGTTCAGCTGCTCTGTGAGGTTGGGGAGGAGCTAGCTGGGGAAACAGGCCCAGACACTCTAAGTACCTTGCCCGATGTTAAGCCTCCCGGATAATATGAAACCAGACCACACACTTAAATCTGTGTCACTCTAAACCCTATGATTTTCCAACCTGACACAGAAGGAAGAACCGCTTGAGACCCAGTCTGGAAAAGATAGGTGGGTAGAGTTTTAGTGGCCAGGTCAGAGACCTCTGCTGCATTATGACCATGTTCCCCTGACCGCTCATGTGCATCCTCCCTTCCCCTGAAATGCATGGCAGAAGTAGGCAGTGGAGGGAAAGGGGCTCACACCTCCATGCAGGTCTTACCAGGAACCCACCATTCTTCAGGCTCAGCACTGCAATACTCTGCTTCCCAACCATCCTTAGCTCCCCGCTGCCTCCAGGATTACATATAAATGTCATGTATTTGATTCCAGCTCCATCCCTCTCCAGCTTGCCCAGGCTCCCTGGCTGGTCCCACTGTTTCCTGACACTCCCCCACGTATGGTGTGTCCTTTCATTGTTCCTTCCCTTGGCTGTGCGTCAGAGTCTTATTAAAGATGCAAGAGTTTATTAAAGATGCAGATCCCCTGGAGATTCCTGGGAATCATTTGTGGGGATGTCTTCTTCCGCCATTACCCCTCCACAGTCAGTTCATTCATTTGTTCATCAAATAGATTGAATCCCCAGGTGACAGGCATTGTGCTAGGAGTTGGGGACACCAAGGGGAACAGAGCCTTCCTGCCCACTTGGAGCTCATAGCCCGATTTGGAGGAGTTCATTTTCTAAGTAGCATTTGCAAAGAAGGGGAGAAGGCAGGGTGGCCCCTCTCCCACACTATTTCCTCCACACACCCCCGACCTGCCTCGCCTGCTAAGCCCTCCACCACCCTTTCTCTGTTGTAGCTCTTTTGTTTCTATTTGGAATAAAGTTATCCAGAAGATTGCTGATCTTTCTGTTTCACTTTTGAGTGAAATCATTACTAAAGATACCTTTTATTTTTTTTAAATTTAAGAGTTCATCTATAATTTTAACCATTTATCCAAGATTCTGCATATGTATGAAATTACTTAATGTCTATTAAATTGATTTTTACATCCTGCATCCTATACCATGTCAACACATGATATAGAAAAGAAACACATCAATTTTTTAGTAAGTTTGACAGATTGAAAGACAATGTCATTGGTTTTTTTATTAGGGGACAGTATTTACCATACATGTGAATAAAAACATTTAAATTTAATCATTGTTCGCTTTGTTATAAATTCCTAAGTTAACATGTCCTTTATTAATCAGACAAGCTTGGGAAATTTTTTCTTTGAATATATAATATGGCTTTTTTTATCCTAAAGAATTATTATAGTGTCCAAATTTTAAAGAAAAGCCTTAAAAATCTGAATGTACTAAATATATTAAGTTGATTATATTATTTGTAAAAAAAAAATTTAAGGGTTTAAAATGTGTTCTCTGGCCTCTTTCCTATTTTTCATAGATAATCCCTGTGTATTCATGCCATTTCAAATTTCACAGATTATTTTAGGAATTATGTATCTGCTTTTTTATTATAACTCTTAGAAAACTGGTCATTTACCCTGAAGTATGGCATTCTTATAGGTGAGAATATTTATCACACCTTGCAATTGCTTATCATGCTTGTATTGGTGTCCCCAAGACCACGCCCACATTCAGAGTTTCCCTGGGACCTTCGGGACTCCTGGCCAAGATTTCTTAGGTGATGTATTAAGGATGCACAGCTGGATACACAGGGAAGAAGACACAGCAGAGCCTGGAAGAATCCATGCAGCATTCCCTAAGCTCTCTCGCCCTCATGAGGGGGTCACATCACACTCTGCCCCCAGCAAGGAAAATGAAGCACCGCACGTGTAATGTTTCTGCCCAGGGAAGGCCATTAGAAGTTCAGCATCCAAGGTTTTTATTGGGGGCTAGCCCCATATTGCACCCTCTACCTAGCACATACCAAATTCCAGACTCTGCGAAGGAAAGCAGGTGTTCAGCATAAACCACCCTGCTTGCACAAATGGTCAAGGCAATGAGCCACTGTTATCAGCTAGGGAACAGTGGTACCACTTGCAGACACCAGCCATGGGCTGGCAAAGGAGGGCAGAATCTGGCTTGCTGTTTCCCTGCTGCACACTGTACCCCTGATGGCACACTTTACCTTATCATCCGTAGCTGTGTTTCCCAGCTGTTTTCCACGCTGGGGTTCCTCAGAGCTATCCAAAGCTACTTCATTAAAGAAATGTGCCCTGGGGCGCCTGGGGGACTCAGTCAGTTAAGCGTCTGTCTTCGGCTCAGGTCATGATCTCAGGGTCCTGGGATCAAGCCCCGTGTGGTCTGAGGTCCCCAAGTGCTGCTAAGGTTTTTTGTTTTTAATCTTCATCAAGTCATTGATGATTCTATCATTGCCTGTGATCACAGGTTAGGTGATAAAGCCACTTCATAGATGAAAAGTTGACCTCTGTTTTAAAATTTCTCAGATTCGGGGCACCTGGGTGGGTTAGTAGTTAGGTATCTGCCTTCGGCTCAGGTCATGATCCCGGGGTCCTGGGATCGAGCCCCGCATTGGGCTCCCTGCTCCGCGGGAAGCCTGCTTCTCCCTCTCCCACTCCCCCTGCTTGTGTTCCCTCTCTCGCTGTGTCTCTCTCTGTCAAATAAAATCTTTAAAAAATATAAAATTTCTCAGATTCTTTGTTTAATGGTATGAAGGGATCCATGGTCAGACATAAGAAATATATTGGATTTACTTATGTGTTTCCCATGTACTTTTAGTTCTTGTTGCCTGTATCCTAATTATGAGAAATTGTAAGAATGTTTGAATAATTCCTGGTGATGTTCCAACGATGTCAGAGTTTAAGTATGTACCTTTGGAAAATGTTTTCTGTCTTAGGCCAGCGTTGTGATGTCTATGGAAGCTGAGGGTGACTTACAAGGCATCTTCCATGAAATTTTTCAAAGTTTTCCTGACAAATTGAAGCAGGAAGTTAATTGGATATATTCAACCCCTGTGAAGGTTTATAGTGTGAAAATTGTATTCTGTGTAACTTTAAATTCAAAAGTGATTTAAATAAGCAATTTGATAGCATATTTGCAAAAGAATAGGAAAACATCTTTTGATTTCCTAAAGCTTGCTCTTTCCAGTGGTACAAATTAGATCTTTCTGGCATTTGAATTTTCAGTTTTTATAAAATCTGTTTTTTAACTAGCTGCAGAAAAACCTTTATGTCCTCTAAATACATTTATAACTTCATAGCAAATGAATCAAATTACTGAATAGCCTCTCTTCAATTTCTTGCTGCACTAAAAAGCAAGATGGCAGTTGTCATCATCCACAGACTGGTCCCAATTTTCTGCATCCTGACCCACAGAAATGATTTAATTCCATTACTAAAATATGTTAGGAAGTTTGTGAATAAAGATTGCTTGTGAAGGATAAAGTGTAAATACACCAGGCCTGTAGCTGTCTTAGAGAAATTACTTCCTTTAAGAGGTAACGATGTGCCACTTACGGTGGCAGGAAGACACGAGAGAGGGAAATGCAGTCTTTCGCTGTCCGTTCACCATAGGAGCGTTGTTCAGCACATACTATCTACACCATCTATATTTAACAGGGCTGCTGAAGCTTTATTGTCACAAATTCAGAAGAATTACCAGAAGCCACAGAGAGAGTTGGAGGTCTTAAAAGCAGCAGCAAGCAGCCTCCTCTCAGAACACACCAGTGAGCTGCAGACAGCGGGCGACCTCGTGAGGGAAGCCGAGGTGAAGGCCCGGGAGAGCGACCACCTGGTGCGCACTGCCCGGGCCAACCTGCAAGAATTCCGCGTGAGTCTTCAGAAGGACGGTCTCCTTCCTTCTCAGGGCTGAGAGCCCAGCTCCCCTATGTCAACAATACCATTTTTAGCTTCTTTTAAGATGAGCCCCAAGTTCTAACTGCAGCATGTAGTGTCAGGCCCTAACGTTCAGAAACTGGCTCGCTTTTTTTTGAAGCATCCTCAAAGGTGATTTTTTTTTTTTTTGTCCCAGGAAAAGAAGCTACGTGTTCAAGAAGAACAAAACTTGACCTCGACGCTAATTGCCAGAGGGAGAAGATTGCTAGAGGCTGTCCGTGCCCGTGCAGCGGCGGCACAGAATGCTCTGGCAGTAAGTTACAGCTCCGAGCATCTTCACACACCTCATACACATGCACACAGGTACATTGTTCAGTAGATGCATATATACTCACAATCTGAATTTCTCTACATAGCAGTTAGAGCGTCACCGGGATGAGCTGCTTCTATGGACTGCCAAAATCAGGCACCACGTAGATGATCTGGTCATGCAGATGTCCAAAAGAAAAGCACTTGACCTTGTCTACAGAGCAGAGGACCATGCAGCTAAGCTCCAGAGACTGGCAGGTGCTCTGGACAGGTGAGGGCAGAACTTGCAGGAATCCCAGGGTGGGTGATCTGTGGAGCAAAGAGAGTAAGAATGGCTACTTTGATCACAGTGTTGAGTCACTCTTCTTTTGTCTACAAACAAAGACTCCTATTTTATTCATGGGGGAAGGAGGATTTCCTCCCATGTCTGGTAATGTAGTTATCCTTCCGCGTATGATGGGGAAAATGCACACTGACCTGGATAGGAGTAAGATAAATATTATGATATCAAGACACTAAGGCCATGTTAAGTAACTACTAAGTGCTCGGGGCTTTGTTAGGTTGGACAGAATGAAGACATTGATTTCTTTACAACTCTTGTCCTTCTGGAACTTATGATTTGGCTGGCTTTATGCATGGACGGAGGTTGTGGTTGCCCCAGCTGGAAGACACCATCCCCTTTATTTTCTACTTCTTGAAGGTCTACTATTGTCTTATAGTTACCTTAACATATGTTTTTAGCATTTGTTAAATATGTCCTCAACTTGTGACAAAGCGCTTCTAAATGAGAAGCATGACTTGAGGACAGTGGTTCTCAAACTTGTCTGCACTTTGGAATAAACTGGGGAACTTCAAAAATACTGCTTTTGTCACCTTGTCCTCCTCTTGCTCAAAGATTGTGACCCGGGCTTTGTCACATTTTTAAAGATCCCCATGTTATCTAATGTACAGCAAATGAAGGAACTAGTGTTTTGGCCTTATCAGAGATTCACACAATATTGGGAGTTAATTGGTAAATTTATTTCTTAAAAACTTACAGGTAGAAAAAGTCTGGACTCACTGGGTATCCGTGTGCTGCTCTGTGTTGTGTGTGTTTCGTGGGAGGGGAAAAATAAATATCTTTCCAATTTGAGGAATGCTGCCATAAAAGATTAGTTCACACAAGGAAAGCAATTAAAAACGATATAGGATAGAATGTTGCATAAATTGTCTTGCATGGAGCATTACCACCTACACATGCCATAGGAATCTGTAATAGAAAATGGAATTAGATACTCAGCTTCTCTCTTTTCATCAGCTTTCATTATTTCCCAAAAGAGAAAAAAAAATATTCTGCCTACATACATAGCTAAGACAAAACCCATATTACCTAGTACGAATAGTAAGAGCAATGTGGTATGCTACACAAAGTTAAATAACATTATTATCTTTTATTTATAAATCGCCAAATTTTGCCAATCAAGTAGTAACTGCTGGTGCCTGGTTTGGGAATCACTCAACTCGATAACCTTGGGGAGAAAATTGAGTGAGTTACTCAGCAGGCAAAGATGTGTCAATTGTCAGATTTCATTTTCAAGATAGAGTGAGCTGGATGAAATTGCACCATTACCAGTTAGCAAGTTCATAAGTGATTTGCCCACTTGTAAAAGTTGAAATTCAGATGATTGAAATATTATCTGATCTTCCTCCCAGACCTTTAGTGAATTTCATCAAATGGGTATATATCTTTTGAAGAACAAGATTCAGCATCCTTATATATGCCTAAGGAAGCTTTTTGAAAATTAGCAGGTGCACAGCAGGAGAGATTACAGCCAAGGCAAACATGCAGTGGTACCCCAGACACACGCGGGGGTCTGAAAGAAATGACAGAATGTTGGGGGCAGTTGGTGGAAACTGTTGGATGGTTAAAACCATAGGAAACAGCAGTAGCCCCTTCTTCGGGTATTAATTAAACAGTGCTTCTGAGTGTTCTCGTGACGATGTAGCTACTGCTTTCAAAGATGACGGAGTCCCTATGTTGTTACTCCTTGAACTTTTCTAAGGGTGAGAAACCAGGAAGCTTTCAGGGATAGTGAGCAAGTTCCATTTAATTTGTGCTATAACGTCTGTAAATATGCTGCTTACACAGTGGCCTTGGCGGCGTTAGACACGTGTCCCTGAATGCCACCAGCGCAACCCACGTCCATTCCAACATTCGGAGCCTGATTGAAGAATCAGAGAAAGTGGCAAAAGATGCTCTCAAGACAGTGTCTATGGCGAGCCTGGTGAGAGCTGCCCCGGGGGCCACAGTGTATGCCTGCCTTTTCTAGGCACTGTGGGAGATTGTTCCAGAAGGTGCTGAGCAAAGACTCGGTGGCTTAAATTCATGCTTGTCAACATTCTCGTCTGGTGAGAGCTGTTTGGCTCTGTCATCATGTGATACAAGTTTTAATTTCTTAGGGTCATAGACACTTTTTTTTTTTTTTAAGATTTTACTTATTTATTAGAGCGCATGAGCTGGGTGAGGAGCAGAGGGAAAGGGAGACCCCTATCACAGGGCTTGACCTGGGATCATGACCTGAGCCAAAGTCAGCCACTGAACCCACTGAGCCACCCAGGCGCCCCTTAAGGTCATAAACACTTCTTTACGGAGACTAGGGACTGGTGATGTGGTAATGAGGAATATCTCACAGTTTCTTATAATGAAAGGATGATGCTTCTTGATATCTACTTGAGACATCTTCTCTTTGGAGAAATCTTCACTTAATGTCTGGGTTTTGTCTTTATGTATTTAAAAATGGTTTGTGTTCTTTCTCCTCAGCCATGAATTAGGACAATTTAAATTGTCCCTACCCATTACCTAGTGGACTCCCATGTTTGGAACTAGACCAAGAGACTATTCTGATAGAATTGCTGTCCCTATCTCCAGCAGGAGTCCATCTGCCCCTCCTCCCACATCTGCTCCCCCCATCCCCCCACCATTGTCATGTTTAAAGTGTCCTGTTTTCCAGTTCTCAGAATCCCTCGTTTCTAATGGGAAAGTGGCTCTCCAGCGCAGTTCCAGATTTCTAAAAGAAGGCAACAGCCTGAGCAGAAAGCATCAAGGTAAGTTTCTAGCTTGGACTGTATTGATAAGCAGAGTGAATAAGACTCTCTGAGCATACTGCTGGAACATTCTCCTTTCCTGGGGGAATCTGAACATGAACACTTCTTTGTCACAATGACATTCCAATTTCCTGTCATAGAAACATCATATTTAAATTTTTATTTTTGAATTTTTATTTTAGTGTCCTCTCTTAATGTGCGGGCACCTCTAATCTTCCAAAGACTCATTAAGCCTTCTTTGGTAACTGAATCCTCCACACATGGCTTTAGCTCATGGGCTGTCAGTGTTTCACAGTGTGTGTCAAGTTCTCTTTGGTTTCACATGCTCCCCTATTCATATCACACTGTTTCACAGTTTCTTGAAGAGTTGTATTATATGTGATGCATTTCTTTTGCCAGTGTTGCCAAACAGGGCTAATATAATGTTAAACTCATGGTAACTTCTCATTAAATCGTTGTTGACTTAAATCATAATAGATCTATCATTTTTTCAAGAAATCCCAATGCAGTGAGTTCTTCCTGAAGGGTTCAGTAAGCAGTGATTTCACATATGTAAGGGCTGTACGGTAAACACAACACAAAATGGCAGTAGGAATCTGTTGTGTGAGAAAAACATACACTTTTCACCTTAATGTATTCTCATCAAAAATATCAAGTCCCTTTCTGTAGGAGTAGACAGGCCTATAAACCAAGCCCCCACCCCTCCAAGAACACTTCCATGCCTGTACTGGATCCTCCCATAGCTGTTTGAGCCAAGGGCCCATATGTGTGCATAGTTTTTGTTTCTCTGTGAGTGACACAATTTAAATTTTATGTCATCATCTTACGGAATAGAAAGTCCCTCACACTTGATCGTAAAGCAGATGAAACACAAACTCTAGCATCGGTGTTGATGGGCTGTGGTTTCAGCTTACACACGAAAGGTGTGTCAGAGGCCACCAAATAGTGAACTTTCTGGCAATTAAAATTTTAGAACCGTCGTGTTCATCAGGTATTTTATCCATAATTCATTTTTAACCATGTGTCCAGCATTGAGATGTGTGTATTATGAACAGAAATATTAAAAGTAAAAGCTTTGATCGCACAGCTTTGATCAGACTTGAAGGAGGCTGAGTTGAGCACGTGTCCTGCCCTGAGAGGATGGGGGAGGGGAGGGGCCCTGGCTGGGGAAGCCGGTGGGGGGGGGGCAGCGGGGCGCACGGGGGAAGATTCCTGGGCAGGACAACCTTTGGGGTTTTACAACCCAGAGAAGAGAGGTGAACAAGATTTAGGTGTAGGCAGGACGTTAGAGAATGATTAAGACTGAGGGATTTAAACACAAGTCTTCACCTGAGCTCTAAATTAAATTGGACATGCAATTCAAGAAGAGATATTTGGGAGAAGGGCAACAAGTGAAATAGGAAAAATGATCAAGCAAGCTAAAAACACTCTTCCTTTCTATAATGAGTGGTGCTAAGTCTTATTGGAAAAATTTCAATATTGGGGGGGGTGTCTGTAGAAAGCTGTTGATTCTGTAAATGGGTCAGAGTGATGAAGGAACCTGTTGCCTAAGCAACTTTTGAGTAGGTTATCCTCAAAGAGGACAATTTCCCCCCCTTTAAATAGGTATCACATTGAAACTGAGTGAATTGAAAAATACAGCAAACAGATTTCAAGAGAATGCTGATACAATTACTACGCGGACCAATGAATCACTCTTAATACTCAGAACAATTCCTGGAGGTAAGTGGAAAGGGGGTTCTTGATTTAATTAATGTTTGCTCATTGTAAAGCCATTACACAGGAGTGGAAGGAAGTCCTGCTGCGAGTCTGATTAACAGCCCTCGCTCAGAATCGAGACCAAGATGGATAGAGTCTTTACTCACAGAGGAGTATGATTTGGAAGTGAAGATAACTATTTCTTAAGTAACTCCAGAACACCTGCATTGGAATGCTAGAATCATACTCTGAAAAGCAGAACCTTGGGAGACTTGATGCTACCCCATGAATTACTTTCTTTTAAAATGCCTTGACACATCCCTTCAATGAAAGGGTCATTCGAAGATGTCAGCAAGAAGCTGAATGTTCCCGTCTTAAGGGCAAATGCTAGATTCATTATAAATGGGGGCAATTAAAGAACTCTTGCTTGGTGATCTTCCTTCATGAGGCAATAGAAAGCATTCTAGGGCGCCTGGGTGGCTCAGTTGGTTAAGCGACTGCCTTCGGCTCAGGTCATGATCCTGGAGTCCCGGGATCGAGTCCCACATCAGGCTCCCTGCTCAGCACGGAGTCTGCTTCTCCCTCTGACCCTCTTCCCTCTCGTGCTTTCTATCTCTCATTCTCTCTCTCAAATAAATAAATAAAATCTTTAAAAAAAAAAAAAAGCATTCTAAAATAAGTTCAGAAATCGCTTTAATATTGATGGGTTGGAAATGTGCTATTCATTACAATCTGAAATAGGATAATTATTTTAAAGTATAATACAAATGAGTCCAGCCGCACTGCATCATTTACATCCCCTTGACCTTCTCGTCTTTTCTTAATAAGCCTTACAAGACGCCCTAACAACTCCAGAGTTCTTTCTGTGGATTCACCGGTGAACATGTAAACCACGTAGGGGAGCTGGGCTTGGGGCACTTTCTACTGACTTCTAACCTTAAATCATGGGCACATTTTCTGACCTGGAAGTTTCTTTTCTTTCTTTCTTTTTTTTTTTTTAAGGACACATGATGTATGTTGGTTAAATAGTTAAAAGTACCTTTTTAGGGGCGCCTGGGTGGCTCAGTCAGTTAAGCATCCAACTCTTGATTTCAGCTCAGGTCATGATCTCAGGATTGTGAGATCGAGCCCCGTGTCAGGCTCCTTACTGGGCATAGAGCCTGCTTAAGATTCTCTCCGCCCCTCCCCCCCACAAGCTCCCCCCTTAAAAAAAAAAAACAACAACAAAAAACACCTTTTTATTTGGAAGTAATTTCAAACTCGCAGAAAAGTTGCTCCAAGAGTAAAAAGAAACCTGTAGACTCTTTATCCAGCTTCTTCTAGTGTTTGTTTTTGTCCTGTTTGTGATTGGATATTTTGAACATGAATACTGGTGCCTTTAAAAAAAAAATCATCACCCAGATTTTTTAAAATAACTGAATTCCACTTTATCCATAGTGACCATTTAGTCTTTATTCTGTTCCGTCTAGCAGTCAGCTGACGTTGTGGGCAAATACCACTTCCTCTAGCCTACGACATGCCCATCTTTCCTACAAATTTAAATTCCGCAACCTTCTTATCCACACACGGACTGATTTGAATAAGGTATTTAATGAATATGAGAAGGGAGTGATAGAAGGAAGACCAAATAAAGAAGTTTAGCTTATTAACATCTAAGACCCTGAGAACATGGCGATTAGCAGTTGATCTCACTGAGTATTGAAATTTCAATACAGAGGATTGTTACCAAAACTATTTCATTTGTCCCTAAGAGGGAGCAGTAAGGCATAGGACATGCAGTGTTACTACTGCCATTAAAAACCAGAAGCCCCATTTTGTGCTCAGCAGCCCATAAGAAATACTGTACATGTTTCCATGAGAAGTTACATTTATTGTGGTTTATGGTTTTCCCCATATATGATCACACGGGTGCATGCTTGCATGTAAATTTATTTCAGGTGTCAGAGACAGAGGAACCAAAGTCAAAGAGCTGGCCACATCTGCAAATCAGAGCGCAGCAAGCACTCTAAAGAATGTCGTGGGATTGAGCCAGAAGCTGCTGAATACATCCACTGACCTGTCCAGGGTTAACGCCACCTTACGAGAAACCAACAGACTTCTCCAGGACTCCTCAATGACCGGTACGTCCCAGTCTCCCTTCCCGGTGGGAAAGTCTGTGTTGTGAGATTTTCAACTGACCCAGTGTACCATGGAGTCTTGTTGACAAACAGCATCCCTAAGGAATAAAAATGCACTGATGTCGAGATTTGCATTTATAAAGCAAGAGAAGGGCCTTGGGTAGGGCATGCTGCTGGCGCATTTTTCATATACAGTCGACCCTTGAACAACATCAGTTTCGATGGCACAGGTCCACTGTACAGATTTTTTTTCGATAAATATAATACAGAAAATGTATTTTCTTTATGATTTTCTTAATAGCATTTTCTTTTCTCTAGCTTTCTTCATTGTAAGAATACAGTATATAATGCATGTCACTTACAAACCGTGTTAATTGACTATTTACGTTGCTGGTATTGCTTGCAGCCAACAGTAGGCTATTCCTAGTGAAGTTTTGGGGGAGTCAGAAGTTACATGCAGCTTTGCGACTGCATGGGGGTTGAGTACCCCCACCCCTGAGTAGTACAAGAGTCAACTGTATTTACCAAAATTTCAAGGATCTGATCATTAGGATATTCTATTTTATTCAGTGCCTTGGTAATAATAAGTAATTCACTTCTCTTGTTTCTTCCCTGCCGCCATCTTTCTTGCCACCTGATACTTGGTAGCTCTGCTAGCTGGAAGAAGAGTGAAAGATGCAGAAATACAAGCCAGCCTTTTATTTGATCGGTTGAAGCCTCTGAAGATATTAGAAGAGAACCTGAACAGAAACCTATCAGAAATCAAACTGCTCATCAGCCAGGCGCGCAAGCAAGCAGCTTCTGTGAGTGTGGGCTGCTGTGGCTCTTGGGAGCTCGGCCCTCCCACAGTGGGGCCCTCAGTAACTCCCAGTCTCAGGGGGCTCCTACAGAGGGGACTGTCACGCCAGCCCCTGGACTTCTACTGAGTCAGCTCTTATCTCCCACATTTCTCACAGCCTTGTCTATAGTACTTTTAAATCTGTGTTAAGTATATTTACTTTGTGTGTGTGTGTGTGTGTGTGTATAGCCACTTACGACTTTTATTTATGGTGCCTATGCTTTGTCTAGAAAATACCTTCTTTCCTGCCCCGGAGAGTATATTTAAGTATACTTAAGTAGTCTCATTTTCTTTGTTTTTTGCTTCATTCAACCTGTTTCCAAACGTTAGCAAAGAGATCTCATGTCTTTATGGAGATTTATAATTGTAGCCTAGACTCACCAGTCCACAGCTGTTAGCTCAGCCGCTGTAGAGCCCGTGGTCTAAGTGTTTCCATCCAAGGCTCGTTGGCCGAGTACGGCATTATCGCCATCATTTTACCAGCCCGGTGTCAGCAGTCCAAGTGTTCGTCAGAATGTGTGCGCACTATGAGCCTCGTCGTCCAGGAGTCTGGAGACACAGCCTATACACACACAAATGCTCACAAATCTAGGTCACTAAATGCATCGAATACTTGCCAGCTGGAAAAGTACAAGCTTGAGAAAATGTTTACGACCATCCATAGCGCATGGCATTGGTCATGCTCTAAAGGGGAGGCATTTCGGGGAAATAATACTTTCAAGAGAATATGCCGTTGACACGCTGCTGGGGATTTATAGAGGACAGATGTGACCTCTGGTCTCATGTTCATCTGCTTGAACCCTGCTAGCTAAGAAAAAGCAGTTCTGGAGCCTTCCACTCCCCCTCCCCCGAGTGGCCTCAATATTGGAAAATGGCTGTCGGTTGACATGAGTTTGGTTTCAATGAAAGTCACCAAATAAACTTTAGTAAGCCCCACAGATGTTTCTAAATGCTCTGATTAATACAAATGTATAATCTTTATAGCTAATATAAGAAATATATGCAACTACTTAGAGAAACGTGTAGTAAGTGCAAAAGTTGCTCTATAAATATTTTCTGGATGTATAAATAGATTATCCCTTCATGTATTTGACACATGATCATCAAATATCCTTCCTGTGTCAGATGTAAAGATTCCAAGGTGATCTGGATAAGCTCCTGGTCTTAAGGAATTAAGTCTCACATGAGCGAGACCGTTTCCTATGTAAAATACTCTTAAAACTTCAAGACTGACTTTTCCGTATTTAAGTAGTTCACCAAATAAAATAATTTTCATCACCGCCTGATCTCATGTTATGAGACACAAAGCATTATGCTTCCTCAGGAGAGGAAACCTGCCTACCAGTGAAAATTGGTTCTGGAACAGTACTTTTGACCTCCTGGCGTGCTGCCAACGTGTGTCACTGAGTGATTAGGACACTTCCTCTTTCCTTTCACAGATTAAAGTCGCCGTGTCTGCAGACAGAGACTGTATCCGGGCCTACCAGCCTCCGATTTCTTCTGCTAACTATAACACCTTAAGGCTAAATGTTAAGACAAATGAACCTGATAACCTTCTCTTCTACCTCGGGAGCAGCACCAATGTGAGTATGGACTGTAGAAAGCAACAATGACTCTCTCCTGAGCATGTTATAGTTTCTGAATTGGCAGGGGTTTTTTGATGGAAAAAAAGCAGAGGGCCTTGGTGAAATCACTAATCCTTCGAAGGGAACTAAGCTTTTGCTAAACTAGTGGCATTAGATTAGAAACGAGGACCATGCTATTGAGGAGAGGGTCGTCCCTCTGCCATCGCAATTGCTAGCTGTGGGGTAGCCTTTCCTAATGTCTTCTGTAGCCTCTTCAGCCACCGAGAGTAGCCATGGGTGTGTAAAGTGGATCTCGGTGGTTGTTATCAGGAGTGGAGGTGTGCACTCTGACGGGCGTATGAGAATTATCCAGCTTCACCCAGGCTCCTCCACCCAGTGAGATTCTGGTGGTTCCCAGAGGGGCAAGTCCCCTGTGGAAACCACTGATTCCTTTGGCTGCCAGTGGGAATGGGTCAGAACCCCTGGGGGTGTGAGAGCAGAAAATATTACCAAGCACAAATTCTGAAACGTCTTCGTGGGAGCTAAGGCGCAGAACACATGCCTTACGTGTGTTATCCCTGATGTGGGATCTCATGGCTCCTGCCTTATTACGTATTTCACGTTCACTCACTGCCTTCTCAGACTGGGCAAACAAGTCGAGTGCCTTCCCTCATATTCCCTGTAGGCTACTGGTGACCCCCAGTAAGTGTTCCTGGGGAACTTTCTGGAAGGCACTAATATCCAACAATGGCTTAATGGTCTCCAGTACTGAGGCATGCTCCAGTTCCAGGGAGGGGAGCATTTAAAGACAAAAGACAATTTTTTGTTTTTTAAGAATAGGGAAAATGCTCCAGGAGCTCATTCTTTAACATGTTTTGGTAGTCGTGCAAACAGTCGGCACGTAAACTCATCCCAGCTCATGCCCGCACCCCAGTCTGATTTCTTGGCAGTGGAGATGCGGCGAGGGAAGGTGGCCTTTCTCTGGGATATGGGCTCCGGGTCAACGCGGTTGGAATTTCCAGACTTCCCGATTGACAACAACAAATGGCACAGTATCTATGTAACCAGGTAGTAGAGAAAGTTCTCTCCAAGTGTCTCTTTTTTTAAAGCTGTATCTTATAAGTTTGCAACATGTTTGTCACATCACATAATAGTCCTTGAAACTTTCGGGAAGTCAGATTATAGTAAAAGGATAGTTGGTTTAGATTAACTCTAGAAATAAGGGCTTTTTTTTTTCCTTATTACAGAAGAAATAAACTTTGTCACCAAAATCAACAATCAAAAGAAGAAAAAAGATAAAAATTTGTTACCTTTAGAATGTTAGGTCTAAAGCTGAGGCGGCCATCCCAGTAAATTGTGTTCTCCCCAGTAGAGGGGAATGAGAAGCAACACGGTAGAAATCCCACATGGCAGGTGTGGTATGTGCATAGAAGAGGAAAGAAGGCAAGGATCCAAAATTCAGACACAAAGCAAAATTCTTCCTTGTAAAGCCTCTCTCTAGTGGTAACTCCTTTTAAGCAGGTTTAGGTATATCTTTTTACTTTTCCATAACACTATGGTTTGTTGTTGCTGGAAATTCTTGTCTTTTGCTTCGTTATTTATGGAAATGAAGTAATACTGAAGGCAGTAGACTGCTTCAAATAGAGTTAACTCATTATGTGTAACTGGTTTAAGCAAGGAGGTAGCACGACGCAATTTATGATTTAGAAGACCTTCCCACAAGGCTTTGCGAGTAAACTGGGGGCGGGGTGGGCAAGATCGGAAGAGGGAGGTCAGCGGCGGGGGTGCCCGCTGCAGGGAACACGGGCAGGAGCAGCTGGAGGCTGCCTGGAGACAGATGTGTACGTACACGGACAGACTCGGAATTCTGAAAGTGTGCTTTTTGCAATTCTTTGTGACCCTTAGATTTGGAAACATCGGTTCGTTGAGTGTAAAGGAAATGAGCGCAACTCAAAAGCCACCAACAAAAACAAGTAAATCCCCTGGAACAGCGAATGTTCTGGATATAAACAACTCAACGCTCATGTTTGTTGGAGGGCTTGGAGGACAGATCAAGGTAACTTTCCAGATGTTCATCTGAACAGGACTGACAGGCTGCTTTTACCTAAAACTAGTGCGCTTAAATTATTGAACATATCCCAGGTAGATGCATATTTCTGGTTCCTATCATTTTGCTTAATGACAGTAAATTTGCAGAGTTGGGCTGGTTTTATAAAGCAAAGGATCCTGTCAAATAAAGATCGTAAATGGAAAAGAAGCCAATGGTCCATTTTGCTATTTGAGTTTCTTTTCTAGGACTGAAACAGGAAATTCAGTGTTCTGCATTCATTTCTGTAATTTCTCTTATTGCTATTCTGACTCCAGTGGTAGGATAATGGTAATTAGTGTTTAGCACCAGAGCCGGTGGGATTTATTTTATTATACCCATTATCCCCTTGCCGGATCAAGTTGAGTTACCTGGATTTGGTTTGGTGCCCTGAGAGTAAGGGTGTCAGTCCCAGCCAGGCCCTCACCACTGACCAACATGCTCTGAGCCTGTTTCCTCACCTGTAAAAGGGGCTTCTCTCCAGGGACCCTGGTAACCCAGGTGATCTTTAAGATCCTGTCTGGTTATCACTCGTTCTACGATTCCACTTAATAATTGGGAGGAAATCCAGTGATCACAACCCGGACATTTTTCTGGATGTTGTTTTCTCAGACTTTGGATGTTAAATTTGAGCTCCCAGGAAGGAGTTTTGTGTGCATGGAGAATGTATTCCTTTCCCCGATCCATGTGGGTTGTGTTTGTTTTATTTGTTTGTATTAGAAGTCTCCCGCTGTGAAGGTTACTCATTTTAAAGGCTGCATGGGAGAGGCCTTCCTGAACGGACAGTCCATCGGCCTGTGGAACTATATTGAACGGGAGGGCAAGTGCCATGGCTGCTTTGGAAGGTAACGGGCCCCACAATTTACTACATGGTGTCATTCACATCCGAGAGCTGCTTAGAGAATTCACATGCCCATCACGGTGGCGCAGAGTTTGTCATGTCGGTCATGATAGGTCATTTACTAATAAGAGCATGGGCATCATTTTTAACCTTAATTTAAGAAGTAGTTTTCACTGTGTCTCGTATGCTTTCATCATGGATCATGCCACTGAGAAGCATCACACATCCTCTCAAACCACCTTCTGTCTCAGAGAGCCGCGGGGAAGTCTTGGGTAAATCACTGTACATCTTTATTTTGAAAATATCTCCAAGGATGAGGATGTTGTTTGTGCTGCTAGTTTTTATAGATAAGTACTTTCCCATTCTTAAATTCTAGAATCCTAGAAATTAAATGCCTTTGGCAATGGAGAACAACTACCTGACATCGTTTGGCAGATATTGATATATAATAGCAGGCATTTAATAATCTCACCAAGCTCAACAGCCCCCGTTTTACTTTCTAAAAAAATAACTGCAACCCCAGAAGTATACAAGACTCGTTTTCTAGCACTTTCATAATTAAGACAATAGATTGCCTCTGCCATCAGAGAAATGTAACATCTGATATAATTCTGTCATCTAATGGGCTGCTCTGTCCAGATAGATATCTGCAATTAACAGTGAGCTGTGTCAAGATCAGTTGAAAGGAGTTCCCATTACATTTAGAAACGTGGGCAAGTTTTCATTTTGTTACTGTCAGATCTGTTTTCTCTTAGGGCTCATAGCTTGGGATTTTGTGGTTTGAGCCTTTTATTTGCTTCTTTACCTTGACTTTGCTTGCTTTCAAAGTCATGACCAGAAGCTTGGTTATTGGAGTCTTATGACTGAAAAAAACATTAGCTTTGGGGTCTCAGTTTCTCAGGCTCCCTCTCCTACCAAATCCCTCTCAGTGACTTTGTAATACGTCACTTCACCTCATGGAGACTTGGCTGCTTCTTCCAGAAAAGGAAAAGGAAAATCCTGTTGTCCTACCTCCCAACACTGGTGATGAGCACATCATGTGAAAATACTCGATAAATTTGAGACACTGCACCAGTGTTCACCTCTGATCTTCCTGCAGTCACAGTCCATTGCTTTTTAGGTGGACGTCTCAGAATTATTTGCTTGACAATAAGCGTGTGAAACCCAAGGTTTTGTAATTGGCAAGTGAGATCAAAAATGATAATGACACCAGCTCTAGAACTCTAGGAGCAGAGAACTCCCCATCACTTTTTCCTCTAGCTGTTTTTTTAGCGGGGAAGTTTCCCCAGCAATTTAGTGATTCTACCTTGAAAACTGTCCCAACCCCTGGACTCTGGGCCCCACATTGACCCCAGATCATGAATCTTACTTGTAGAAAGGAAAGTCTTAACAGAACTTGAAAATTTCTAATACGGAAAATGCCCCCCTACTTAACTGTTACAGTATCCCCAATTTCACCCATCATTTTCAGGGTTATTTTAAAACCTCTGGCCTTGAACCACAGCAATGAGGGAATTTAATGACTGCTAGCTCTTCTCCTCTTTTGTTGGAATGAGGAAGTCAATTGTCTATGTGGCCTTTCTTCTTCAAAGAGAAGAAAAACCTCCCACCACATGTCCAACCCCCAGGACCCCCGGCGGAACGTGAAGGTTGCTACAGACCGAGAGGAGAGAATAGCAGGTGCTTCCATCCTCCTGACCCTATTCCTGGAACTGGCTTTTTTGGTAGAGGGCTGACCACCCAGCTGAACCTTAGGGCCAGACTGACTCCTTAGTTCAATCAAAAGTTTAATTAAATGTTTTTCTGGGTACTGAACAAATCAGCTGGCTATCCTTACATTGACTACTGTATCTAAAGTATGTTTTTTAAAAGAACACTAGTTTGATATAGGATATTAAGGATACTTTTTTCTTAAAAAAAAAGATTTTATTTATTTATTTGACACAGAGAGAGCACAAGCAGGGGAGCAGCAGAGGGAGAGGGAGAAGCAGTCTCCCCGCCGAGCGGGGAGCCCGATGCGGGGCTCGATCCCAGGACCCTGAGATCATGACCTGAGCTGAAGGCAGACGCTGAACCCCCTGAGCCACCCAGGCGCCCCTAGATACTTTTTACTAAGTGGGGTAGAAGGTGTGTCCTGACCATAAATGGTTGGGAAGCCCTGAGTTAAACAGTTAAGTACACTTCCTTATTGTGAGGCCGTCAGAGCCTCTAATATGCTAACACGCACTAGCCGTGTCCTCAGGACAGGTGGAGTTGCAGCATGCCCAAACTCACCGGGTCCCCACCTTTTTAAAAAGCAGCATTTCAGAGTTGCTTATGTGCCATAGACCATACAGTGGCAGGTGCAGAGACAGACAAGCTGGTGCTCTCTGTCCGTGTTTGTAAATCGATTTGTCTTCATTTTAGGCAACCTCCCCTAGTTATTAGACAAAGACTTTAGCTTAGAATTAACAAACTAATTCTAGGAAATGAATCCCTTTTAGCAGACTGGGGATTAGAATTCAGTGTGCTTTTGACCTTTTTGTGTAATCTGCCATTATTTAAATCATTAGTGAGGTCCATTGATGTCCTTTAGATTTAAAAAATGATTTTCTCACTATGAACATTTACCTTTGACTTATATTACCAAGTAAATGAAATTTTTTTTGCTTTTTTATTCCTTTTTGAATATATGTTTATAATTACGAAGGATCTCTTAAATTCTTAGAGGATATTATACGATAAGCAACGGATTCTAACAGTTTTCATCTAAATATGGAAAAAGCCTTTTTATTAACAGGCCTTTATTCTCGTATTAGTTATGAGTGGCTCTTGTGACAGGCTATTTCGGGACCTTGGGGACAGACCAGTCACCTGTGTTCCGGGCCCCCTGCTAGCTGCTGGCGATGTCAGCGTTAGTCACGGGAGGTGACCTCCTCCAACGGGTCCTGGTCTCTAGGAGAGACAACTGTGGAAGCACAGAGGCGGGTGTCTGCGCTGCGGCGAGCGGAGGCACGGGTGGAACGGCTCCGGAGGCCCGGGGCCCAGGCAGCACCCCGCTCACTGTCGTGCAGCGGCCCCGAGTGCTGATGGGTAGTGTGGCAGGCGTGACGCCCCGGCGTGGCAGCCGGCGTCAGAGGCTTGGTGATTCTTTTTTTTTTTTTTTTTTTTTTAAAGATTGTATTTATTTGAGATTTTAGAATGAGATAGAGAGCATGGGGGGGAGGGTCAGAGGGAGAAGCAGACTCCCCGCTGAGCAGGGAGCCCGATGTGGGACTCGATCCCGGGACTCCAGGATCATGACCTGAGTCGAAGGCAGTCGCTTAACCAACTGAGCCACCCAGGCGCCCGAGGCTTGGTGATTCTTGACGGCTCACTGGGTTGAGAGCTGGGGAGGGAGGGTTGCTTTGGCAGTGCCGCTTTCATCTGTCCCCGGGTCCCTTGCCTGGGCAGGGGCCGGGAACCGCCTTCCTGTGGCCCACCTGGGAACAGGCACCTGGGCTGACTGGTGAGGCTTGTGGGCCTCGTGGTTATAGAACGGAAGCATGGCCACAAGGGGACAAGCCCCAGAAAAGTGTCATTGACCTGGGAGCAAAACCTTCTCAGGAGACGCGCATTCAAACATGGTTTCATTTGAATGTGTCCCTCTTTGTGGCCGCCTCATGTGGCCAGGCCCTGCTGCTGGAGAGAAGCCAGAAGCAGAGCATTCCCATTCTCAAGAACAAAGAACTCACGAGCTCTGGAGAGGGACAGGGCATGCACAGCAGGACAAGACAGATTTCTGGAGTTTTGTTTGAAACCTGGTTTCACCATTATCTTGGGTGTGGCCTTGGCCAAGATACTTAATCTTCGAGGCTCAGCTTTTAATAGGCAAAATGGCGACCCTTCAGGGACCTTTGAACAAAGCAGAATAATCAAGAGCTAACTGGAGTGAACATTTAAGTGCCAAGCACTGTTTAATTGAGAACTGTACATGTATTAGATCATGTATAGCCCTTCCTGAGAGCTTCTAGTAGTTTCCTTATTTTATAGATGAAGGCAATGAAGCACAGAGACATTAGGTAACTTTCCTGAGTTCACACAGCTAGTAAGTGGGGAGACAGGGATTTGAACCCCAGCAGTCTGGTTCTAGAGTCTGTGTGCTTAGCTGCATGAAACTGTGACCAGCCAAGAGACAGAGCAATGGAACAGGCCTGCAGGAAGTCACAGGTTTCAGAATGAAATAATAGAGAATTCAGCCATAGTTTCTTCATGCAGAGTGCATTTCCTTTAAGTTATACTTCTAAGAGATGTCAAAAGACCGAAATCTTTGGAAAAAGCGGGACTTCGGGAAGCTATCAATTTGAAACCTCAGGTTTCACAAAGCACTGCTATTTTTGTTAATGGAAACAGTGTCACCATTTGGTTACGTGTCCTGCTTGGAGATGTGGCACTCAGTTTGGGTATTATACCTTCAACTGGGAAAAGTGCAAATTCATATCCCGCCCCCCCAAAACACCCAAAGCCAGGTTTCACTATGAAGCCCAGAAACGTATTTTTAAAATGTATTAGGATATATTCCAGATAAACTTACTTTGTACTTGAAGAATGAATAAAGTCAGCCTTTTGAGGTGTGGGGGCAACCAGAAAACACATTGACCTGAGAAGTACTGAGGTCTACTCTAAATAACTTTGTTGTAAGCTCATCCTGCAGACTTTGAGATTTTCATTGTTGCCTTTTTTTTTTTTTTTGGTAAAATGGTCCTTCTGCTATATTAGTACATATTTGTTTTCCATCATTACTCCAGGTTAGCTGAAGTATTGCTTAAAACCAGCAGAAGGTGATAAAAAATTGCTCTGAAAGCTTTGGAATTAAAAAAGGACAGTGACATTAAAGGAAATCAGAACAAATGAAAATCTACTTGCGAAGTAGAAATATTTATAGCAGTTATCCATCCTTTGAAGACCTTTCTTTTTACTACAGTGAACACTGCCTACCTCAACTTTCTTTTCCTTAGAGAGCAACTGGCATTTGTCTTGCATACTCTCATGGCAACATATTTTAAGATATGACTTACACTCGTTATCAAATTATGGAAATAATAGCTCTACCACAATGTTTGTGAGGGGAAGCCCTCAGGAAAGGTATCCTTTCTTCTCTTTAACCACCTTCCTGAGAACAGATTGTGTTTCATCTGCTCTGCTTTGCAGCACCCAGAATGAAGACTCTTCCTTCCATTTTGATGGGAGTGGGTATTCAGTCGTGGAGAGAATGCTCCGGGCTACGGGGACTCATATAATTATGCTTTTTAGTACCTTTTCACCCAACGGTCTTCTTCTCTACCTCACTTCAAACGGCACTGTAAGTATATACAGTGAAATTGCTATGAGGATATTTACATTTAGTGACTGCTTTATGAGCATATACGAAGTAAGATATACATATGTATGCCATACTCTTTCCCCATTTTAAGTATTTATTATGTTATAAATTCACCAGAGAACCATTGCATAATACAGGAGAGCACCAAGTAGAAAAGAGCCATCCTATCATTTATAGATATCAATGATACTTGTTATTAAATTTTGACTTTATCTTGTTCCAGGTTCACTCTGATCACTGTGGCCTTCTTTGAATTCCATCTACAGGAATTTAATGTTATTTTTATCCTATTGTGGGGGTGATTTCTCTCAATCTGCTAGTTTTATTTGTAGGACTGGCCCATTTGTCGATCTAAATGAAGAAGATACAAAGATTGCACTTCTCTTACTGTAGATTTTGGCAACAGTGTGTTTCTCTCCTTTATATCTGTGTAGTATTCTAGAAAGTCTTCCCAGATACTTCAGTTTCCAACAGAGACCTCTGACTGTTGGGCCAGATCCAGTTTTTGGAGTTTGACTTTGGAAGATTTCTACCATCCGCAACTTGAAAGGGCATCTGTGAGAATGATAGAGCCCTGGGTAACTCTTTTCTCTTCTTCACAGAAAGACTTTTTATCCATCGAGCTGGTGCATGGCAGAGTCAGAGTTACAGTTGACCTGGGGTCAGGGCCTCTTGCCCTTATTACAGACAGACGCTATAACAATGGAACCTGGTACAAAATCGCCTTCCAGAGAAACCGAAAGCAAGTTAAGTACACAGAAGGGCAATGAGATGTTACAGGTCACCCTTGTCAGAGCAGAAATCCTTCCAAAAGCAGGGACACCTGAGTGGCTCAGTAGGTTAAATGTCTGACTCTTGATTTTGGCTCAGGTCATGGTCTCAGGGTTGCGAGATTGAGCCCTGCATTGGGCTCTCCACTGGGCATGGAGCCTGCTTGGGATTCTCTCTCTCCCTCTCCCCCTCCTCTCTTGTCTCTAAAAACTTAAAAAAAAGAAAAGAAAGAAGGGAGGGAGGGAGGAAGGGAGGAAGGAAGGAAGGAAGGAAGGAAGAAATCCTTCCAAAATCAGCAGTCTTTATTTATTTTAGCTTCTTGGGTACTCTTGAATGATACTCTGATAGAAAGCCATTGTTTTCTTTGAAATACTAAATGCCAGGATTCACATTTTGCTGGGGGAATATTAGAATTCTATTTTTTTTATAGTTTCCCAGTGTATTACCTAATATTAAATACTGAATTGGAATCAAAGATCAAATCCATTCTCTTTCCTGCCACATACATACTGCTGTCATTCAGTGATCTGTATTCTGGATTCATTGACTTTTGTACAGAGGATTTTCATGTGTCCTTTAATAGTCAAGAATACTCCCTGGTCAAGTGTGCAGAATGTGAAAGAATTTATAAAGAAAGAACTTACAAATGAACTTTGTTTTTACCTTAAGGTAGACAATGATTTTCATTTTCCTATCTCTTCTTTTTAGGAATCCTAGCAGTTATTGATGCATATAACACCAGTTATAGAGAAACCAAGCAAGGTGAAACTCCAGGAGCATCTTCTGACCTCAATCGTCTAGATAAAGATCCAATTTATGTGGGTGGATTACCTAGGTCAAGAGTTGTAAGGTATATCACATGCCATAATTATGCCCGTGATTGCCAGATGTGTTAGCTTCCTAGGGCTGCCATAAACAAGGCACCACAAGCCAGGGGACAGACAACAGAAGTGTGCTCTCTCACAGCCCTGGTGGCTACAGGTCCAAAATCAGGGTGTCAGCAAAGCTGTTTCCTTCGGAGGGCTGTGAGAAAGAATCTGTTCCATGCCTCTCTCCTAGCTTCTGGCAACTTCAGGCATTCCTCAACTTAGAGATAACATTCTCCGTGTCTTATTACATTGTCTTCCCTCTGTGTGTGTCTCTCTGTGTCCAAATTTCCCCTTTTTATAAGGATACCGGTCCTATTGGAACCACTCTAATGCCCTCATCTTAACTCGATTACATCTGTGACGACCTTATTTCCAAATCAGGTCACACAGGTACTGGGGGTTAGGACTTCATCATCTTTTATGGGGGACAAATTTTAACCCACAACATCTGCCTTGATTCAAACCGCTATGTGTCATATTAATTGGGAGGTAAAGAAACCCTTCTGCAGTAAAATTAATGATTTTTCTATTTGTTGCCTTTAGATCATCTGGAAATCATTACTAATTGTTACTAATATTATACAGTATTTGGAGACCCCATTTTCCATCACAAGTCGTTCTCCTCTCTAGAGATTTTAGTAGAATCTTTTTCAGGGCAAACAAATCATGCTCTCTGCAGACTTGTCTGGATTTCCCCTTTGTGTGATGAGAATGAATAATGTATGTGAAAGTTGAAAGACTAGCATCAGGAAGGTGGAAGAAAGATGCAGAGGAGGCAGTGAAATCGTTTTGTAGCACTGATTCATGTTTTAGCTTTGTGACTTGACTTTAATAATTGACATAAGCTTTCTGTGGGTCATTGTCCTCAGTTTTGTAATTTTGGATTGGACAAATTAAGCCCTAAGTTTCTTCCACACCATTAAAAAAAAAAAATGTCCTCTATGAAAGGCCAGCAGTCAAGGCACGATGGATTCCAGGGAGGGGGATTATCAAATGTCCGGTGGTCTTCAGGTCAGTTAGTAGCACTGGCCCGGTCTTCTAGCCGAGTTCTGGCGCGGAACCCCAATAAGCCGCGTGCAAGGGCAGCCGCTCTGGGTGCTGCAAGTTGAGCAGCCCAGATCCACTCCTCACCCCTCTCTTTGCCAGAAAGTTCCAAGGAACAGTTTACCACCACAGTCACCACGCCCCTAGCCCATCTTGGAAATAAATTATACTTAAACTTCAGGGGAGTTGGTCCCTTGCCCCAGGTCTTACCCCTCTGCCAAGACGGAGCCAGGACTGGAAGCCCGTCTCCTAATCCCAGATTCCAGATAACGTTTCCTCACCTGGTGGCGGCAGGGGTGGATGCTCCTGTAGCAACAAGCTGGCTCATCAACCACATTTCACTGCAGTTTTTTTTTTTTTAACCCAACAGTACTGTGCTATTTCTTCTGTAGTGGGACATACGGATCTAAGATACTTTTCAGGCTGGCATAGTATTCTATAGGCTGAATCTGTGATCAGTACTCTTAAGTACCGGACCTAAATGGATACCATGTAGTCACTGGAGAAAAGGTCCCATTTTCTAGGAGGATATCCCAAATCACAGACTTCTATGCTAGAAGGAACTTTGGGTATCTATCAAGGCCAGCCTCCTCATTTACAAAGGAAGAAACGGAGATCCAGAAAGGTCGAAATCTGTCCTAAATCAAGTAGTTGCCTACTGGTCTGCAGCTCATTGCTCAACACGGAGGGAGAGAAACATGAGATGAGACCCTAACTGGAAACCATGTGACTTCCAAGGTCTCCTGTCACGAGCTGATGTTTCAGAGTCTAGCTTGGAGATGTTCAGTCATCTCCATATTTGGGAAGTGAGAGCTTGATTACATGACAGCCTCACCCCAGCCAGCAGTGTGGCAACTTCTGTTAAGAAAAATATGGTACTGATTTGGAGTCGAAGAAATGGGGATTTGGATAATCCTAGACTTCACCAAATGCAATTAATTCCTTCAGGACAAAGCTCACGACTATGTAGTTGGACAACGGCCAGTGACTTCTGTAGCCATGTGATCCTAGGAAATAACTGCCCACACCTGCTTCCATGGGAGGCTTATGTCCATGTTCTACCCTACATGAAACCTGGATTTCAGTCTGTGTGCCATTTTTTTCTTTATGACTGTGTACTGTCTTTCATAATTGGCCTGGTTTTTTTTAAAGATTTTATTTATTTATTTGACAGAGAGAGACACAGCGAGAGAGGGAACACAAGCAGGGGGAGTGGGAGAGGGAGAAGCAGGCTTCCCGCGGAGCAGGGAGCCCAATGCGGGGCTCGATCCCAGGACTCCGGGATCATGACCTGAGCCGAAGGCAGATGCTTAACCAACTGAGCCACCCAGGCGCCCCTAATTGGCCTGTGTTTTAATGAGTATATTTAAATTGCAGTGACTATAATACTTTTCCTTAAAATAGTAAACATTTTATCTAGGTAGCCATTTAGTCTCACTGAATTCAACCCCCTTCTTTGGTCCTAAGGAGAGTATTCATTTGACCTGAAGCCTTCACCATCAGTATCCTTCTTAGAGACCTAGACTTTTCTGCAGAATGAGATATAGAAGCAGCTCTCCTTTACTTGTAGATCTATTTTTATTTTTATTCCTTCTTCCAAAAATGGAGTTATAAAAGGCAAATTTTGTTCTCATGCCTTCCCCACAGGAAAGGCATCACCAGCAAAAGCTATGTGGGCTGTATCAAAAACCTGGAAATATCCAGATCAACCTTTGATTTACACAGAAATTCCTATGGAGTGAGAAAAGGCTGTACACTGGAGGTGGGAAGCATTTTATTAATATTGGAATGAGTTTCTATAAATGTCCACTGACTTACCAATATAGTGAGGTAACAAAATCTAAGTCGGGGGTGGGGGGAGGATGGGAAAGGGATGATGGGGAGACCTGCACTAACCCCCACCACGGGCGATACAGCATTCAGGTGGGCCTGACGGTGTTCCTTCCTCTTTTGTGACCAGCCTATCCGAAGTGTTAGCTTCTTGAAAGGCGGCTACATTGAACTGTCACCCAAGTCTTTGTCACCAGAATCGGAATTGTTGGTCACATTTGCCACCAAGAACAGCAGTGGCATCATCCTGGCTGCCCTGGGCAGGCAGCGGGAGAAGCAGGGTCATCTGCAGGCCCATGGGGTGAGTAGCTCAAATGCTACTGCTATTCAGCCAGGAGCTAAGGAAGGAAATGATTTCGAGAAACACTAGGTGGAAAATGACTTAGTCATGAACACTTATTGTAGCTGTGTGGCCAGTTTGAGTGTGCATCTCAGTAAGTAGGAGTTACACGGCTGAATGTCTTTTCGCTATGAATCAGGGGTTTCTCTGTGACACAGTCTATTCTCCTTGTCTAGCTACTGAGAAGGAGGATACTTGCTGTCTACCTCCAATCCTTTCCAAGCGCATTCGGGTAGCACAAACTGAGCTTTGTTCTACGGTGCGGTTGTTACTCTTTACCCTTAAGTCCTGTAGAGGTTTTTAGTACACTGCTCCAGGAAGCACAATTTTCCTTATCTACAAATAGGATTGAAAGAGAAATGTGGCCTGTGATAAACACAGTGGACCAGCAGAAGAGAGTTGATGGTTTTCCACATCTGTGTTCCGTTTTAAGAGCATAGATGATATTTACCCTTTCCTGCGCTCAAACTTGCCTATATCATGTAATCTGAAGGGGCTTGACCAGGCGCTAATTAAGGAAGCAGAAGTCACGTCAGCGCCACCCGCAGCGCGCTGTCCTCTGCCGCGCACGAGACCGCGCAGATACTGCTGCGTGATTATCACACCCACACACGGCGAACGCTGCTTCCTACGTTTTGCTGAGGAAGAAACGGGTTCAGAGAACCTTGTTAACCTGCCCAAGGTCACGCAACTGATCTAGGTCAGAGCCAGGACTGGAACACCAGTCTGCAGACCCCTCATGCCTCCCGAGCCACTTGGTGAAGATCTAACAATGACATAGTGGTGTATGGACTCCACCCATCTTTTCCTTTTTTCCCTAGTTGAGATGAAATTCATAGAACATAAAAGTAACCATTTCAAAGTGAACAATTTAGTAGCATTCAGTGCTTTCACAATGTTGTGAGGCCACCTCTGTCTAGTTCTAAAACATTTTTATCACCCAAAATAGAAGCCTGTGCCATGAAGCAGTCACTCCCCATCCCTGGGGACCACCGGTCTTCTTTCTGTATCTATGAGTGAATTCCCCTGTTCTCTAGATTTCATAGAAATGGGTGCACACAGCATGTGATCTTCCATGTCTTCCACTTAGCGTGTTTTGGAGCTTCCTCCACATTGTGGCAGGTGTCAGCACTTCATTTTTATGGTTGAATTGATACTCCACTGTGTGTACACAGCATAATGTATTCACTGATGGACATTTGTGGTTTTATCTATGTTTTGGCTATTATGAATAATGCTGCTACGAACAAGTACTCACATACAAGTATTCGTTTGAGCACCTTGAGTTCTTTTGAGTATATATACCTAGGAGTGGAATTGCTAGGTCACATGATAATTCTACGGTTCACTTTTTGAAGAACTGACAGACTGTTTTCCTCCACCATTCTCAACAGAACCATTTGCTAATGAGTTTGCTGCTATGTCAGTAACATGGTGTGTGGTCATCCAAGGCTCACAGAGATATTGTGAGACACTCTTATTCCCGTTCTGGTGGAGCTATTTTCAATGTGGCAAAATAGTTCTCAGAGCTTTAATAATTTCCAAACTCTTCAACCTTTTAATCCTCCTTTTAGAAATGTCAGAAACAATTTCACGGGCAAAAAGTGTTATGAATGGTAACAAAAAATTGGAAACTAAATTTTTAACAATAAAAAATTGATCAATACTTATAATGTATCTATTTGTTGGCACACAATGTGGCAATAAAAAGTATGAAGGCTATGTAGAAGTGGAAATCTTTGATATGGTTAGTGATATGAGCATAATGCCGAATGTAAGTTATATGAGCAAAGATTAGAAAGTCATATACAAAATATAAAAGAGTTGTGTTAGATGGAGATGGTGATATTCTTAATAAATTGCTTATTAATATTCCATTATCTTCATAAGATAATAATTTTAAAAATCACATAGTAATGTTTTTTTCTATCTGAAATCTCTTAGCAACCTTCCCAGCCATTCTTTTCCATCATGCTGATTGAAGGCCACATTGAAGTGCATGTTAACTCTGGCGATGGAACAAGCCTGAGAAGAGCTCTCCTGCGTGCTCCCAAGGGCACATATGGCGATGGACAAGAGCATTCCATTTCCTTGATAAGGACCGGGAGGTATTTGTGTACAAGGGCATGGTGACCTCACCAATAGGAACCTCGTTAGGATACTCTTTGCAGTGAAATGATTGGGATGATTAGTATGAGGTCATGAGCATTCAGAGATTTTATAGCTCCATAATAATTCTGGAACCTTGCTAGAATACCTCCCTGGAAATTAATTTCATCTGCTTTGAAATAAGATATTTGTGGAATTTTCAAAATTGAAAAACCTTAACCCTGCTCTTTTCTGGGGCCTAGTCTACATTGTCTTAGAATCATTCTGTGGCAAATGGTACCATAGTGTTAGTAAATAACATTACATTAATACTAAAAAAGCAAATGGAAAAATTAGTAAATAGTAACATAGTAAACAGTAAAATACAAATAGTAAAATAGTGTTATATCAACATCCCTATGTATTTCCCTCCAAAACTATAGACCAAATATTTTAAAAGCATGTTGGACATTTCATCACAGATAAAGTAAAAGAACAATACCCTCCAAAAAGCAACTGAACTCAACAGTGTTTAATAACATGTATTCATTTGGGGAGAATGTTCAATTTTAAGTTTTCATTTTCAAGATTCACCTTTTTATTCATATAGTGTCATGTTAAAAATTTATATTTCAGTATGAACTTTTTTCATTCAGTATGAACTTGTGGAATTATATATTAAAATAGTTATGTTTCATTATATTTAAAAGCTTTTTTTTCCCCTCCTTTGACCTTTTAGAGTTATCACTGTCCAAATGGATGAGATGAATCCTGTAGAAATGAAGTTGGGCCCCTCAGCAGAAAGGACAATAAATGTATCCAAGCTGTACATAGGGGGGATTCCAGAGGGGGAGGGGACATCAGTGCTCAAGATGAGAAGATCGTTGCATGGCTGTATCAAAAACCTGATCTTTGACATGGAGTAAGTATAACTGCTCTCAACACGTTTTTGCACTTCCTAGAAATCTTTTATTGCCGAGTACTGACACTGATCTGCTATCTAATTTTGTTGTTTGAGATTGCCTAAAATCCTACGTTTCTGAATAACAAGTGAACCCCATTGTTCTATCACAACAGTCACCCAAATGGATTTTATTGGATTAGAATGATGGATAGATCTGGTAATCCTAGAATTAAAAAAAAAAAATACCACTGAACATTAGTTCGATAGGACCATCAATAAACATCAGAGGTCAAATACACTTTTGACCTGCATTTCAGGGAATACAGAGATTTTGTGATGCAGGTTTCTTGCTGCCTTGAGCTCACTGCTTTAAGGAGCCTTTACAGCTGGGCTACTTGCAGCTTCAGATTATTAATGGTTCCTCCTAAAACACGGACTGTCTAATTAAGAACTGTTAGTCTGTGTCCTCTGGGGGGCTCACGATGAGGAAGAGAATGGACATGTGCCCATGGGTGGTTACTTCTTCCTCACTCAGCCTCTGCCTAGGTAAGAGTGCTGGTGGGACAAAGGCCGTGCTATGAGCTGGAGGTGGGGGGTGCGGAGCCAGAGTCTGCCCGGGAGAAACTGAGCATGCGCTGAGCGTCAGGAGACCGAGGTTCCCCTCCTAGCTGGGCTGCTGATTTTGCCTTGAGACCACGAATAAGGACCTGGATCTTTGATGGTCACCGTGTCCTCTATAAAAGAATCTCTTAAGAGTCCTTGAAATTTAAAAGAATAAAACAGTATATTGGGTTTCAGCACAATTCTAATGTCAGAGCCTTGGTTTACGTATTTGTACAGTTGATTTATTTATTCACCCAGTTCTGTTTATAAATGTACCAAGTGATTTGGCGTCTTCTTCTTCCTGAAAACCATGAGGCTGGGAATTCCATAGGGCAGAAACGTTTCTGTGCTGTTCACAGCCATGTCCCCAGAAAGTGCCAAGAGGGTAGAGGCAGATGGGACATGTTGCAAGGGCTACAGAGTAAAGGGAATTAGGAGAAGTGTACTTCATGACTTCCTGGCAGCTGTAAACCTGTAAGAAGGAAAGAAATGAGTGTTTAAGTGAGGCCAGTGTGCGCACTACTGTGAGGGCCAGAGCCAGTCTTTCCCTTGGCCCAGGCCCAGGCTGCAGGAGGGGCTGGTGGCACCTGAGCCGGTTCTGGAGGGGTGGTGGCCAGGTGGACAACGTGGGGAGGGGCTGGAGGGGCGGGGGCGGCAAGAATCAAACGCCGTGGAAGATGGTCAGCTTGGTTACCGTAACGTAAGAGTAAGAGATGAGCGGTTCCGCATGGATGTTAGTGCTCAAGAGTCAAATGACATTGGTTTATGTGTTGACTTGTAGCATCTTAATTTTGTAAACACTTTGTATCTAGACATTTGGATTTCACGAGTGCGGCTGGCAATGAACAGGTGGACTTGGATGCCTGCTTGCTTTCAGAAAGGCCAAAGCCGGCTCTTGACAGAGAAGACAGTGAGCTCCTGCCACAGCCCCAGCCTTTACCAAGTCTGGTAAGAGGGGCTTTCCTTACTCTTTTTTTTTTTTTTTTTTTTAATTCAGTTAGCCAACATATAGTACATCATTAGTCTCAGATGTAGAGTTCAGCAATTTATCAGTTGCATGTAACACCCAGTGCTCATCACATCCCATGCCCTCCTTAATGCCCATCCCCCATCTAGCCCATCCCCCACAAACCTCCCCTCCAGCAACTCTGTTCTCTATCATTAAGAGTCTCTCTCTCTTTTTCTCCCTTCCCATATGTTCATTAGTTTTGTTTCTTAAATTCCACATATAAGGGAAATCATATAGTATTTGTCTTTCTCTGACTTACTTCACTTAGCATCACTCTGTAGCTCCACCCAAGTCTTTGCCAGTGGCAAGATTTCATTCTTTTTGACGGCTGAGCAATATTCCATTGCATATGTATTGACCAAATATTTTTAATGGCAGTTATTAGTTTTCATTTTCTTCTCCCTTTTCTGATTTCTCCATTTCCTTGGTTAAAAGCATGCACTCTAAGTATGTGGTGGTGCAGTCACGCAAAGAGCAGTACCTTCCAAGCAGAGCCAATCGTTGAGTTCAAACCAGCTCTCTTGGTAGCACCACCACATGCCCCCCCCCCACCGCTTGCAAGCCAGAAATGTGAGTCTGAGGCCTCATGTGGTTCGGACTCACTATGTGGAGGGTGCTGTCAGGACGCAGGTTTCCAAGCAGACCCCCTCCCACACGGGCTCCTCTCTGCTGTACCTTGCTACTGCCCAGGAGGAATTAGAGATGTCACCCTCAGAGACCCTGCCAGGCAAGGGGCCTGTGGGCACTTCCAGTTTCCTGGTGCACGTGCTGGAGCTGCTCCTGCAGCCGCTGATACCCTCTGGCCCTTCCCCGGATGAAAACTCAGGGGAATTTTAAGCAAACTTGAGTGGGACTAAGGTGAAAGACAGAAGCTCCAATTGCCTTCTCAGAGATAAAGAGATAGCAAGTTAATTATTTAAAGCAAAGATTAAGTCTGTGCCAACACATACTTGTAGCTGTTGGTGTTCTAATTCAGTTGCTTCAGAGAGGTCTTCTTCATGGAAAAACTTGTGTACATGTTAGTGGCGGCCCTGGCTCTGTGTGGTGAGAGTCCGTCCGCATCTCTTACAGGAACGGTGTGCTGTGGACAGAGCCCCAGAGTATATCCCCCGTGCTCACCAGTTTGGTCTCATGCAAAGCAGCCATTTCGTGTTGCCTTTCAATCAGCTGGCTGTCAGAAAGAGGTGGGTATTGCTCTAAAGTCCGTATTCGGTGTCTCACTGAGAGATGAACCCGGGAGGTATTCTTCAGCAGCAAGAAGGCAGAGGACAGGAATGCAGCCTTTGTGCACAGTAGACGCTTCAGATGTGCTTCACTGGGGCTCCTGGGGTCTGTCCTCGCCCCTTCTGGTGAAGGCCGGTTGCTGCCTCTCTGTGTGAATGTAGGAAAGTACATAGGTAGGTTATCTCTCTAAAGCACTCTTGTTCTAGAATCTCAAGTCCTCTGGATCTATCATCATCTGGACTTTCAACCCTACTGTATTGTAAGCACTTACGAATCTGATCAAATTGTCCCCCCAGACTCTCTCACTGTGCCCCTCGAACCCCCTGGTGCCACACCAGTGCGCCCCCGACCCTTCTCGCCCTCATACCTCCTTGTCCCCGAGGACCCTCCCTCAGCTAAGCCAGTCCACGTCCCTCGGAGAAGGCCTGGGACTGGTCAGGGTTCCTCCAGATTCCACATTCCTCCTCTTCTCCAGGTGCTCCAGGCTGCACCCGTCACTACTGCCCCTTGTGATCACTGACCCCATCCCGCGGGCTTCAGACCTTGACTCAGTGTCTTTGTTCCACAGCTGGGGCCATCCTCTCCAGGACTTCAACCAGCCCGCATCTGACCTTCCAAGTCCTCTGGCTCCTGTCTTTCAGGGGGCTTTCCTCAGCCACCCATTCCCCATGATCATACCCTGGGCCACTTTGTCAATACCCATCCCACCTCCAAAATCTCTGTCTGAAGCATCCTCTTAATCAGTCCCTCCTCCTTCTCGCTACTGTTGCTTCCCATCCCAGCAGCTCCTCAACTGCGCCAAGACCTCAAAGCCCTCATGCTTTCTCACCACCACCTCCCTCCGCACCCCACGCAGCACCGTTTATCCCCAAACCAGATGGGCCTAGGCCATTAATACCCATGTTCCTTTGTTCACTGGCCCTGGGGAGAACTCCTACTTGGCTAATCCGTGCCAGAACCCAAACTGGGGGTCAAGGCTGTAGAAGTGTGTGTCTCTTTCCTCCCTGGTTTGACCTGAAGCCAGTGATTTCAGACGGAACCTCCAGATTACACGGGCAGCCAGTACGGTTCTCTCATACGTTCACGCGTTTTTACTTCTCATAGCTTCTCTTATCTCAAAACTCTGTACATTCCCACAGCCTCTCTCCATGCCCCAGCCCATGACCGCCTCAGGGAACAGAGAGAACTCCCTCATCTGTCCACTACCAAAAAGAGCAACCCCCCTCCCTGCCTCTGTCCCCACCCTTGTACCTCTTCCCCTGCTACCACAGAGGAGGGGTGCTACTGGCCCCTCTCGCTTGCCCTCTGGAGCCCATCACCTCTCTCAGAGCCATCGCCCTCATCAGCATCAGTGTTAACAAGAGGAGCAAACACTTGTGCCCAGACTGCCTCAGTATTTCATACATACACCCCAACTCAGTCCTATAATTATCCTATGAGGAAGGTATGCTCTTTATTTTATAGATGAGGAAACTGAGGTACAGGGAAGTGAAGTCGCCTGCTCAGGGCACACAGCAGAACTAGGATTCAAACCCAGGCACTGCGTTTATGCTGGTAACCATTCCCTGTCTGGTAGTTCCTAACTTAAACTCTAAGAGACTCCACATCCCACCCTACCCCCACAGTATCCTGGCTGTATTTCAAGACTCCTTGAAAGAGTTGCTTTAAAAACAACAACAACAACAAAGGCTGCCTTCTGTGGCAGACTGCCTCCCCCCCCCCCCCTTCCCCCCCCCCACACCCAGTCAGCCTCCCCTCACTTCTTGATTGCTCTTGCCACAGTTACGGCAGCCCCGCTGTGGCCACATCCCCGTGAGGCCTTCCTTGCTGGGCCCTCAGCATTATCACATGCACTGGGCTGTCTTAGCCCCACATGCTCCTGATTTCCTGGTCTCCCTGTGCCCCCCTGCTCAGTCTCCTTTGCTGGCTCCTCTTCCCCCCGAGAAGGCCCAGGCCCTCTTCTGTGTATTCTCCTAGGTGAACTTCCATATTTCAGTGGCTTTAAAATACCATTTATTTGCACCAGCACCCACATGTCTAGCCCTGACGTCTGCTTCAGACTCAGGAGGCGTACACCCGGCCGGCTCCTCCACGCCTCCTTGTGCATTGGCATGGGCCCCTCCCATGAGTTCAGTCTTCCCCCGGACCTGCTGTCCTCGTCTTTGCCATTTCTGTAGCCATCAGCACCGCTCCCCTGGGTGCCTGGGGCCCTAACCTAGAGATGGTTACTCTCGTTCCCTGCCTCTCCAAATTCAGTCCGTCCGCAAGTCCTATTGCTTCTTCCTCTGGAACATTTTGTGAATTAGCTTACCCCCTCTAGATCCCCCACATCGCCCTGGTTGGAGCCACCACGACCTGGCCTCTGGACTCTTGCAACAGCTCCCTGCCTCATGTCTGCTGCCACCCCGGCCTCACCGGTGGCTTCTTCACAGCACAGCTTCCTTTGAAAATGTAAACCAAGCCCCGCCCACTCCCCTCTGCACCTCAGATCTAAGTACTGCCTCTCAGAGCCCCTCATCCGCGAGGGCAGGGCCACACCCTCCTGTCCCCGTCCCTGAGCACTGTGGTGATGCTGTGCGTCCATCTGTGGGCGGCCGCCCAGATGCCAGCCCCCATCGGCGGCCGTGCGCCGCCTTCGCCCGTGGAGCCCTGCTAGGGGGTTCCTGGCTGTCCCGCCAAATCAGGCCATTGTTTTCACATACTCCGTGCTGTCCGAAAACAAAATGCCGGTCTATCCTGCTGAGCTTTGTGAGGCTTGCTCCTGTCGTTCAGAGCTTCCTGCCTGACTACTTAATAGAAATAACCACCAGTTTGCCTCTCATGACCCAATTTGATCGAATAGATTTCTAGTATTAGTTTTGTGGGAGAAAGGACATTCCTCTTTGTCCACTGCTTCAGCCTCACCATCTAGAACAGTTCCTGGCAGATATACATATGGGGTAACCCTTAATTGAATGAATGGATGGATGAATGAATAATGAATGACTGCCGAGATGTTCAATATAAAGGTTGAAACAACTACTGGGTTCTCTCTCTGAGGTTATTTTTAAAAGTAAAAGTGAAAGTTTATTCCTTTCTGAGGGCTGAGCTCTTGTTTTTTTTTCCAGGCTCTCAGTTCAGCTAAGTATCCGAACATTTGCCTCCAGCGGTCTGATTTACTACATGGCTCATCAGAACCAAGTTGATTATGCCACGCTCCAGCTACATGGGGGCCACCTTCACTTCCTGTTTGATCTTGGGAAAGGCAGAACGAAGGTCTCCCACCCTGCACTGATCAGTGATGGCAGGTGGCACACGGTATGTTCTCAGGAAGCTTGTGATCACTCATGCTGTTTTATTCCATCCACTTCACGGTCATGAAATGACCTCGCTTGCTTTGTGTCTAGTATCTCCCCTGTAGACTATAAGCTCCTTGCAGGCCGGGACCTTTGCGACGTCCTGAAGTATCACCAGGGCTTAGCTCAGTGCCTGACACCTAACAGGCACTGAGCAGACGTTGGTAGAATGAATGAAAAGGTACCAGAAATGTTCTCGACTTGATGAGAAGCTCCTCAACACCAACTGTGTAAAATTTGGAGCCATCCTTTAGGATCTCATTCAGGTTATTTACAGCTATAATGAATGGATGTTGCAAACAAACATCTGTTAATGTTTTCTCAGATTCCTTAAAAACTGGATATTCTCATTTTGTTCTAGGTCAAGACAGAGCACTTTAAAAGAAAGGGCTTCATAACGGTCGACGGCCAGGAATCCCCCATGGTGACTGCTGTGGGAGATGGGACCATGTTGGATGTGGAAGGAAAGCTGTATCTCGGGGGCCTTCCCCCTGAGCACAGGGCCAGGAACGTTGGGAATGTAAGCAGCGTTTTCTGTTCAGAGCCCATTTTACCTTTATTGTAGCTGTGTTTTTATCTTGTTTCTTTTGTAAAGGAAAATGTTTATGTTAAATTATCTTGTTTGAGCCTGCGGCTTGGCTGCATGATACAAACCTTTTAAACCTCATCCCCGTATTGGGTGTTTGGGCTTCCCCTTGGAAGCCCTTGAAGCTCAGCCAGTCTTTCCTACCTGTTAGTTAATGAACATTTCCCTTTCCACAGCCATTTGGCCTTGGTACGAGTCAGGGAAGTCCAGTGGATTTGTATTTGCAGATTAGAAAACCCAGCATTCTTGATTTCCACACTACTTAATCCAAATAATAGAGAACACTTTTACTGCATTATTAGCCAAGATACTGCTAGCTAGTAGCTTTCAATTAAACATTTATGTAAACTATTGTGAAAATTCGATTTTAAAAACCAAAAGCTCATATTTTAATGTTTTATTGAAGTATAGGAAAGACTGACCCTGGCCCTTCTCATTAAACTTAGAGCATCTATTGTCCTTTCATTTGGTTTAGGTCACCCACAGTGTCCCCGCCTGCATTGGGGAGGTGACAGTGAATGGCAGACAGCTGGACAAGGACAGCCCAGTGTCTGCATTTGCAGTAACCAGGTGCTATACAGTGGCCCAGGAAGGAACCTTCTTTGAAGGAAGGGGATATGCAGCTCTTGGTATGTATTATCAACACGAAGGGAACCTTTGGGGTTAGGCTGCACTTAGATAGGGACCCGAGAATGATATGCTAGGGCAGGACTCCCGGACAAGGCTGCGCCAAGACCACAGTTAGTGTTCCAGTTTATCAGGATTTCTCAACGCTAATACAAAGCCTGCTCCCCCCAGCAGTGCTGTACCTCCTGGCAGAGGGCACACATGTGGCACCGGTTTCATCTGCATTTCCCCTAAATTTATGTAACGCATATTGTCTCTGCTCAAGTTAATAAAGGCCTTTGACAAAGTCAGCATAAAATATCTAGACCAGCCAGCCAAATGCAAGTCAGGTTTGATGAAGAAACTGACTCCATTGAGACTGTTGAAAATATTGATCCTAAGTAGAGGAATTTAAATGTCTAAAGTGCCTTAGAATGTAAATTCCTCAAGGTTTAGAACTAGCCTTTGTAACGTATCTGGCGTTCCCTCTCCATTTGGTGTCCGCGATTTGCTGTTAACCTCCTATCTGCACTCAGGACGGTGCTCCTCTTGGCCTCTGTTCCGCCTTCTTCGCAGGGAGCCGCATTTATCTGGCTTCCAGGGAGGCCCTGGCGGGAGTCAGGGGGAGTCAGGGGCAGGTGGACAGGGGGCAGAGCTAGCATGCACCCCTCACTCAGTGCTTCCCAGCTCTGGTCACCCCACCTGCTCCCAGTTCCCCTTTAACCCTGGACTGAACGACTGCCTGCTACATAGCCCCAGTTTGCTTCTTCAGCTTTCCCATCGCCTAAATAAAATATCCATTTCTTTAAATCCCCACTTTAGAAACACCTAGTATGGATGCTAGTATATGATGACATACCCAGTATTGGGAAAATAGAGTGGACTACTCCCTGCTGGATGATGATGGGATTATATGGATCAAATCCTTCTGGTTTTTCCCCCTCTGTGGCTCTAGATGAAAGGATGGGCCTGCCTCGACTCTAGTCTGGCTTAGCCCTGATGATGGCGTAGGTCTTCTTTAATAGCATCACTTCATCTTACAGATGAGGAAGCTGAGGCTCAGAGGGTGGAAGTGACTTGCTGGTGAGGATGGAGCTGGATCAGAGAAAGAGCTAGAGCCAGGCCTCCTGAGCCAGGAGCCAAAATACACAGCCAGACAGCCAGCCCATGACCTCTTTGACCCTGAGCCTTCTTGGGCCAGGCTCACTCCCAACTGGGGGTTATCTTTGTATTTTTCAGTCAAGGAAGGCTACAAAGTCCGATCAGATGTAAACATCTCACTGGAATTTCGTACCACCTCTGAGAACGGTGTCCTCCTGGGGATCAGCAGCGCCAAAGTAGATGCCATTGGATTAGAGATTGTAAATGGCAAGGTAGGTGCTTGATCTCGATGGGGTTCCTGCTTACCCCAGTGTCAGAAACAGAGCAACTGAGAAACAAGCCGAAATACCTAGATCCAAATTTCCAATGATCCATTTCAATGGAGTGGAGAAAAGGTTCAATTAATCCTAAAAAGATTACAAATGACAAAAAAAATTGAAATTAAATTTAAAGCAAAATTACAACTATAATACACCATCTGAAAGTTGCCAACCTGATGCTCTTACCCTCCCTAATATTTGTCAACTTGTTATTTGGAAATATAGACTGTGGGCAAGTTATAGTAACATGTACAGGGAGGTCTTCTTGCACCCTTCCCCCAGGCTCCTCCAGTGTTAGCAGCTTACATAACTCTTATCCAACATCAAATCCAGGAAACTGACATTGGCAGGATCCAGACTTTTTTCAGTTACACTAGTTGTATATGTACACGTGTGTGTGTGTGTGTCTGTGTGGGTGGGTGTAGCTTTATATAATATTATCATATGTATCTTGTTTAGCTTTATGTATCCACCCTCACAATCAAGACACTTAATTGTACCATTACCACAATGCTCTGTGGAGCTACCCCTTCATATCCACACCAGCTCTCTCCCTAGCCCTGGGCAACCATGAATCTGTTCTGCTGCTGTTATTTCATGATTGTTATATAAACCATATGTTGCAGTCTATATCCTCTTGAGATTGGCTTTTTACACTTAGCCTCATTTCCTGGTAGTTGACCGGGTTGTGTGTATCAACAGTTCATTGCTTTTTATGGCACAGAATTCCACGTGATGGATATACCATCATCTAATTTTTTTTTAATGCAAAAAACAAATTTTTTCTGTAACTATTCCACCCTTGCTTTTCAGCCTTCAGTCCTTCTCATTTTTGGGAACAAAATAAATTCAACAATTAGGAGTACCTTAGTCTCTTTCGCTTCAGAACTGTTTCCAGAGTTTCTCCTGGTTCTCATTTTCCTTCCTCGCCCCACTGGGGCCGTCTGGCCGCAGGCAAGGTGGGAAGGAAGAGTGCTTCTTGTCCTTTTTCTTTTCTGGAAGCTCTCTCCTGACAGTAGTCGAGGTATGGCTTGAGTCTCCTGGTTTTCGGGCACAACCTCTGTCTTTTGCGCCGGAGGCCCGTTGTCCCTGGCCAGTTGTAATGAGTAGTCTGAGGTCTCAGCATCACCAGTGTGTGGGGGCTGAGCCTGGAGACGTGGCCAACATCCTCGGCAGATGAGGCTTCCCTCCGGTCAGGGGCATTGCTGCCTCTTTGGCCACATTCTGTGCCCCCCCGAGGGCCATCTGAGAACTGGGGAGTTTCTGCCAGCCCCCTCCTAGGCCGTGGGGGAATGGGAGAGGTCTCTCAAGTCCTCTCTCTACCTAGCTGCACTTTGCACCATTTCTCTTGCACTGGGGTCAACTTGTGTTGCTCTGGGACTAATGCTTGAATCTTCTTAAGCTATTGCCACCTGTAAGGGAAGGAACAAGTCTTTTTGCACTAGATTTCTCCCAATCTTATTTGCTTGTTTCTAGTAATTCGGCTTATTCCCTGCGGGGTTTCTGGCTCCTAGGACATCCTAGCATGGGGGTGAGGAGGCTATAAGAAAGCATCCCTTACGCTTCAGCTCTTCACCCCCTGTCTACACAAAGCTGCCTCTCCAGCACACTGCTTGCCTCTCTGCGCTGTGGCTTACACCAAATGCTTCCTAATCTGCACTTCAAAAGAATTTTGAAAAAATGTGACACCTGAAAATGTCATCAGAAGTGTAACAGTTGCCAAAAGTGTAATTTCTGATGTATATTTTACCTCTATTATTAGCTTATTTTTCCTTTAAAACTTTGCTTAGCTGTCGCCCAAGGGTTTATAATCTACATCTATAATTTGTTACAGTCTACCTCGAAATACACTGGGCCCCCTCCCATACAGCATAAGCACCTTACAACGGTGTACTTGCAAGTCTTCCCTGCCATCTTTTGTTGCACATCGTAGATTTTTTTGTGTTACCACGTGCTGTGGTAGAGCATCTACAGTCTGTCAGAAGACAGTGAGTAAATGTCTCTTCATAGGTGCTAGTCACCTGCTATTAACTGACCCTCAGTCAACCCAACAGCTCCTGCTATCCTGAAAATGAGCCACTGATTGGAGGACATAATGCAAAAAAACAGTGGCTCAGGCTGATTCCCATGGAGGTGGTCATTGGTCTTTTCTGTAATTTGGGGAGTAATAAAATCTGAATCCTTTCAGTGTTTCATAGTTTGCCTTCCTTTTTAGCAGAATTTTGAGATTTTTATCTATTTCAAGAGCATTATATAAATGGATTGTGTTCCTTAAATATGGAAGAATTCACCAAGATATCTGCCTGTGTTTTGCTGGTTTAGATCTTGTTTCATGTTAACAATGGTGCCGGTAGGATAACAGCCACATACAAGCCCAAAGCTACCAATACTGTCTGCGATGGAAAATGGCACACACTTCAAGCTCAGAAAAGCAAACACCGCTTGGTTCTAATTGTTGATGGGAATGTAGTTCGTGCTGAGAGTCCACACACCCAGTCCACCTCAGCAGACACCAACAATCCCATTTATGTCGGTGGCTATCCTGGTACGTATGGATGTCTGCTTGGCCCATTCACTTTTAAGTGGCATTGTCACTAAGGGAAGTTTTAGATCAGGTGGATATAGAATAGAGACTAAGAAAAATACATGGTTTGGATAACAAATCCTTTACATTTTTAGAAAGGTTATTTCAAATACCTAGGAATTCTTGGAAAAATTAAAATATCTACACACATAAATTCACCCTTAGTTAAGACTCTGGGAATATTGGATGCCTTGTAAAGTAAGCTATATGACTTAACCAAGGTGACTCATCTTAGGTGACCCCCAGAGTAGGAAATCATTTTAGGGGACAACCATGGTCTTATCTTCTCACAGTGATGCTGGATTTGAATTATGCATTTCAGATGTTCCAAGTAATTATTACAAATAATAAATAAGTTGTGACTCAGTTAAGGCACAGTTGTGACTTAAATTGTTTTCATTGCATTATCCCCGAATAACATATGTGGGAGAATATTATTCTAATTTTGATAGAGAAACCACTTGATATTATTTTTGTTCCTATTGTGCTATCCATGTCATTTAACAAAATTAAACAAGACTCTGCTTTCTTCTTTAACAGCTGATGTAAAGCAAAACTGCCTGAACAGCCAGACCTCCTTCCGGGGGTGTTTGAGAAAGCTCACTCTGATTAAGGGCCCCCAAGTACAATCCTATGACTTCAGCAGAGCTTTTGACCTACAGGGAGTTTTCCCTCACTCTTGTCCTGGGCCTGAACCCTGAACTTCAGAGAAACTCCCCAGTTGGGAATCATTGCTTATATTTTGAGAATTGTTTTTGTGCATTAAAATCTCTTCAGTTCTGATTTCATTTTCCACTGAGGTTAACTAAAACCATGTATACAATAAATATATTAAATAGTTTAAAATGTAAATTGAATTCATTGGCTTTCTTTTTCTTCATAATCATTGAGTCTTCTGTTGATTACTTGACAGTTTTTCATGTTTTGCATTTGAGTTTCATAAAAATAAAGTATTGAATCTGGTCCAGGATGGCAATGTAGAAAGACCCTGAACTCACCTTCTCCACGGACACACCAAATCTACACCTATTTATAAAGCGATTCCTCCTGAAGAACTGAGGGCTGACGGAATGGCTTCTGTACAACAGAGCACATAAAAAATGGCAAGGGAGATGAATACATGGTAATGAAAGGAAGGCCCATCCCTGTGAACCGCAGTGGGGAGGGACAGCACTGAGGGACCATGAGCAGATTTGTCTGCCCTAGGGCACAGAAAAAAAGCCGTGGTTTAAAAGAGCAACTAGTATATAAAAGATCCAGCCTTAGAACTCCACCAAATGGGAGAGCTGCTGGAACTCTCTCTGGGTCAGAGGAGCTGGCAAGTGCCATGGTTTATGCTCCTCTGAACACCCTGATAGCACAGACAGGAGCAGGGTCCAGGTGCTGTAGTTGACCTGCCGCCTCAGCACTGGGTCCCTAGCTCACAGTAGCCCTGGGTGTCCTGGAGCACAGAAAAAAAGCCCCATGGCTTTTTTTTTTTTTTCCTAGCCTAGAAAAGAGCCAGCCCTAAAACCCCAGCAAACAGTGAGGCAGCTGCTGGATTTCTCTCTAGGTTGGAGGGGCTGGCGAGCACCATGGTTTATGTTCCCCATCTACCTTAATAGTGTAGATGGGAGAAAGGTACAGGCACCATTGCTGGCCTACTGCCTCACTGAGCTAGCCCACTAGCCCACACCACTCCAGCCATCCCACCAAGGTGGCCCCAGCACAGCGTACACTGGAACACCCCTGGTCAGTGCTCACTATAGCTCCAGCCATCCCAACAAGGTGACCCAGGCACAAAGCACCCCGGAACATGCCATGTCTGTACCACTTCAGCTCCAGACTGCTTGCTAGAGCACCCTGGTGCAGAGCACACTGGGCCCTCTTGGTTCATGTCACATTGGCTCCAGCCACCCCACCGAGGTGCCTGATGCGCAGAATGACCAAGAATCTCCAGCCCATACCTGCCTTGGTTCCGGCCACAGCACCAGGGCAGCCCCTGTGCAGAGTGTCCCAGGACAGCCTGACCTGTGCCAGCCTCAGCTCTAGCTGCCCACTAGGTCGCCCCTGTGCTGAGCACGCTGGGACACCCAGACTTGCACCCACTTTGACTTCAGCTGTTTTCCAAGGATGCCTTCTGGCCAAAGAGATCTGGAACCGCCTGAGCCAATACCCACATCAGCTACAGCTCTCCTGCCAAGGTGCCCCATGCATGGAGCACCCCAGGTCCCCCTGGCCTACCTCTGCCTCAGCTATAGCCACCCCACCAGATTGTGCACTGCACAGAGAGCCCTGAAACCCCCCCCCACCAGCCCACATCCACTTCAGCTTCAGCTATCCTGCCCCGGGTGCCCTCTACCTGAAGCACTTTGGGACAGCCCTGCCC